CAATAAGCTCATTGTCATCGCCAACATAAACCTTTTTCTTTTGCTGCAACCACGCAGTTTGAAGCTGTAACACTCTTGTTAGCTCTCATTTTGTAGCAGGTCAATTTCACTGATTGGGGCAGCTCACATCAGAAGTCTCAGGCTTTCGCAGATACTCAAAGCCGCTCACAGGAGGCTGGGTCATCTTCAGACCACTCGCCACATGTCTAGGGCCATGCTGATAAATAGCCTCAAAATGACTCGCGACCTTCTCACCTCTGCACACAACCGCCACAGAAGGCTGCTGTTCCCAGAGATCGTGAAAGGCAACAAAGAAGTGCGGGCGCTCCAGCCTCTCCTTAGCACACTTGTTCATGAGCTCCCTCAACTTCTCCGAGCGGAAGTAATCCCGCCTGTCGCCATTGGGCAGGATACAGGCATTCTCAACGATGACACCCACCAGGCCCGAGAAGTCGACATTGTTAACGAACTCGGTCTCCTCCTCAAGGCCGAGGTTAAGGACGATCGGCACCACCCGCTGGTGTAGCCGGGCAAACAGACTCGCCGCCGTCTCCTCATCCTCCTTAGCGAGGTCCGCTACCTTCAAGACAACCCCGGAAACGTCATCGCTTAGGATGAAGTCGGAAATGTGCGTCTCCCACGCCGGAAGATCGGCAGGTGAAACATCCTTCGCGTCAACCAACCCGAGACGAATAATGTCCTGGGTTGGGGTAGCTTGAAGGGGCTGGAAGGGGGTAGGGTCCGTGCACGACGATAAGGGACTGATGTAAACAGTACCCCCTACTAATTGTTGGACGACGACACCACGATCACCTGATACACCGCCATCCAAGAATTGGAAAGTCTTGGTTGAGGACGGGATCTTGAACTCAGGCCGCGACGACGGTGAGCCTGGGTTCTTCCTTCCGGAAGGTGATTTGCGTTTCCTCCTATTGTGGATGTTAATATCATGGGCAATATCATGAAAAGGATGGCATGGGTGATGGCAATTAGGACAAGACGGGAGGTTGAGACACAGGATGAACTTACTTGGTGTAACTGTCTGATATTGACTGACGCAGACGATGGTATATTGTTAGGATCACCGTTAGTAGGACGGGAAGAGCCAACCCTGCGATTCCCACTATCAATGTGCCCCACTGCCATGAGGTCCGTAACCTCTCTTCTGAGGGCAGTATCTTGTTGCAGTAGACCAGACGGTCGGTGTTGTTATCGTTGTTGCATATTTGCAGAACTGGGTCCCCGGCCCCCAGGGGTGGAAAGAAGGAAGCCATTGCCAGTCAATGGCGATGCCCAGTGACGGCAGCAACGGCTATGTGAAACTGATGGAAGACGTAAGGTGTAAAGGACTGGCCAGGTGGAATCCTAGGCAAAGAACATGTGTGGATGTCGAAACAGCAAAGTCCCTGCTGATGGAATCGATTAGGATTAACGATTATCGGATGGCGCTCTGTTGCGATGGACGGCGATGTATACAGTAAAAAGCTAAGCAGTGATCATCGCCACAAGAACACGCTATTGAAACGAGAGACGTGCTGGAAGAGAGCAGACGGACCAAGAATAAGGTCCAGATCGAAGACAGGAAGGGGTCCCGTCGGCAAGTGATGCTTTGGTGCAAAGCAATGGAAGGGGAGAGGAAGCATGTAACACTGGACAAAATTGTTTTCACAGCCTCACAAAGTGAAGTTGAAAAACCGGGGCGTCCAAGTCGGTCTCGAGTTCAAGCGGCGCACCGGGCGGCGGCCACCACCATGTCGCCATGCCCGACCCACACCAAGAAGAGGGGGAAGGACAACGACGAGGCATGGTACCGTATCACCGACTGGTACGAAACAAACCTCGTACGCGATCATACCCTGGGGGTGAGCCATCCGCTGAACCGTTGCTCGGCTGGAACCCAGCGCCAGCAAAGAACAGTGAGTGCTTGCGAGAAGGGGCGAGCCATCATGCACTTGCGGTTGCAAGGTGGTGGATCCAGGGATGGCCATGGAGCCGATCTTGACACCCCGGGCGTACCACAGCGTTTGCTCAACCGATTTCGATCTAGGAATTGCACACTGTAATATTCCCAATTGGTAACATGTAGGCGCTGGCCATCGGTTTGTTTTTACGAAGAGGGATAACTAGTACCCAATTCGTATACGCGCCGGGACCACCGCCTTGTCACCTCGTGAGCGCCTCATTCGTTGTCTGTCAGAAAGCTTCGTCCACTTTGCGGATCGCACCATATTAGCGAATGCTTGGCTGCTTGAAGCACTCTTGGGGAGGCTTGTCTAGCTTGACACTCTGGGCCTCCTGGTGCCTCTTGGCCGGTCTCCATTTTCCTATTTCAGGTCGTTTCCCATCCATCCAGCGGCTCGTGCGAGTCTCGAATTCTGTCAGTGCGCAGTCTGTCGTGGTACTGGCGGCGCAGGTGTAATTTGACGTCTGTCACGGAGAAACTTGGCAACAGGAATGGACGCAGCAAGAGAACGATTCCTGAATCGGTGGCTCAAGCCTTTCCCACCGCTGGCAGTCTCTGCCTCTGGTGCCGGCCTCCCGAGGCCCTTGTAACGGCAGGGGTCCATGTTCTCGAATCCACGATTCCACGAATCCAAGAATAGGCGGATTGTGATGCGCTTGGTTGGTCGGAAGCCAAAACGAGCGAACGAGCCGCATGTCGTAGCGGTACACGTGTACAAGGTTGTCCGGCCGGCGGCCGTGTATCGTCGTACCGAACATGGTAAATACGGGTGTTTCTCCACAGTTCCGAACCTTGCAGGGGCTTTCGGCGACAGTGGGGAGACTCACAACAGCTCAGCTGGGATGCGCTATGCCCTGCTAGTGTAATCGTAATTTCAAGGAAACCGCAAGATCTGATTATGACCCCCGTACACCTTCTGAGACCTTTTAGTATGGGATCCATGACGGCGTTTATTACCTTCCGACGTTCTGGTAGCGAACGAATCTCCATGTGCCCCAGACGGCCAGCCGCTTGTTTCAGCGCTAAGGTTTCTGGTTCTTGGGTCCAAACACTGTTGGGAGCCGAGTGTTCTGATGCTGATATCCAAGCGTCGGTGATATTGGGACAGAAATTTCAACAAGGCCACACTATCGACCACACTATCGATCGACATGATCTGATCGCAGTGTGAGTCGGAGAGATGCCATGACCAGACAGGCCCAGAATGCTACACAAAAGTTGTTAGCATCGTCACGGTAGATACAAGGGGCCACGCCGCGACCCTTCATGTTGCTTTGACAGCGACGTGGGTGGCTGGCCAGGATCCGAAAAAGGAAGGGATAGTAGGGTGGCCCTGGAGAGGTGCCTTGGTGGGTGGTGGAAACAACCTAACCCAAACTGAGAAAAGTTTCACGTAGAAACTTCAATGCCAGCAGGAATCTGAAGAAATTTGTGATAGAAAAAACTCACTGATGCCCGGCCAATTCATGTCTCTCCCGTCATCCCATTCATGCAGTCAGGAAGTCGCCAAGCTGTGCCCTATGGCCAACAAGGGCTAAGACGTCGTCCGAGCCGTGATCCCGGTGAACGATCCCCCGCCACCTCCGCCGCCAGAAGGACGCCACGGACAACCATTCGACAGTCGATGCGGTTACAGTGGGGAAGGAAGAGCCAGGGCCTGTCATTGGCTGTTCCAACAACGACTGCTCGCGACTTCACTCGACTTGGTGCATGCTCTGCAACTGTATCCCATTTCCATATTTAAAACCCAGTCAGATCCAATCCTGTTACACAGTAGGACTGCCTGAACTAAGATGAGCAGGACATTGGCCAACTCGCCGGCACCGCAGTCGATCACCACGGACACCCGCTTCGTGTTCGGTAGATCGCAGTTGCTAAACAAAGCGCAAAGAGCCCTCAGGAATGGGTTTGCGAGATCGCTACAGCAAGAACCCGATGTCAGGTGAGTAGGGTTTCCTGTTTTCCTGTTTTCCCGTTCCGAGTTCCGTGTTGAAATCCAGGTCTGGCGGGCTTCGGGAAGTGTATTGTATGTGAGGGTAATGTGCTCTTTGAGACCCAATGTCTTGAAATCTGTGATAGTGGCTACAACAGTAAGCTCTGATTCGACCACATCTCGTCCTGCGGTTGCCTCGGTGAGGCCAGTGAGCCAAGAAAGAAGCATGGAAAGCCACAAAGCCAAAACTAGAGAGTCTCATTTTGTTTTCTGGAGGGTGAAAGGTTGATGCTCCTGTGTGTCTCACTATTCGGGACTGATGATGCTGGTGCCTGGCATCAGAATAGGGGTTTCGGGGTTTTGCTGCAGATTCAGGAACCTCACAATTGTTCGACAATGTGAGTTTACTGTGCCTGGGCCTGTCTGTGGTGTGCCCCCGTATGAGATGAGCCCCCCGAGATCCCGACTTCCCCGCCCCCATGCCCCATCGAATTCTATTAGCGTCTGGGATCATCTGTCCAACTCATTCATCGGCTGAGTTGCTCGTAGTGGCAGCCTGTAGCGTAGTACATTGGATATGAGGCGTCAAAGTGGGACGTGGGACCGCAAACGGCTGGTGACAATAGTCGCGTTACAACGAGTTTGATGCCATTCATTCCTTCAATTTCCTCCGCACTTGCATAGCGCCAGCAATAGTCTAGGTGATGTCAGCCAGTGCCATCCGGCTGGGATCCGGCGGGACCGGCGGAGCCCAGAGGAGTCTACGGGTCAGAGATTTGCTTCAGCTGGGCCAAGGGTTCTCCGGTGGATGGCATGTCGAGCATCCGTTGCCATTCGGGCTAGGTTTAATACGGTCTTGCCGAACGAAAATGGATTGGGTTCATGACGAGAGCATGACACGCATGGAGGAACATGGAGCCACGATGCGCTAGCACAGGCGCGCTGGCATAATCTCAGCTTGACACTCGCCGTCCTAGCATAATCTCAGCTTGACACTCGCCGCCCTCCCGCCGGCTTCCAAGATGTAACCGTATCGGTCGATCGGGCCTTCTAGCGCTGGCTGTTTGTTTGGTGTTGATGACAAGGTTTGCTGACTGAGCAGGGTGTTGCCGTCTTGTTCCTTTTTTTTGCGCTGTCACCAACGAAGGCTCTTCTTGATAAAAGCCCTCGACGCAGCTCCTCCAGAAAAGGCCAGTGATCGTCCCCATCCTTGACTCACACTCGCTCATCAATCCTACACTGCGAGTCTTCTCATAAGCTCTTGTTCAGAATCATCATGTCGAGCACTTCGAGTTCCCGCTTTGATCTTGGAGATCATGTCCAAGATCAGGACCTCTCTGAAGAGTATCTGTCTTCGTCGTCCCGCGACTATTCCGCCGGCAGCTCGCCGCTTACCACTCCTGCGCTGTCCGATGAGGAATTCGACTTTGATGTGCCCGAAGATGCCCTCCTTGAGGAGAGGTCGACAACACAGGCGCCAGCCGATGGTTCGGAGAAGTACATCATGGTGATTGGTGGTCTTGGGTATATCGGCTCCCACACAACACTTGAGTTGCTTCGTGAGGGACACAATGGTGAGTGCTGATGATGGTGGTGTTGTTATGAGAGCAAGTATACTAACGACGAGTACGCAGTTATCGTGGTGGACAACCTGAGCAACAGCTACAAGACCGTTCTGAAGAACGTCAAGATGCTGGCGGCCCATCACTGCAAGGTCAACAACGTTCCCATGCCCCGTCTTCGCTTCTTCCGCGTCGACTACCGCAGCAAGGCGATGCATGTTCTCCTGGAGAGATACAGCAACTTGGTGATGACGGTGGACGCTACGTCGGGCAAGCAGGTTGTGTCGTGCCAGTCCCGGATTGCGGGGGTGATCCACTTTGCGGCATACAAGTCGGTCGTCGAAAGCATCAAGCAGCCCCTGCGCTACTATCGCAACAACGTGTGTGGACTGGTCAACCTGCTACAGGAGCTGGAGCGTTTCAACATCCGAAACTTTATCTTTAGCAGCTCGGCCACCGTGTACGGATCCAAGGCTAACGCCGGCCTGCCACTGAAGGAGGAGGACCTCGTGCACCACCAGGTCAAGACACAGAACGAGGCCGGAGAGACGACCATCGTTGAGCCAACCATTGAGGGTTTGTCGTGCCCGTATGCGCGCACCAAATACTTTGGAGAAGCGATCCTGGCGGATGTGGCCGAGGCGGACCCCGATTGGCGTATTGTTGCGCTCCGTTACTTTAACCCCGTTGGATGCGACCCTTCTGGTGTGTTGGGCGAGAGCCCGCGCGGGGAGCCGACCAACCTCTTCCCAGTGCTGACGCAAGTCCTCAAGGGCGACCGCTCGAACCTCAATGTATTCGGATCTGACTGGCCGACTCGTGACGGTACTGCGATTCGCGACTTTATTCACGTTCTCGATGTTGCCCGTGGACACATTGCGGCGCTCAACTGGAACTCGAAGAAGGGCAACGGATTCTCGACCTTCAATCTTGGCAGCGGTACGGGCACGACAGTTCTCGAGGCGGTTCGCAGCTTGGAGCAGGCGGCTGGTCGCGAGATCCCCCTCGCCCTCGTTGACAGGCGGCCTGGCGATGTCGGCATGTGTGTCGCTTCGACGGAGCGTGCGGCTAAGGAGCTCGGGTGGTCGACTCGCGAGAGCATCACCAAGTGCGCTGCTGACCTATGGAACTACGTGTCCAAGGTAGCGTTGAGGTCGTAACGGACACGTCATGACGTTGATCCCTCCTCCCGTTCCCCCCTTTCTCTTTGGTTGATGATATCCCGAGCGCAACAGCGAAGCGAAGCGAGTTGTTGGCGTCTTTCTTATTCCTCTGTTTCTCTCGACTGTCTGGGTCTGGCTTTTAGGATGGGAAAATATCCGGTTGGCATCTTTTCTGGGCTGCTTCTTTTTTAGTTGGTGTTATTCGCGTCCGGGGTACATATGGGTATTTACATTGAACAAAAGGGTCGCTGGTTGCAGGCATGATTTTGTTCCTTCGGTTCTTTTTGTTGTTGTTGCAGTTCAAGTTGTAGACTGTAGATACTCTGATTGATGATGATAGTTGACGGAAAGAAATTGAAGTTGATGCGAAAAACTTTTCACTCTCCTCTCATGTTCCAACCTCCAATTTTGGCAGTCGCGGTGGCGATGTCTCATCCTCGCGCCTGCCCTACCAGTACAGTAATTTAAGTCCGGATATGATGCTCATTAACAAATCGTGGTGTTGAGGGCGCAGACGGCTGTTAATGCTTTGTTGTCTCTCATCTCGTAGCATTGTCTTAACAGTTTTGCGTTTCGGTTCCTCGGGGACGTGTTAGGAACATCCCTTGCGGTTATAGCGCGTAGCTCCTGTAGCTGCAATTACCCCGCGCAGGCAGGTACCCTCATTGCCTCCGACGGTGTAAGTCAGCCATGTGCACCTTGATGGCCACACAAGTCAACAGTCAGAACAAGACACTTGCACATGGACCTGAATCCTCCAAGCCATCCGTTCATGTTGCTGACGGATGATGGCGATGAAGAACAGATGTTGTACTACGGAAGCATGCCATCTTCAGCTTCTATACATCATTTGCTGACACTGGGTGCCTGCAGCTACCCGACGACAAGAGATCGCAGTGTATTCATGAATATGATGTTTGTTTGCATTTGTTTATTTTGCTGCATTTTTTTTGAAGCTTCTCCAAATTTGTGTCCAACCTAAACTCCAACTTTGACATGTTGTCTGTTCTCCAAATCGAATTGACGGAGACATGTCGTAATGCCCTAACAATTAATATAGAAGCCCACTGTAACCAAAAGCCAAATCCCATCAACATTCCGTCACTTCGTCAAAACAGAGTTACATCGCACTCTGGATCAGCACGCCTAACACACGATCGTTAGTTTTCATTCGAGATCCAAGATCGGACCAGGCAGGATGGCAGCATGAGGCTTACCTTTTGAGACGGCTTTGGGCATCCTCTCTCGGACTCCAAGTAGGAAGCGACTGTTGCCGCGGCCTTGCATTCGCACATCTGTTGACAAGGAAGGAGTCAACATCAACTCCGATATAGGCAAGTAGTATCGTCAGGTTGGGGGAAACACTTACGGCCTTCTGGTTCAGGAAAGGGGGGCAGTTCGATGGCAAGCTCTTGCACGGCTTGCGGAAGTCGGGCCGTACTCCATGGGCGTGCGAGTGCTTGCCCTTGTCCTTGCCAGCCCGAACCTCGAGAGGAAGGATGTTGGCAGCTCCAGGTGCAAGACCAGAGCCCAAGTTTGAGGAAAGAGCGTCCCTGGGCACCAAGAGGGCAGTGGACTGCAGGGCAAAGGCAGCAAGAACAATGGACAAGGAGAACTTCATGTTGGGCAAGTGTGTCTGAGTGTCTGTTTCTGGACGAATGCTTGACTTTGGACTGTATGTCTGCTAATCTTCAACAGAAACTTTCAAACCCCCAAATTCTCGAGGCGGGATGCCGCCATCTATGTTCGAATGTCATCCCACTATGGCACCAACCGACCTTCTCCTACACTGCCTTCAGCCAGATCGACTCCTCCGGATACTCCATGTACTGGAGTACACAGTTACTTGCGTAAACAGGGGTGCGGCAGCGAGTTAAAGTAGTTAGCCCTAGCAGGTACTCCGGGCTGTTGTTGTTTCGGCCGTCCCACCGTCCATGTCCCCGGATGCCTACCACCATCGCGACACCTTCGGTTCTTCAGCTGGAGGCGACACCGACTATCGAACGAGACTATCGATCCAGTCTAGCAACCGGAGTCGAGCTAGAATACGTCGAGAAATTCGTCACCTCCGAACAAGCATCCCCGGCCAGTCAGTCGCAGGCTCCAAGGTCCAGACGTTCTTCGGCAGCTAGTTCTCGATGCGGTGGTGCGGTCTCGATGGTGATGGTGCCCACACAAAGGGCCACAGAGCAACGCCCACGTTCGGAGAACCCACGCGGAGCCTCGCCAGCCAGTACACTACCCCAAAATTTCAATACAATTACGTGATGGGCGGCCGTCATGAGTTGACGTTTTCGAGCAGGGCTGAAGGCCAACCACCTGGCAGCGTGGGCAGCGTGGGTTGAGCTGTCCATCGGGATTGGGGCGCTACTATTGGGACGACCGCATGCTGCAGTGAGAGAATAGCACGTCTTGATACAGAACAGCGCCGGCTTACAGCGCATGCCATTCACCATTCACAGCGCTGCCGGTCTGCACTGAATCGCACAAACCCCGCGCGTCCTTCAAGTTTTTCCGTGGTCTGGTCACTTCTAGATGCAGACTCGTTCGTTTTGCGCAGACAGCTCGCCACAGAGTCACAGACCGGCAATTGCCCAAGTTCCAGCTCTGTTGTCGCCATCGGGTTTTCGGGGCTTTCGGGTTTCGTCCAACGTGTGACAACAGAAACGAAGCTCGTAAAGACTTTTTGTACGACGACCATGATCGCGACAGCCGACGTCCACTCACAGCTGGTTGCTGACTGATGGAAAAACGATGTCGTAGAGGTGGTCAACGGAGGCTCTTTGAGTTCAGCTGGCGGGGCTGGCCACAAGTCGCGGTAAAGGCAGCACGGGAGCGGGCCGGCAACGCCCACACAACACCAGACAAGGCACCAGGAGCACGCAACAGGCCGGGGCGCACCACGGGGCACGCAAGGGCAGAAAAGAGAACCAGGCACCTTTCACGTTGGCCACAGCCACACCGACATCCCGAGACATGCATACTGGTGGAAGCTGGGTTGGGTGGTGTCCGTGTGGGCGAGCATCACGGAGGTGGCTGATGAGATGGAGGTCGTCTTCTGGATCTCATTGCCCAATGTCCCCTCCTCTCACCTCAGGTGCCTCAACGGCCCCTGTCAATCCCGTCCGTTACAGCATGAGGTTGGGCCTGCGTGGGTGTATCGGGGCGAGCACGCGGTTCAGCCAGCCACAGACCACCACAACTCACCACAGGACAGCACTTCAACCATTCTGGCAACCCGACAACGCCATATCCAGGGTTTGGCATCGAAAAACGAAAATATTCGTGAACATTTCTTTTCTTGGTCCTTGACCGCATACGAGCATATTGCGACGTACCCCATACGGGGTAGACGCCATGCAACACGCCACACATGAGATCGGTGTGCCAAATGCACTAAAATGCCACCAATGGCCTATTGGTAGCCTGTCGCAGGGCTGTATCAATGCAGCTTACGGGGGAGGTAGGCATGAATATGCGCTGCACGATACTGCAAACAGCACATCCTGCCTTAACAATTTGCCTTGTGTGCCATTGTGCCATTTTGGGTTAATTCCTGGTTTTCAACCCTTCACCACAGTACTATTTCGCGGTATGTCAGAACATCCAGCTCTTGCCAACATCTCACCACCAATCTATCTCAATATAGCGTCGCCAGCATGTACCTATGTTGTCTGCACGCCGGTAGTTGTTTTCGTACGCCCTGAGTTCAACAGGACGCACCGGCCGCCAATACCAGACACCAGAAGGACGGTTCAACCGGCTCAGTTTACCCGGTTTACGAGCTTGTCGGGCATGCGTACATGGCTATACACGTCATACAGACATACCGGCGGAGCGTGCTGTCTTGAAGTCTGACAGGTTGACACATACTGACGGGAGAAATCAAACGAGAGATGGAGGAAACCTCCGCCATGAAAGAAAAACCATCGCCAACACGCCCGGAAGAACATTCAGCCCCATCATCACTTAACTGTTTTAGCGAACACAGTAAGACCCAACGGCGTGCTGAAACCCGCTACCAAAGGCATCAAGATATTGCCTCTTCTGGAGATTCTATACCTGTCTATTCCGGTTATACCACTACACCGTCTACGGCGTGATCTATCTCGTCCATATACTTGCGGGAGGCACACACAACAAACCCGATTCAGCCATGAAGCCCTCCCTCACCGGCCTCACTGGCCTCGCCCATTAACATGTTGCTGCCGCCAAGTCACACGCCACCTCCACATAGCCTTCCCAACCCGAGCACCACGTCGCATAGTCGGTAGCAGACGTGGCAAAGTGTCCGGCAAGTTTATGTTGTGTGACCACCTCGTTCAAGAAGTTCTGTACGTTCTTCTTGATCGCATCCTTTTCGCTGTTTTCGGCCTTCTCCCCGTCGGTGTGATGACCTTCTGAATCTTGCTGCTGGGGGCGGCCGCCACTGATACCACCTGCCTGACTTTTTGGACCACAGCCGCAAGTGTGAGCAACAGCTATCGCTTTCGCCCGCTTCTCGGGTGTCAAGAGAGCGAGGTTAGCGCTGACATAGTCACCCGAGTCCCACCAGGCGGCGAGGCAGTTCTCGAACACCACCACGTAATCAACCAGGCGAGGCGAGAAGAAGGCGTCGGACGAGTCGGACGAGGGGAAGATGCCTGGGTTGTGGATCACGATGCCTGGTCCTGTTGTTGAGGATGTTGGCGATGATGCTGATGGTGCTGACAAAGAACTGTTGTCGTTGTTGTTGTTGCTTTTGTTGCTGCAATGGCTCCGGCGAGATGCAACCTCAGTAAAGCCGGATCGTACAGTGTCTGTTATGCGCTGGAGGTAGTCGAGATACTTGGCGTCTGTTGGGACTTCGTCGACAAAGATGCCGTCCAAGCGGATCGCCTGTTTGTTTCATGAGATGAAAAGTCAGTACGAATCTTACAAGCGGTACGTATGGTAACTTTGGTACGACTGATACACAAAGCGGGAAGTGGGACGAAACACAGAATTGGGCCCGTGCGCTGCACGATATCTCGTATCGATCGCCAGGGTCCTTCAAGGTTCCCTGTCCCTGTCATTTTGAGCGAGCGAGCAAGGACAAGGACCCCACAGGCATTTTTGAGATCCTCCCGCCAAGATCTCCGTGGGGCCGAACCGAGTCGGAGCGGAGTCGTCAAAAATTTCCAAAAAAAGCAAGTTTCGCTTTGGAAAATCTCGGTTGCTTTCCGCCGAGACACTGACCGCTAGTGAGCATGAGGACCCCTCCACACAAGGCCCGAAACCCGCTGAAAGCCGAATGATGGAAACAACTGGAGAAACACTAGTGTCCATGCTCCAGAGTCTCCAGGATAAGTGTTTCTCCAGAGCCTCCATGATAGAGCAGCAAGGTTCAAGGGCTTTTGGTTCGGAACAACGCAATGCCAACTAAAGTTTCAGTCTTTCTTCTTCGTTCCCGAAAGGAAAGTGAAGGGGGGGTCTCTCAGCAAGCTCAGCAAAGCTCTAGTTGACAGCTCCGATCTTGAATCATGTTTCGGAAAACAAGTGGAGGCCAAGCTTTTCCCAAGAAAGCAAAGAAACAGAGAGGAAGGGATGAACTGGAGGGATGTTCCAGACACTCAGACAGTCGAACAGTTGGGTCCCCGGTCGGCTTCCGGTAGGTTTCCCGGTTCTTATCCGAAGGTTTGTTATAGGGACCCTGCCGCACTGCCAATCCTGTCAAACTGACTGACTGGGAGCTGGGAGTCTGCCTGATCCGTCAGAGTGACGATGTCCAATTTCCCGGGACGATTGTTCCCAGTTTGTTGTTTCCCAAAGAGGAGCAGAGTGCAGACTTTTTTCGTCTGAAAGAATCGAACAAGCTTGGTGGCTGGCACCGCACGCACCGCTCGGGTTACCCGACCCTCCGGGTAACTTTGGACCCGAGAAATTGTTTGTTCACGGCGAGCGGGCGGGTCGCGGCGGCGGGTCGGGGTTGTGGTTGTTGTTGTTGTTGTTGTTGTTGTTGTTGTTGTTGTTGTTGTTGTTGTTGTTGTTGTTGTTGTTGTTGTTGTCGGCGGAGAGGCTCCACTGAATCAAACACAAACCAAGGAAGGAAGGGAGTCAGGCGAGCGCAAGAACCCTGGAGCCCAGGAGCTGGGGACATCCCCGGTACCGCTGATCATAGCAGTTCCAGGCTCAAGTGCGTGTTCCGAACCCCGGCCGGGGTCAAGGCGTGTCCAAGCGCCGGCGATCTTAAGAGCTATTGTTATCAGTGATCGGCGGCTCGGCGGGCGCTGTAAGATTGCCCTTGCCGGGTGCCGGGCTGGACTGCGCTGGTAGAGCTGGATTGGAGGCTCCTCGGGGGATAGGTTGCAAGGCACCGTGGTTGCTGGTAAAGCTGGTAGTGGCAGTGACTGCTGGTGATTGCTAGTGATGGGCGATGCGATGCGATGCTGGTGATCCTGCTTGATGGCCATGATGCTAGTGATCGCATCTCGATCGCCCCTCAGTTCGAAACTTCGAATCAAATCGCCGAACATTTTTTTTCGTTCCCAGATCAACACCAACACCAACACCAACGCAAGGCCAAAAAAACCAAAACACAAAAATAGAAAGACCAAAGAAAAAAACCAACTTACCCATTCCCCCCGTTCCGCAAATTCCAACCACCCCAAATACCCCTCCACATCTTTCCGTACTTCCTCCACGTCCCTCTGCCCATACGAGCAATGCACGTACCCGATAACCTTCACATTAGGAAATCTGTCAGAGTCCGAAAGCGCAGACAGAGCCGCGCGGTAATCGGCGTTCGGGATCGGGTAGTCCGGCCCCGGTCCGTTGCCGGGGTTGATGACCACCAAAAACTCTAGGGAAGGGTTCTTGGTCAAAGCCGTGGTGAGCGCGGAAAAGAGCGGGGACCAGCCTGAGCCGAGGCTTTCGGACCAGGAGGAGGGGTAGATGTAGAGGGGGACGAGGATTGTGGACATTTTCTCGTATAGGTGAGGGGGGAGTGTTGGTGATGGTGACTGTTGAGGGGTTGAGTATTGAATTGTGAGTGGTGACCGGTGGTGAGGTTGTTGGTAGGTAGGAGGTACCGGCGATGCACCCACCCGATGCGATACGGGACGGAGGTACGGAGGTACGGAGGTAGGTCCGGTAGTCACCGGTGCCCGATTGTAGAGGTACGGAGGTACGGTTGACGGTACGGGTGTTGGTACGGGTGTTGGTATCGGCGATGGCGATGGTAAGTATCGGCAAAGAACGGAATTGAATCGTAGGCTATGATGTCAAAGATGCAGAAGACTGGTGAGGGGAAGAATGACAGAAAATCGTTTTGTTGTTCTACGAACAGTTTTTAAGCAAAAAGATTTCCGACGACCCGACGTCGTGATAAGATACGATTGCGGCGAAGAATGGCAAGTCGTACCACGGCCCGGGCCAAGGAATGTGGTGATGATCTGCACTTTTTTGCTACGTACATACAGATCCGATACGGGGTTTGCTGGCCGCTGGGCACAGGGCAGGCTGCCGTGGACCTTGCTGGGCGAGGCGAGCTGGGCTTTTTTCGCTGGGCTATGCCGGGCTCATCAGTGAGTGGGCTGTGTGTGATGTGGGCTGTGATGTGCTGGGCCGCGCCGCTTTGTGGGCAAGGTGTGTGATGTGGTGATCAACATCGACACCACGACACCACGACACCACATGTGATTATCGTGACAACGAACTAAATAGACATGAGGTACAGCATATTATGTGGACATATGGAGATGATTGACGAACAGTGAAGGTGCAGAACACATACATACTACTAACAATAAACAACAACCACAGCTGAAAATGAAGCGAAAACAAAAGTTCTAGTGCGACTCTTTTTTTGATGCAAAGGCCCACCCCATGGATCCCAGTACAATACAGGTCGGTAGATAGTAAAGGTAGTAAGATAGGTAGGGAGGTTATCCAAGAATCCGTCTCCAAGACATCAATCAATCACTCAATCACTCAATTAATCCATCAATCCATCAGTCATCATCGGGGGAACTCGCGACCTTGGTCTCCGCAACCTGTCCATCGCAATACTCAACCCACGCATTCAGATCCATGTTCTTCAACACAGTACTGAACTTATCCGCGCCCGCCGCGCCGCACGCCTTCTGGCTATCCTTGGGCTTGACAGACTTTGGCGCGCCACTGGGGTACTCGATATGGAACACGGGCTTGCCGGCCGCCGTGAACTTTTCAAAGACGTCGCACTCGTTATACTGAGCGCACTGCTCGTTGACCGAGAACTGAACAACGTCGAGGACGTTATCAATGATGCCGCCGGCGTTCTTGAGACCCATGGCCATGCCGCGCTTGGAGGCCTCCTTGCCCAGGAAGCGGACAAAGTCAATGGTGTCCTGCTGGGTCAGACCCAGGCCGTTGTCGTTCTGGTAGCCGTCCACGTTGTCGGGGTCGACGGCGTCGCACTTCATGGCGGCGGCAATGTCCAGGCGCTTGGTCATGATGTTGCGGACCGAGGTGCGGCGGATGTCCAGCCACTTCTCGTCGGGCCAGCCGTCCATCGTCTTGCCCAGGTCGGCATCGACGAAGGAGCCGTTGTCGGGCGTGTAGGGCTCGTAGGAACCCGCAGAGAAGTAGCAGATGGCGCGCTTGCCGAGGGAGTGCAGGTTGGCGATGACGTCGGTGTCGCGGTGGATGAACATGTCAAAGTCCCAGACGGGCACGTCGGGGGCTAGGGTCTGCGATGTCTTGGCGTTGGCGGCGGGCACGTCGAGGACCGAGTTGAGGATGATCTGCCATTTGGTGCCGACGGCGGGCTGCCAGACGGTGCCGTTGGGGGTCACCGGCGGTTCGGTGGGGCTCGGGTTGGAGGGCTCGTTGTCATCCCCGCGGCCGCCGTGGTCCTTGAGACCGAGACCCAGGCCGAGTCCGAGTGCCAGACCGAGTACGAGGACGACGGCGGCGGCGATGGAAATGAAGAGGATCTTGCGGGATCGGCGCCGGGGTGGGGCATCTCGGGAAATGAAGCCGGCCTCCTCGAGGACCTTGGCCCGGTGCTCCGACTCGTCGGAATTGGGCGTGTCCGCCATTGTTCAGGATCGGGGGATTGTTGACCGGGAAGGTGAGTGGACGGTAAGAATAGGTGTGTGCGTGCGGTATGCGCTATGCAGCAGATGGATGGTCTGCAGTACAGTATAAGTGAAGTGTAAGTGCGTGCAGCAGAGACGCGGACGCGGGCGCGGAAAGGACAGGCGCGCAAGTATTAAGATGAATACGAAGTGAAATGAGAAGCGGAAAGGACAAAGAAGGGCAAAGATTGACGAGAAATGCGGATCCGGCGGTGTCGTGCTGTTGTGTGACCGTCAACAACACCTGACTGACAAACACCAGGGAAGAGAAGACGACGACGACGATTTCCAAGGATCTTTCAGTGGATATGTATATGTTAGTGCACCACACAACTCGTGACAGTCTTGTTGGCCCAAAGGAGGTCCAAAGGATACAAAGCGGTGAGTTTGACCAATACTGCGGTGACTCGACGGTGGTGGAAATAAAGGGACTGCACAAACACTGGTTTGTTGACGAGTCGAACGAGGTCTCGTCCACTCTGCGACCTGTGGCGCCTACGGTTTTGTTTGGTTGTCGACGAGGCTTGTCTCAGAGCCGAGAGCGCTTCTGCCTCGCCTACCTGTAGTTGCTTGACTGTCAACCTCACTGCCACTGCCCAGTGCAACAGTGAATCGATGTCAAAGACAATGGAAGACTTGTGCAAGTTGTGTGATGCATATAAAAGCGGCAGTGTTGTTGGCGCTGGTGATGGTGGATAGAAATGGCGGGGACAAAGAAATCACCCGTTCAGAGCCGCATCTCCATATCGATTATGTTGGGTGTCGCCTTGGTATCCTGTCTTGGAGTCTTGGTCTCCGTATTGTCCGTATTCAGCCCACCACTTTGCTTGGCTGCTGTCGACGAGGTGGAGGAGAGGATGAGAATTGAGAAGGAAAGAAAAGAGCGACCTCGACCGAGCGAGAAGCGAGGAAGGCCGGACACAGCGGCACAGCGGCACACAGACACACAGACACTGATTGATGACAGGGGACCACTCCGCTGAGTCCAGGCCAGTGCAGGCGCAGTCTCCCGTCGGGTCTGCTCCTGCAATCTGGGCACCTCCATGCAGTGCTCCTCTTGCAGTTTTTAGTGCAGCAACAGTGCGTCTTGGCATTCTGTTCTTGGCTCGCCCGGTTAGGCGCTGTCAGCCTGTCATTGATCGCTATAAGAGGATAGTGCAGTGCAACCTCAACACCGTGTGGTTCGTGATGTAAACAAACACTGTGAGAGACAGCGTCAACAAAACTTTCTCCACAATTGCCCGCCAGTCGCAACAGGGATATCCGCTGAACCGCTAGAACCCTCTGAAAACCTCCGGTGTTTGCAAGTACCGACGGCTTGGGGGCTGAAATCTTGGGACGACAGAATGTTTAGTTCAGGGGTCAAACTTTTTGGTCTCCTGTTTCCATCTCAGAAACTCCCGTCATGGCGACATCATCACCAATCTCCTTCATGTTTTGGCTTCAATGGAATACACATTCCTTCAAACGCCCATCATAGTCATACCTCACACGGCTTTCCCAACATCCATCTCCGCGGGCTCTGGCCCGTTCCAGATGGACTGGGATGGAGTTCCAGATCACGCTATGCCTGTCTCCCATCGCCTGTCTTACGCCCACAATTACCCGAACATCTTGCCTGTCTCCGATCGCTACCAAGTATACGACGTGATGGCGGCCGAACTTGTGCTCTCGGTCAGCAATAATATTACATGCAACTATTGACCGATTCACACAAAAGATGACGAGGCAAATAAAACGAAAAGCAACGAGAGCCGTTGTCCTCGATATTGAACATGCAGCTGGAGGGCGGGGAGGGGAACCAGCCAGGGGAACATTCCAGTAATCCAGTGATGCCAGGGGATTCAGGAGGGGCAAGAGGGGGGGGAATACGGGCACGATGGGCTACGATGGTAACAATGGGCTTGCGTGGCTTGCCCAGCTGCCCTGGCTTGTTACACAAAGGCGTTGAGGGGGGGGTCCACGTTGACGCCCACTCGACGCCCACTCCGGAGCCCCATCCTATTTCTCTCTCTCTCATCCCAGCAGTAGCCTAGCTGCTGCCCCAGACCCAACCCTCGCATGGAATGTTAGGAATCTGGGCACGTATCTCAGCCCCTCGAAAGATTGCTTGCATGAGACACCGGTGAGCTAGTAACTCACTTTTTCGAGCTCCCCAAGCTCCCCATGAGATTTCAGCTCGTTTGTTTCTTCCAGATCGAGAGAAGTGTGATCCACGACGCATATTTGCATCCGTGCAGACCTGGACGGCGCTCCGTTCGATAACCTAACCGGATCTAGGTAGCTGAAAAGGCTGACTGCTTGAAGCGTTGTCCGTCATCTCTCCTCTAACAACCGGCTCCCCTTAGCATGACTCTCTAGCATCGGGCCAGAGGCTGCAAGGTCTCATCAGACCATTCGGATATCCCTATTCTAGTCAAACAGGAACATGGATCTATCTCCATAGCGAAACCGACCCAACGACATGGTAGCCTGCTTGCCGCCATGCTAGCACCATGCTGCCCTACCATGCCGGAAGGTGTGATAATGCCAATGTTCGTGAGCGAAAGAGTGTGAGCGATGTGTGAGTGGGCTCATTTTCGGCATCTTCTCCATCCCTATACGATACACCAAGTCAGACACACACACACACACACACACACAAGGATATACAAAGTTACAAACCTTGTTGTTGTTGTGGTTCTGTCCGACTATATTGTGCCTCTCATTCCCACTTCCTTCCATGAGGTGAGACTCTCACAAGCATCACCGCCGTCATTCCACTCGTTTTTCTCACCTGTTGTGCTCTTCCCTCACCAGAGCACACAGTTTATCCCACGCACATCCCACAGTCCGACGTCTTACAGGACTGAGTCGTGGGTTACGGCACACAGCTTACTTGCAACACCACAAAACTTTTTTGAACATTTTTTTTTTTTTGCATTGCACGTGCAAAAAACAACATTTGTCCACAATGTTCTCCTTCTCTAGGAGCGCAGCTTGGAGCTGCCTCTTGGTGGCCCTGCACTTCACCCTCGCATTGGCCGCCAAGTCGCTCACCAACACCATCCTCATCCTCGCCCGCGACACCTACTCGGGCACTTCGGCTGCCGAAGGCCTGCAGGGCTATGGCATCCCCTACCAGATCCTGCTCGTGCCCCAGGCCGGCATCACCCTCCCACCTCTGACCTCCGGCACGGACAAGGGCAACTACGGCGGTATCATCGTCGTCAGCGAGGTCTCGTACCAGTACACCGACGGCTGGCGCTCCGCCATCACCGCCGCGCAATGGGACGCCATCTACTCCTACCAGACCACCTTCGGTGTTCGCATGGTCCGCCTCGACGCCTTCCCCAGCACGGACTTGGGCGTCGACCTGGCTGTCGCCGGTGCCGGCTGCTGCAACACCGGCGTCGAGCAGCTCGTCGCCTTCTCTGACGTCTCCGACTTCCCTACCGCCAACATCAAGACCAACGCCGGCGTGACCACCCAGGGTCTCTGGCATTACCCGGCCAAGATCGTCAACTCGACCATCGCCAAGACCATTGCCACCTTTGCTCCTTCTTCTGACGGCACCTTTTCCACCACCACCACCGCGGCCGTCATCAACACCTTTGGCACTCGCCAGCAGATGGTATGGTTCACCTCGTGGGCTACCGACTGGGCCTTGACCTCCAACTACCTCCAGCACGGCTTCATCCACTGGATGACCCGCGGTCTGTTCGTCGGCAAGCGCAAGATCTACTTGAACACCCAGGTCGACGACATGGGCTTGGAGACCGAGATCTACCACCCTGCCGGCCAAAACTTCCGCATCCGCATCTCTGATCTCGAGACCCACGCCAGCTGGCAGTCCAACATCAACACCCGTCTGCCCGCCGGCTCCCATTACTTCATTGAGATGGGCCACAACGGCAACGGTGACTTCATCGAGGGCATCCCCAAGGCCACCAGCTCCAGCACGTGCAATCCCCCCGATGCCGTCGACTACGTGTCTCCCCCCGACACGCCCCTGGACTTCAAGAAGCCCCTGGGCACCGGCATCACCCTCTGGAAGTCCAGCTACGTGAACTACACCTGGTCTCTGCAGTGTGCTCTCCTCGACGACATCACCACCTGGTTCTACAACCACCTCAACACCTTCGCCTCGGTCTCGCACACCTTCTCGCACGAGGAGCTCAACAACGCCACCTACAGCGACGCCAACAAGGAGATCTACTTCAACCAGGCCTGGCTCAACCAGATCGGCTTCGGCTCGTCCTCCATGTTCTCGCCCTACGGCCTGATCCCGCCCGCCATCACCGGTCTGCTCAACGGCGACGCCATCAAGGCCTTCCTCGACAACGGCATCCGCTACGTGGTCGGCGACAACACGCGCCCCATCCTGCGCAACCCGGACAACTCGTTCTGGCCGGCCATCACCAACGTCGCCACCAACGGGTACGACGGCCTCGTCATCATCCCCCGTTGGGCCACCACCATCTACTACAACTGCGACACCCAGGCGTGCACGCTCCAGGAGTGGATCGACACCTCGGCCGGCTCTGCTCCCTTCAGCAACCTGCTCGATGATGCCCGTCGCGTGAACGTCCGCTACCTGCTCGGTCTCCACCCCGACCCGTACATGTTCCACCAGGCCAACTTGCGCAGCGGCGACACCGATCAGATCACCATTGGTTCCGTCAGCGGCAAGCTCTCGCTGATCCAGATCTGGGTTGAGACTATCACCCAGGAGATGGTCCGTCTTACCAACTGGCCTATCGTGTCCCTGAAGCATGATGATATCGGTCGTCTCTTTGTTGACCGCATGACTCTTGAGTAAGTAGTCCCTGTTACCATTCACTTTGATGCTGCTGAACACATACTGACACTGTAAACAGCAAATGCAACCCCAACCTCCAGTACAACTACTCCGCCGACGGCACCAAGATCGTCAGCGTGACTGTTACTGCGGGCACCAACAACCAGTGCTCCGTCCCCATCCCCGTCACCGTGCCCGCTTCCGCCACTGGATCGGCCACTGTTGACGCTCTTGGCAACGAGCCCAAGATTTACTGGACTACCCTGTCCGGTTCTCCGAAAACTTTGACGCTTTCGCAGCAAATCAGCATTTAAGGATGGGGTTAAAATGGATGAATATGGTGGGATATATGGAGTCAAAACGGATGAACATGGTGGGATATTTCTTTGGATACCTAGTGTCTTTTTGTGCAATGATGAATAGCTTCAAATGGACTTGATTGAATGACAATCCGATGTTCCTTTGTGATGTGAAGTGTTCTCCTCCTAGCTCTTAGTCAGCCCAGACATGCTTGTAGATGGTTTCTTCCAAAATGTTCAAACAGCTTCAACTTGCAGGGTCTTCTTTCCACCTACCTCTCTTACCGTCACTGCCACTGTCTCTGTTACCCACATCACCCATCACCACTTGACCCTCACTCATCAGGCCACTGATCCCTTACCTCCCCGCCCTCCACCAACCGTCCCATATTCAACCTCACGCTCCACCTCACATACGGCGTCATCTCCTTGTCCTTATTCACAAACCCTCCCCCCGGCGCCGTGATATCCGACGCCGCCCCCTTGCCAAAGTGATGACTGAACAACGGCGGTTGCACCGTAACACACACCGGCGCTCCTCCTCCTTTCCCCTTCCCTTGTTTCCCATTCCCATTACTCCCATCAACACCAAAAAAAGCCCCATCACACCACTCCCCCAAAGCCAAATCCCACCCCTTCGTCAGCGCCTCCTTGACCCCAAACCGCCACAACAACTTCCTCGCTCCTTGCTGACTGACGGCGTAGGCTTGTGTGCAGATGGTCCCGCTAGAGGGATGGACGACGCGCGTGTGAGGGGGGTAGAGCTCCGCGAGCTGGTCTTGGAGAGCGAAGGGGTGCGCTTTGAGGTGTTGTGGGCTAGGGACGGTGGGGTCGTTGGGGATGGTTACTCGGAGGAGGGAGGTGTTAGTGGGAGGGGTCGTGAGGGTGGTGGATGTGGGAAAGTTGGTGCCGCAGTGGCCTAGCCAGAGGACGTCCCAGTTTTGGCCGTAGGGTGATGAGGAAGATTGGTTGGGAGGGGAGGGGATGGAGGTGATGGGGAGGTTGGTCACTTTGTCATCTGATGGGGTGGTGGTTCGGGGGTTGTGCTGGGTAAAGGGCTGAGCTGCTCTGGCGAAGATGTGCAGTTGGGACTTGAGACGGATGTCCCAGTCTGCGTCGTCTTCGAGGATCAGGGCGCTGGTGAGGTTTTGGTCGATGATGGTGTTGAGAACGTTCATGTGCGCTCGCCATGAGCCCTTGTTGCCGCGCAGGATGGACTTCTCCCAGTCTTCACCTAGTACGACCTTGTCTGGGACTTCGCTTCCGGGGACGCCCTTGGCCCATGTGATTTGGAGGTTCGTGAGTGCAGCGGCTAGGGTCATGGCATCGTGACGGTCGGTCCGCTCGGGGAGGTTGATGACGAAGATCTTTTGGAACTGGCAGTGGATCAATGTTAGCATCATATCCCGGTAAGAACCGAGACTGGGGAGAAGAGACCCGTACTCCCAGAGTGGTGTTCAGGACATCCGCTGAGGTTTCGCTGGAGAGTTGACTGCCAACATGTCGAATTGTTGGGACACCATGCAATCTGAGGGATTGTATGATAAGGATGACAGTAATGATACCAAAGAAAGCAATTGCGGCGGCGCGATGACCAACGATCATGTTGATTCCATTCTCACCGGCGGTTGAAGATCCGTTGGCTTGGTGGTTTCGTTCTTGCCATCATTTGCTATCACGAGATAAAATTCCCAACCTGTGTTAACGGACTTTCTTTTTCGTTGAACAACAGCCGTGGACGACTGGTTAAAACCGGATAAAATGGCATCCCGCCTGTTGTCATCTCATGGTGGAAGGAGCTTCCGTCTTGGTCCCAGAGATCATCAGTGCTCGATGTCATGTTGGGATGCTCCTTCCATGCCCATGTTGAGTCCATCTGCTCTGGTCATGTATCGTGTATTCCTGCAGTCGTTCTTAATGATATGCAGCTGTAAGTTTGTAGTTCTGAGTGCTATTGACCCGACGGACCGGCTCGGGCTGACAGAAGGCAGACTGGCAGGCAGTATGCAGGTCTGCCAACTGACACTTGGTTCGATTGTCACAGAGCCATACACAACGGGACGGAAATAACGCATTGGAGGGGCATTGGAGGGCCGATGAATGAAAGTCTGCGACTGCATCATGTGTTTTGCCTTTGCAACTTCCTCATCAAGTCAACCTTTCATCCAAGCACACATCATCGACCCTTTTGACTCTATCCAGCACCAACTGTAATGAACGACCTTCGAACGATGCCGAAACAATACCCCATTCTTTCCCTTTCCAGGTCGGATTGGATGAAGCAGAACATCTCCGCCCCAATTGATGTTGCATGCTATCTCCAGTCCTCGACTCAATAATGCCACGATCGAATCGCGTCCTCACATTGGACGCCTGTCACATGGAGAGATACATCGCCAATGGTTGGGTTGACACAGCCCCAAACCCCTCCTTATCGTCAACCCATTCCTTGCCAACGCCCAAAATTTATTCCTTCATTCTGAACCCGAGCAACTCTGTCTTGCATCCTCCTTGAGCATCAGCGCACACCATGGCAGACCCTCTATCCATTGCTGGTCTGGCGACTGGCGTCGTCTCCCTCGGCATACAGCTTTACCACGATCTACAGACCTTTCTCGACATAGTGAAGCATCGAGATGAAGATATCGCCAAACTCACACGACAAGCTGCGACAATGGCTCAGGTCTTGGACGCCATTGACCGGTCTCTACAGAACAGCAACCAGGCAAACAATGGAGTCGTCGATAGTGCCACTATCATACCACTTCTCGATGCATCGCGCCAGGAACTGTTTCTTCTACAACAGGAAGTCGCGTCCCTCACAAAGACATCAAAAGGCCAGAAGGCCTCAGGTGTGGTAGAATTTGCAAGGATCACAACGCAAAAGCTCAAGTATCCGAGACAGCGCGCCAACATCCAGAAATTGGAGGAGGGTTTGGACCAAGCGAACACAACTCTTCAACTCGCCCTCAATGCATTTGGACTGTAAGTTGTCTCATACCCCGTGAGTCGTCAATAGGTGTGCTCTGTGTCAACAGACAGAATCTTGCTAGATACGAGAGCCTGAAACACTTGCTGATTATTGCCCTTCTATCAACCTTCAGATCCGAACTAAGCTCCATCAAGTCGAATACCGAAGTGGTGGCTTATGGCCTCAGCAACGTCCAGAAAACCCTTCCCGACGTCGAAGCTCGTGTATCAGAGCTGTCGGAAAAACTGGTGGCAACGAACCAAACGGCCACACAGAGCATCCAGAACGTCGAAGGAATCCTGAACCTTGTCATTTCTTCCCATCAAGCCGACCTTAAACAGCTTGGGCAAGCACAATCCAATGAGTTTAGCCAAATGAAGCAGCTCATCCAAGACCTTTCGCTGAAGATGGATGCCAATGCTTCCATCGGTCCAAAGGTGGCAACAACACACTGCTTCCCCACCGGCGAGCTCTTGCTTACAGTTTTTATGCAGGACATTGAAGTTCACCGGAACCTGGCTTGTCTCATGTCGAAGCCAAGCGCACTCAAAACACTTTGTGATGAACATTATGGCGAGCCCACGTCCTGGAGTCCACCCGACACAAGAATCTGGCCTGCCTGTACTTGCCGGTGCTCCCAAATCATCACTCAGCGATCTCTTGAATGGGGTCCTTTTCGACTATCCACGAAATCCAAGGCAGAATTCGTTCACCATGAAAGCTGTCAATGGGCACGATTCGATACGCCTAAACGGTCCAAAGCCATAAGTCTTGCGTATCGTGGGTTTACTCACCTACTCCGATGTGCTGTCGTTATCAATTTCCGCTTGAACCATGGTGCAGGTGGATTCAGCTTAGGCCCCGGCATTGTCTATTATCCCGTCGTGGATGAGAATGTTTACGCGCCTTTTAGGCTTGTTGAATATGTTTGCGAAGCTATGTACATTTTAGCAAACGCTTCATCCGAGCTAACCTAGCCAAGAATAACGCTAGATCCAACCTTGAAGCACAAAGTGTTGGAAGCCTTCAGCAGACATATATCGCGAGCTTGTTTCAACGGAGTGATTATTCCCCGAGCTGTCAACATCGGTGGTGAGACATTACTGCATTACATTTCACATCTTATTCAGGTAACGTAACCAGCGGGATTCTTCACCGTTCCTCATACGACAGAAACCCTGACTTGAGCCAGGAGGATTACACGTACGGTGTGCTCAAACATTGGTGGACTCCATCGATGATTGCATTAGTCCACAAGATTCTTGCAAACTTGATCATGTGTAATGTCCCATCGACAGTTTGCGATAATGACGGAAGGTACGACTCCAGTTCGCTTCAGAGTTTGCTGGAAGAGACAGGCTAACTTTGACACAGGCTTGCACATTTGACGATAGCCAACTATATCCCCCATACAAACAAGAACATGCTGGTTCCCATGACCACCCTTCTCGAGTTATTTACCTCGCGAGACATGGATTTCGATCCTCCCCAGGCTAGAGACCAGCCAGACCCCTTTCTACCTGGATTCGCATATTTGAAACCCCTCCCCGAGCCTTCGGTCTTCAGCAAAGGTAGCATTATTTGTCCATACCCCTTCCTGCCAATTTTACCTGCCTTCTGACCTTCCATGCTAAGTCGAGTTTTATGTTTTAGCATTCTGTTGCAATCAATTGGGTACAGCGATCCTGCAACGGGATATTTCATCTGTCAGGTCTCTCCTATCCCGCGCTCCGTCCTTGGTATTCGAATGGGACCTGAATGGCATGACCCCACTTCACTACGCCGTGCTTTGGAAGGATGGCTTGTCCATTATCCTGGAGCAAGTTCCAGTCGAGAACTTTGCGGAGGACTTGGCCTGGGACATCTTTCGATACGCTCTATCGGCATATCGAACGAGTTGTCCAGATCTGTGCTTGGAGAAATGCCATTGCTCCGAATGCATCATGTTATTCCTTGACCATTCCTGGTACTTCGCTCCATGTTCAAGCCGGGGCCGAGATCACGGTACACTTCGCTTGTTACTGGGACAATCGCCACTGAGCGCCCAGGAGAAGTTCTTGTTATATCTCAAGCAGTCTCGGCAGGAAATTGTCGGCCTTGCACTGCAAAAGCTCTTTGGTGATGACATGGGACGTCAACTTGATGTAATGGATCTTCCCACCAAGACGGTCCATTGGATTATCGACCACCTGCAAAAAACAGCGACAACATCTCCACCTACGAGACGCGCAAGAATCCAAGCCGCAGTTGATTCCTTCACCATATACTGCGAGATAGACTACGCACAGACGGCAGAATTTGCCTCGCAGTTGGGATTTCGTGAAGTGACTGTTACGATCCGATCAGAAGCCCCTTATGTAAGCTAGATAGATTGACCAATAAGCGACAACCCGTACCTAGGGTCCCGTTGTCCCGAGAATACGGGACTACGGGACCAGGTTACATGGGGTGTCCCGTGGTCCCGAGATCGCGGGACTACGGGACGGGTTTGAAGACCAGTATATAAGAAGGCCGCTTCCCGGCCTTCGTTATTCTGGCTCTTCAGCAAGCAACCAACTGATACAATCGACCAGTACCTTTTGGCTACTACTACCGTTATTCCTATTCTTATTTCCCAGCGATATACTCCTGTGCTTGTAACGGTTCGTCACAGTGACCTATCACGCAGCTACAGCCTTCCCACCCCTCGTGCACAACGCCCTTGTGGAAGACTACGCCCTTGTGGAAGACTACGCGCTGTGGCTGTTGGATCATGGAGCCGACCCGCTACAACCCCTCCACGACATTGAGAATTGCAATGCTCTAACACTGGCAGCTCACAAAGCTATCTATTGCATTACTAGCCCACGTTGGGACCAGTGGGGCGATATAGGTGTAGCTGGGCTTGAGCTAAATGTGCTGAGCCAAGCCGCGCATGAGGTGGCTCGTCAGTTATGCAGTGAACCAACAACGGACAGTTGTCTATGTGCATGCTCTGCAAATGGCTGTACGCCATTCCTCATTCTGTTGAGGATCCTGGCTCCTAGGTCCTTTAACTCCCCACGGTACGCATTGTCTCAGCCTAAGGACTATGCCTGTGAGTTTACACATATTCGGACAATGTTATACGGAAATGACGGCTTTGTATGTCAGTACGAAGTACAATTCTGCGAGGCTTTACGCCTCTTCACGTTCATGGCTCTCGGTATCCGACACACGTGTTGCAAAAAGCACGGCTACCATAACGAAGGCAATGTAGACGAAATCCACGAGGAGGACAGCGAGCTTGTAGATATCCTTGAAAATTTGATGGAGCAGTGGCAGGATGTGAGCTTCGAATCTGCAAACGATTTTTGGTGTTTTCTCCATCACGACTGGGTCATCCGTCTAAACGAAGTCTTCGAAGATATGCGCCAGATCGACCAGACAGAGGAGAATAGGGACCGGCTCCAAAGCCTGGGCGTTCAGCTTCATGCTCCTATTGTGGACGCCAACGTTCCAGAGCCGCCGGTACGAAGGAGAAGGTTCATCTGGTGGGAGGAGAGCTTTTGGTTGGACCTTCTTGACACGGTTGCAGAGGGAGGTGATACAAGCTATTTTGACCGCGTCCTTGAAGATGCTTGGGACATGAGACGGGGTATAGGAAGATGGGACGAAGAGGAGGGGCAATGGGAAGGAGAATAAAACGGGTCACGCTGTTCTCGGCCAACCCTCGATGGAACTGGTAGAATGGTTATATGAAAGATTGGATGATCGAGCATCATGATAGGATGAAGTACCCCAAGACAAAACAACGAAAAGACTGGAAGACAAATATCGAGACAGGAAAGCGTTGCTTTTGAGTAATTTGCGAATGAGCGCTTGTGTACAACCCCTCGTAAAAGCACCGGACAATGGTAGTTCCAACATCGGTTTTGTCGTTACTCACCATCAGTGGATGGACGTGGGCGATGGGCGCCAATTCAAGGACAATCACTTGATGGTGTTCCCGTAGCATCTGTAGGAGAGGGAAAGAGGCGCTTGGCTCCCCGTAGATACCCCCTGGCAGAAGCCACGTTTTGGACACTTACTTTGTCGACCGCAGCCAGTCGAGCAAACATTCCCACTTTGGTCCGTCCCTGCAGATAGACCCTTTCCTCTCGAGGATATCACGAAATCCATCTGCTGCATCTGCAATCCATCTACCTGTAACGATGCCCACGGGTTGTACTTCGGCTGTAACCCGAGCGGCCGCTCGAATTGCTTGTCAGTGAGGAGTGATGTAGTATCACCACGTTCCAAAGTTGACATCCCGTTACAGACCAGACTGACCTGACCTTTACCATCTTAGGATTCGGTGTTAAGACTTACCGTAGTACGCCCAGGCTTGCAGACGGGTCCCTGTCTTGGCAAGAGGACCCCGACGATAAAACCCAGGGGTTCGTCTCAAAACATGTTTGTCTCGAGTCCTTCCGCTCCTTCTCTCCTTCTGTCCAGTTCTCCATCCTAGACCTCGCCCCAGTTCACCGAGCAACCCAACAAGAGATGCTCGGCCATTTACCCTAACAACCATATCCACGATCTGCCCTACCCATCATGTCCAGATGTCCTCCCCAACCGACATCGTCATCATCCCCGGCGGCTGGCACACCCCCGCCTCCTACCGGAAGTTCACCACCGCCCTCTCAACCGCCTTCCCCTCCCTCCGAGTAACCGTCCTCCCGCTCCCCAGCATCTCCAACGACCCCTCCCCCACCGCCGACTTCTACACCGACTCCTCGTTCGTCCGCTCCTCCGTCTCCCAAATGATCTCCGAAGGCCGCCGCCTCGCCATCCTCATGCACTCCTACGGCGGACAAGTCGGCTCCAACGCGCTCCATGGGCTGTACCGTGAAGAGAAAAGCGGCGGTGGCATCACCCACCTCATCTACCTCGCAGCCGCCATACTCTTCCCCAACTCCCTCATGACCGTTCCCTACGGCGACTCCAAACCAAACGTCTCCCTCGTCAACCCCTCCCACTTTGATTTCCTCCCCGACGGGCGAGTGGTCGCCTTGCGTCCTATAGAAATGTGGATCGGCACCGAGGCGGGCGATAAGGGGGAGGCGACAGACCAAGAAATTGAAGAGTATGTGGGTACCATCACGCCGATTGCGACCAAGGTCATCAGTCAGAAGACGGAGCATGCGGCTTGGATGGATGGGAAAGAGGAGGGCGGGCCGAAGGTGGTGTATGTGATGACCACCAAGGATATTTCGGTTCCGTTGGAGTTGCAGGAGTGGATGGTGGGGAGGGCGAGGGAGGAGGTGGGCGTGGATGTGAAGACGGTGAGGATGGAGACGGGGCATGTGCCGACGCTGACGGGGACGGGGGAGTTGGTGAGGGTTTTGGGGGAGGTATTGGGGGAGTGAGGTCAGGGAGGAAAGGGAGGGATTGGCCCTACCTATCGTTACCTGAGTGCTGAGAAGGCTTTGACGATGCTTCGGCAGACATCGCCAAAAGTCACTCGACTCGACGGAAGTGTTTGCTGCACTCGCACTCTGCCTGTCGTCGTTCCATCATGCTTTCAGATCCTAGGCTTGGAACGCTTTTCGGCAACATGAACTTGTTATAGCGTCGCGTATTTGAGTTGTTGCCTTGGGATGAAAGTTGAGATTTGAGAACACTCCATCACCTCCAGCTCTCCTCGTGTCTTATCTTATCCTTATCCTTATCTTATCACTTACCCTGCCATCAAGGTACCCAACCGATAAGAGCTTTCACCCATCCAAGACTCGCACAGACCACATCGCAAGACTTCCCCTGTTTCTTGCGGTGGTGGATGACGTAACGTGCGAAATGCGCTGCCACAGCTGCGCAAGCTGCGTCGTAAACAATCCCGACTTGGTCGACACAGCCACAATCCAGCTTTCCCGTCCTTTCTCCCAACCACCTCCGATTTGCTCAGCTTTGTGACATCCTGCTTCCTCGAGTTTTAACAGTTACTACCTGACGCCCCTCGTTTCGGGATTCTTCTTCCTGGCAAATAAAACCCACTGCGACCCTTAAAAACCTCGAAGCTTAGTTTGTTTTCCGCGCCGTCTCTCGCTGCTTGCTTATTTTGTTTGCTGCTGCATCATCGAACATTGAACTTCGAACTTCAGCTCAAAAGTGTCAACACCGCATCGCATCGCACATTACATTGCGCACTGCAGCACAAGACATCAACTTCAACATCGGCAACGTTTTATACCCGCTCGAAAAACACACACGAGACAAATAATCAAAAAAGAAAACCAAAATGACTTACACACAACAACCCCCCGCCGCCAACAACACCATGACGGTCGTCGAGCCTGAGCCCGCCCACGTCCACGTCTCGGTCGGCACGAAGCCAGGCGATATCGAGATGGCGCAGCCTGGTATTGCGCAGCCTATGGGTACGTTTCCTCCCCTTCAATTCCCCCACCCTTCCTCTCCTTCCCGTCCACCCACCTCTATCACAAAGAAACATCATGCTAACCTCACCACCCAAATAGACCCCATGCGCCCCCACGACGACTCCTCCATCGGCCTTCGCGGCGGTGATCGCGGCGGCATGTGCCCCGGCCGCTTCTGCTTCTGCATTCCGTGCCCGATACCGTGCGATTGCTGCTTTATTCCTCTTTAAAGAGCGGAACGATGACGCCAACAACGACGACGACCGTTCCGAGCCTCTGTGCGGTTTACGATATACAATGATGGAAAAGGAGATGGATGGGTTGTTAATGATGGATGGATGATGGATGATAACGATGATGATACCACTACGCTTTTCTTGTTTGGTTGCTTTTTTGGGGGACGGGTGATGGGTCGATGTTGAACGCGAACCGAGTTAGGACTGGGCGTGGTCTTCTGCAGCCACGACACATCTGGACGGTTGTATGGTTCTTGTTTCTTTCTCAGTGACGAGTGTTAAGAAAGATTTACGCGCGGGTTATGACTTTGCTTTCCTTTTGGAGAATGAATGGATGGACTTCGACAGCTCGCTTTGCGGCGACTGCGTTGTCCTCCCAATTCTTTGAGAGATAAACATTGTTCAAGCTCGATAATGACAACGAACGATAATGAACATACACATATCTGATTCCTGGATCCCAGTCCTGATGCCGTTGTCTTCTTTACTCCTTCACTCGGAGAATGCCGAACAAGATTGGTAGGGGTATGCAGTGGCTCCTCCCCGTGGAACTCCAGTATAACAAAACTCAACTCTGTCCGACTTCTTGCCCGTCCTGGTTTGGTACGACCTTGAGGAGCTGATCCGGCCACGGAAACACAACTTCACGCGAGGGAGTGTCATCAGGGAAGCAAATGCCATTTGCCCAGCATTGAGTTCGCAAAGCTGTCATCGGTTCCACTCCCCCTTGTGGTGTATTGCTTTGGATGCTTTCATCATCGACCTCAACTTGTAGTACCGCATACTGGTATGAATGGCGTCCGATATGATTGTGTAGCGTCTGGAACCTGCCCATCTTATCATTCTGTAGAGGACTCGGGTTCTTTTACGGTCGAACTGAATACCAATGACGGGGTCGTCAATTGTATATTCGCCTTTTTGGCCGGGTTGAACACGAAGAGCGCATGATACAGTGACTTGTCGTCTGGTACATTGGGATCCCAAATGCCTCCGAGTCTTATGAGCCAGCCTTGCGTAATCGCGAAAAGCGTTGGCCGTAACACTTTCCATGGGACTTCCGTCCCCTTGCGCGAGCTGGTCTGGAAATAACAGCCTGAGGTTTCTGGAAATCGGATGTTCGAGGGATGCCTTAAGGTCAGCTGCCAAAGGTGTGTACGCGAGGTCTTCAAGTGTCCTGATTAGTTTTCGCAATTGGTCCTGGGTGACGAACAGGTTCTTCATTGTCTTTATCCGCATATCCGATTTTGCATCCCCGAATTCTGGAACACGCCGCATGGATGCTGGACTATCTTCTGCCTTGCTGAGGCCGATAACCTCGCCTAGTTGCCATAGATGACCTCGTGTTCGAACGCCTTTGATAGTGAGTACCACGTCAGGCAACCGACAGTTGCCGTTGAATGCCTCCGTGTCACTCTCATTGTCGAGTAGTCGAGCCTCAAGATACAGTGAGACCTTCAAGTTCAACATCTTTTGGCTGTCTTGTTCTTTCCCGTTGTCTAGAACCTCGCCATTCAAGAGAAACAAGGCAAGGGTGGATATGCTGATGCTGTGTCCTTGGCGTTGAAGTTCTAAAGGCTGCAGCCGAATCGAGAAGCGGGAGCAGTTGCCGATGATAGCTAGCCTATCCCAATAATTGGCTATCGCCTTCCTCTCAACAATCTGGACGAACGACGCTACCACGCAAGAGTAATTGAAGTGCATATGTCTTTGTCTGGTGCCTCGAATGGCCCTGTCGATCTCGAATAGCATGTTGACACAACGTTTGTCTCCTTCGCTGAGTATCTCGCCATTGCTCTCAAGCAGTCTCTTGACTGCTACCCAGAGCCAGGTGGCGCGTGTAGAGAAGAACTTCGAGCTTATACAAAGTTCGCCCGGTACAGTATAAAAGGAGGACGAAGTAAATCTTATGGTTGCCTTGATATCCTCGAGCTCGGGTGCATGTCTCAACAAGAGCTGCATCTGTGACATAGCAAGAATATTCTCCTGAAATGGCCATGCTCTTGCCCACCATGGTTCGCTGATGATCTCGTACACAAGGTTTATGGCCTCTATAGCCCTAGTCGGAACCCGATTGTCGGGTTCGCCGTCGGTACTAGGATCTGGTTCCATAAGCTTGCTAGGTACGTTGAACAAATCTCTCAGCAGAAGAAGGTCATCCTTAGACTTGATATAGTGTGAAAGCAAGGCCGTCGGGGCACTGCTGGCTGAGTACACAAGGTCCATAGCATGCACCGCGTCCCTCTTTTCGTTACAGTCTTCGTGTGAGCAGCTACCGCTTGTACATGTAGTTGTTTGAGTGATACAATGTTGATCGATCCACAGAGCATGGTATTTCCAAACACTCATAAAATTGGTAATGCGATCGAGAACAGTGTTGCGGACCGGGGACATGTCGAAGCCAGTTCGTTGCTTATTCTCTATCCAGTATTTTCCAGAAGTCTCGTTCTCGCCCTCTTGCGGTTGCCAGGTGTAGGAAAGAGCCACGTAATTGTAATACTCTTCTGGAATATCAAGAACATTGACATAGCAGCGCCGCATGAATTTGTATTCCACAGCGGGATCGTCTGTACTCCTCGGAGGAATGACCTCTCCCGTCTTGGATTTTCGGGGTGGGTTATAATATGGGTATTTAATAGGCTGGAGACACTCTAGTCGTTCGAGAAAGCTGGTAGATTTGCTCTGTAACACCACGCTCTCCTGGATATCGACCAACATGTTGACAATGGAACGGCCATGTTTCTGAGAAATCTGGGAGAGCGTTTGATTCGAGTCGTCGGCGGAAGTATCGTCTTCCATGCTTGTCTTTCGTACGCCAATACAAGCCGGAAGTGTCGTCGGTCACCGTTGCGTTATCCTGCTGATGATCGCGGATGTTCGTCCACGATTCCGAATGAGATGGACAAGAAGAGAGGCGAGAGAGGGAAGGAGGGGAAGGTTTCGTATAGCGGGGTTGCCACATCATTGAAGGTTTCTCTTCGGTATGCGCGCTTCTGATTCTGGGCTGGTGAAAGAACCAATTAGTACCAATCCCAACTGGGCGGACGAGAACATCAGTGGTGAGCGAAGGAAGTGGCCTAACCTGTTCAATTAGAGCGGGAGGGGAGAATTGAAACCTCGATCCTACCTCAGAAAGGAGCTCATGTCCAATCAGATACCCCGTGAAGGGCACCGATTGAATGACTTTGAGTTATGGATGGTGAGCATGGCGAATGTTTCGATGGGAGATTGAAGGTGTCAAGTTGGGAGTCTGGAGAAAGATTGAAGAAGAAAGAAGAGGGGTTGGGGATCAAGTTGAGAGGGAAGAACATGTTCCAACGCAGTTGTGGAGAAAGAAAGTTCGTCGCGGGGTCATAAAATTACGTGATCCATCATGCAGAAGTTGAAAAGGAAGGTACGGTCATGCAGACCAGGGAACTTCCAATATGCAGAAGGTAGAAGTGATGCGTGATGGGACGCTATCACGTCGTGGTGATTTTTCCACGCCTTGTTGTTAGACTACTAGCGCATCTCACGGGCGACGTCAAGGTAGAAGTTGCTGTCTTCAGTATCTTGGTGTGAAGGATGCAGGGTGAAACGTATGATAAGGTCTCATCACATTCTGGTGAGCTGTTCATGCATGTCCGTTAGTGCTTAAGCTGCCAACGCCATTCCTTACCCGAAAAAAAAATGTAAAAAAAAAAAAAAGAAAAAAAAAAAAGAAAAAAGAAAAAAGAAAAAAGAAAAAGAAAAAAGAAAAACCGAACCTCCAGAGTTGCAATCTTAGCATCTCACCAGTCGCCTACTACCACCTCCCACAACCAGCTAACACCTCAACACCTCAACAGACGCGATATCCCAAAGCTTACACCTAAATATACCTAAACATATTCTCCCTCACCCCCCTCTTCATAGCCACCGGCTTTCCATCCTCATACTCCACCCCCGCCGCCCCTCCCTCGCCCGCAATATCCTCCATCCTCATCCTCAACTCCTCATCCATCTGCGCCTGCGTCTTCCTCTTCGGCTTCTGCTGCTCCTCAAACGGCCCCGCCGGACCGGTACGACGTCCAGAAAGCCCCGTTTTCGCCGTGATGTTGGGGGATGTTGAGTGCGAGCGGGCGGATTTCAATGGAGTATAGCCTGAGCTACCCGAGCTGCCCAGGGTGGGCGATTGTATAAAACCCCAAGAAATCCAAGCAGTCGAAGCAGTCGAAGCAGTCGAAGCAGCCGCAAAGGAGCTAACAGCCGTAGGGGCCGGACGAGGTTGCGTTTCCAACGTGAAGCTGGGGATGGAAGCGGCGCCGACTGATAAGTTCGGGCCGACTGATAAGTTAGGCATCGATCTCTCTCTGATATCTGATTCTGCTGTGGAAAACCCGCCTGACGTGGCAATCGGTTGCTGCCCAAGCCCAGTTGAAGCATCGATGGGAATCGTCGCTCGCCCCAGATCCTGACTCTGATGAGCGTCCATCGGGCTGGCGTAGTCGGGGCTGTTACTGTCCGCGCTTGCTTCCTTCCCACTTGCTTCCCTCCCACTCCTTCTAGTGCTGCTCCCCTCGCTCTTTTGCTTTCCAACCCCTTCCGGAGCCCGTTCACTAGTACCCTCACTATCCCTCCCCATCATCCGAGCACTGCCACTAACCGCCTCCGCGCCACTCATCCCCTCACTCGCCATCTCACTCCCCCACGCCTCCGTCACATCTCCCCCGGCATTCCTCCCGGCGAGGCCGGCTTCCCACCCATCGCTGACATCCGCTTCAGCCCTGATTCCCTCCCACTCCTCCGGATGAGCCACCGCTTTAGCACTGTCGCTACCCATGAAGGCGATACGTTCAGCGTGGACACCCTCCCATTCTTCTGGATGCTTGATAGTTTCCTCAACTATTTGTTTAAGGGAGGGGAGGATTTTGATATGGCCGGTCTTTTTATCGGCGGTTTGTTTGGATTTGCGCTTGCGGGTGCCGCCTGTGTCGAGGTCTGTGACTATTCCTCTGGTTGTGATTCTGCTGCTGCCCCTGGTGATTCGGAGCGGAGCCGCGGGGGCTATGGTGCGTGGGAGGCGGGTTAGGAGACGGGACATTGTGATTTGTGGTTTATGGTTTTGGTGGTGATTGTTATGATGATTGTGTTAAAGTCAAGGTAAGCTGAGGATATCGAGGCTGAGGAACAATGCAGGTGGTGAATGAGGTGTGAGATGCAGAACTTCTTAGCATTTAACATTCACAAATACCCTTGAAATTACAACGACAATTGTTGGTGACGCTCAATGGCAAATACATCACCGTTTCTTCAGTCGTTGACGTTGGAGCTGTGACGAGCTGGTGATGTCATATCTCAATTGGGGATGATCTGCAATAAGCTTGCAACATCCGCCACTCGATAAGCCCCGATAAAAGCTCAGACCCATAAATTGCCCTTTTCATCCCAACTTGAGCACCTTGACGGCCAAATAACAGAGGAACATTCGGACATTTTGTCCACCAATTGTACGATCACTTGCGGCATTCACTCTAATTTGTTCAATCGTCAAGAAAGATGCACTGATTCACGATCATCTCAGAATTTGGGACGACAGCATTTAACAATGTGATATAGGCATTATTAACCAAGTAGTACAGACAGTCGTAATTAGGGTACCATCATGCCATCCAAACACCAACATCAAAAGAAAAGCACCTTCCACCCCCTCCAACACCTCTCATTATGTACATTTCCTTTTCACCTCCAGTCATTCATCAATCATCATACAATTACAAGAAGCAGCCGCACACAAATGCGTGCGAACCACCGGGTATAAACATTTAACAGAAACAACCACCTTAACCAGACTGGTACATACCAACAGCATAAACATGAGGATTCAGCTGGGTCAAGTTATAAGGAGTAACATAAAGATCCTCATCAGTCAAGGCAAGGAAGATAGTACCGTTGATAGCCGGGTTGCCATCAAAAGTGCTGATATCGGGCTGGATGGTGTAGGCGCTGTTGCCCTTGATGTCCTCGAGAGGAGAGTACGTGACGTTGAGCTGCGAAACCCAAGCGGCGAACTTGGGAGCGCCAGCCTGCGTATCGGTGACATACGAGTTGTTGGGGCCGATGGGCTTGCCGGGCTCGTCCCACTCGAGGAAGACTTGGCGGCCGGGGTAGGAGAGAGGCATGGAGCGGTTGCGGGTGATGCCGGGGGCGCAGGAGACGCCAACGTCCGTGGACTTGGTGCAGTCGTCGTTCTCCTCAATGTCCTTGTACGAGGCCGTGTTGGCGTAGCCGCTGTCGGTGGTCTCATTCCAGACGTTGGAGCCGTTGATGCGGAAGGGGTTGGGCTGGTTCAGGATGTGGAGAGCAGGGTAGTTCTGCCAGACCAGACGGGTGTTGTTCTCAGGGCAGGAAGAGATGTAAGGAGCGAGAAGTGACCAGGCCCAGGACTGAGGAATGCCGACCTCGAACCACTCGGGCATGGGGAAGAGACCCTCAAACTGGCGGAAGATCATCTGCTGGCGAGCCTCGGTGGTGATAGACTGCAGCAGCAACTGACCGACATCGTGGGCGTTGAGGTGGTTGAGGAAGCCGTACACACCGGCCTCACCGTAGCGAGTCAACTTCTGGCAGAAGTCGATAAACTCGTGCACGTTCGTGGCAGGGTAGTTGTAGGTGCACTGGTTGGGAGCAGAGGGGCCAAGAATGTTGCTGAGGAGGGTAGCGTGGCCGACCTCCTGGTTGGCCATGTACTCGATCAAGTGACGGTCCTCAGCAGTGAGGCCAGCCTTCTCAAAGTCCTCAACCGAGAATTGGGCGAGACCCCAGTGGAAGAGATCGAGCTCAATCCATTCCTGGTGAAGAGCCAGGGCAATGGACTCGTAGTCGAAGTCGGAAAGCACCCTGTAAACGGGAGCAGAGCCGTTGGTGCCGACACCGCCAGCGGGGGTGTATGGGGCGGGCTGAGGAGCGTGAAGCTGGCCGTCGCTGGGGTACTTGAAGGCGTCGGGTCCGGGAGGAAGGGCCGGGATCGAAGGAGCCAGGACCGAGGTGGACAAGGCACCGGTGGTGGTGGGTGGGGGTCCGGTGTAGGGACCGTGGGAGGTTACATTGGTAACGGGCTCGACCACGGCCGTGATCGTGGGGACCGAGAAGGTGGTGGTGGGCTCGGAGTAGATGGGAGCGGGAACGGCAAGCGATCTAGCAGCGAGGCCGAGGAGGCCAACGCCTGCCGAGAGTTTGAACCCGGCCATTGTAACTGGTGTGGTGTGGTTGACGAGTGTCGAACGGGAGCGAACACTAAGAATGCTCGATGTCGAATGCTTGGTGACTTGATCCGGAAGAATGAGCTTTGGGTGAGCCGGAAGGATGCTCCCAAGTTATATGTTCTGTATCACAGCCAAGCAAAAGCTTCCCGGAGGGTTTGCACCGCGTCACCAAGGGTCCTGCCGTACCAAAGCTACCTTAGTACCTTGACCAAGGCATCGGGTGTGCCTGCGAGGTGAGCTGCTGTACCGTCATCATCGATTTCTTTGATGTCCAGGGCTCCTGCCAGCCATTCAGTGTAAGTCAAGCCAACCAGGGTGTCCGGCTGTTGTGCCCGCCCAGCGAGTTTTCCCCGAGAGTGTCTCTGTTGACTTTGTCTTTCCCTGTGAGAGGTTACACCAGCATCCGCACCCGGCCAGGCTTGAGGATCTGCAACCGTGGACCCGACAGCTCCAGAGCCTCCAGGAGATCCACGGGGCAGGTGTGCAAGGCAGTTGCTAGTTGTCCACTGATAGAGCTGCGTCATTGACGGTCATGGAGATGGCCAGGCCAAAAGCTCGATTGGTAGGCGGGCGGATCTCCGCTCTCAGCAGCTCAGAAGAAATTTTGCTTTGTTCTCAACTCATGATGAATGGACTTGTTCGACTTAGCCTGGAAACGGACGTTGCACTGGCAACCTCCAATGGCCCCTTTAGATAATTCCCCCTTTTCCCCTGAAAGCGGGAAAACACCCAAACCATCTCTTCATCAAATGGTCCGATGTAAGTCGCAACTAGTTTACGTCGCAAGCTTGACACGGATCGGGAAAACTATCGAGCTGTACCTGCAATGGTCCAACGGGGGGAAGCTTGCCCCGGCGGGGTCGATGGAGGTGTCGTTGAAGGTCTGGCAACGAGGCTCTTCATGATGGATGGCCCGGATGGGCAGGGGCCACGAAGCTTCGAGTCTTTTGATTGGACGCCATCCAGTTTTCGGTGTGGGAAAGCCGGGATGGTGATCGATGGAAGAAGGGTGGGAAGCTGGGGATCGGTACCGGAGAGAAAACTCAAAAGGTGGTGTTTGGTTGAGATTGTGGTGAAAAGAGAAGAGAAATAACAAAAGTCATGACGACATGATGATGTGCCTCTTGTACCTGCTGCCAAGGGGGTGGTCCATGCGATTGGGGTTCTCCCAACTGCCGGCCGCCAAGCATGTTGTTTCTTTCCTCGAACAGAAGAGAAACAAAACAATGACCACTTTGAGAAACATCCATGAACCGTACATGCTCTTGAAAGTCGCCGAAACACGTGTCGATGTACAAGACAAGACCAGAATCAACGGTAGCCTCCGTGATCAGCATCCTCTTTGGGTGGGATTTCGTTGTTCCTCTCACCAAAGGCAGGATTGTTACTAACGATGCCTAACAGATCTAGGTATAATCGGCCTCCACAACTATTAGTGTCTGATAGCCTACTATCAACTCGGAGTGTAGCAGCGCTACCACTTACACCAATACCAACAACTGAATATCCGTACCGAGCCGTTCTTCAAAGTGTACAATCTCCTCTATGACGGTTACATGCTCTGAGCATGCTTTATCAAGTGATATGAAATTTGCCCCTTGCAGTTCGCATGCCTACCCGTCTCCGTACATATAAAGTCTACGGACAGTGCCGGAAATCTCTAACCGGAATTCCGCAGTTCCCGGATGTGTGGGTTAGGTGATCCGGTAGCCTCCGGAGTGACCACCGGCGGCCGGACCCGAAAGAGATCCACTTCCCGGACCGTAAGTGGATACCCGTCAGGAACAACCCGAGCGGAGGTTCGGACGGAATTGCTTTGTACCAAGTATCAACGGAGGAAAAGAGGTACAGAAAACTGAATACTTCGACTTGAAGAAGCCCGTATACATGTACGCTGCCGATGCCCCCAACCCAACATGCTATTATAATTACAGTAGTCGAATATCGAGCGCAAATTAGCAGGTGAACTTCGTCAAGGCTAGCCACAAAGCAGGGCGACATCCTCTCTTCTACCTGTTCGGATCCGCACCCTTCTCAATAAACAACACGACAGCATCCTCCATCCCCTTCGACACCGCCGCATGCAGTGGGCTCGTCCCCTTCGAATCCATCTTGGTCACATCCGCACCTTTGTTCACCAACAGCGTGACCGTATCCATCCGCTCACCCTCAATAGCGCAATGCAGCGGTGTCCGTCCCGTACTATCATGGGCATTGATATCACCCCCCTTATTGATCAGAATCTCCAAGATCTTATTCTGCCCCTTCATAGCCGCCATGTGCAACGGCCCCGACGGCGGTCCCAGCGGGAACACGGGGTTACCCACCACTCCACCGCCTCCGACCTGATGGAACTTTGGCGGCGGCACCGGCGGAATCACCTTGGGCTTCTTCATGCGCGCATACCGTTCCGACTGCGTCTCCAGCGCGCGTCCACCTGACTGCAACCTCCGATACCGACGGTAACTAGCAATGGAATCCATATTGTTTGGATCCAGGTCGTGATTGTGCTCCTCGCACCGCACCTCAATAAACCACTTGCTCGCGTGCCGCTTCTTGCACACCAGCTTCATCTTGGCCGGACACCCGATCTTGTGCGTGGGGCGCTTGCGGATGCCCGTGCCGCTGTTCTTGCACGTGCCGCCGCGGTCGCACATCAGGTCGACCCGGACAACTTCGGAGCCTTTAGCATACTTGCCGCCCGGGTTCTTGGCTTTGGCGCACCCGGACTGCACCAGCATGTAGCCCTGGCTGATGGCGTACTCCATGACGGAGCTCATGGCTTGCTCGCGCGTGTCGTAGGGCCCGAGCATCAGGTTGGGACGCACGGTGGGGAGGCGGAGCGAGGTGATGGGCTGCACAAGAGGAGCTTTGTAGCCGGCTGAGCCGGGCAGGTTTCCGTTCGCATCCGGAACTAGATTTTGGCCGTCCGCGGGGTTGGCGGTTCCGTCGCTGCCGCCGTTGGGCTGGGGCGTGTCGTTGTTCGAGCTGGCGTCGTTCATGGTCTCGTCTCGTTCGTCCTCGTCCTCCTCTTCCTGTTCCTCCTCCTCCTCGTCAAGCATTGTCTCGTCTGGGGTACCATTGGCACCCTGCGAGTGCTGCTGGTGGTCGACTCGAAAGGCCGGGTGGTTCAGCGGCGCATGCGCGTAGAATTTATTTTGCTGTTCCTCTTGCTGCAGTTGGTGGAACTGCTGGGGAGTCAGCGCCTTGCCGCGTTGACTCCTTGACTTTGCCTCTTGTTCAGCGCGCTGCTGTTCCCGTTCCTGGGCTTTTTTCTCCAGCCATGCCTGTTGCTCAGGTGTCAAGTTCTTCTGCGGTGGGTTGAACTGTGCTGCCGCTAGACCCGAGTTCAGCTGTTGTTGGGGTTGTTGTTGTTGCTGCGGTTGCTGCTGCTGGGCTTGTACTTGGTAATGTTGCTGCCCGTCGGTCTCGGGAGACTTGGCAGTCTGAAGCCATTGGTGTTGATTTGGATAGTTTGCCTGGGCACCCCAGTACGCATTGCCGGACAGCTGCTGGTCACGTAGGATTTCTTCGGGAGTTCGAGGTTTCTGGGTAGGTAGGATCTGGTGGTATAAGGGCGTAGTGGTTTGGAGAGCCAACTGTTGCAACTGTGACTGGGTGTGAGGCGCGAAGAGGTTTGGTAGCTGTTGCTGCTGGGGTTGATGTTGTTGTTGTTGCGGCTGTTGTGGTTGCTGCTGCTGCTGCTGTTGCTGAGCAGATCGCTGGGGCGGGATCGGAGGAGGGTGGATGGGGGTCTCGACGCGGTGTTGGCGCTGGGGAGTCCGGCTGGCGTTTTGCTGCTGTTGACTTTGTTGATTTGGCTGATGCTGTTGCTGTAGATGCTGATCCTATTCACGGGCAGAGGGTGGTCAGCATGAGGGAGTCGGAGAAGAAGAAGACGAGTCAAGTCAGAGGATTCCATACCGTGACCTGGAACTGCTGGGCCAGGTAGCTGTTGCCGGAGTTGCCAGACATGGTGGTGGTGGTGACGGGACCGAGTGTGCCCGCTTTGTTCTTGTGGATTGGTATCTGGCGATAGATGCACAGGCAGGAGAAAGACGGGAGACCGCGGACGATATCCGGAGAGTCAGATTTGTTCGCGACTGGGAGGCCCTGCCACGTCGTCCGTCAAATCGGCCAATCGTATGCAAAGGTCTGCAGGCTATTGTGGGGCATGTGGCTTGTCCAGCCATTCGCACGGACCTCTTTGCTCTCGTCCGCATCTTCGCCTATCGTCCAAGCCTCCTAAAGCGCAAGCGCCATGTCGTTCAGCGGCCACAGCGCCGAGGGGTGTGCTTCAGTGCATTGCTCAAGTCATCCCATGCATCGACATCCTCTTCATCCTCTTTTCAAACTTGTTCCATTTGACAACAACAATCGATGATTGGGATTAGATCAGATCTTCAGCACTCCCAAAGCCAACCACCACTGATGCTACGATATTCAGCATGTTGCCGCTTCGGCACACAGTCGACGACGAGGAACAGCCTCCAACTACTCTTCGACCAACACAAAGCGTTCTGCTGCTTAAGAGACTCGAAACCTTGAAGACGCCCACTTCTGGCCCTTGTTCCAAAGGTGAAGGCATAAGTGTGCCTTTGCTTCAACAATGGCCCGAGCCCTAGTCTCCTTTGTCGTATCTTTATCTGGCTCTGGATGGGACTCCATTGTCTACAAAGTTGAGGCTTTCCGGATGCGGCCCATCATCTCCCGAATGCTTCTTCCCCAAGACCCCTTTGTGTCAATTTTACCGTTGTCCTTAAGCTGTCGGGCTGATCTACGTTCATCTCATATCATCAACCATCCCTTTGCTGTTGCATGTCGAACCCTCGAATCTGGATTTGACCTTCGCGGTTTCGTATGAGTTTCTTGACGCACCGGCAAGACAAACAGTCAACATCTCGTTTATCGCCTTCTGCAATTACCCCTTGCATCCACAATGCCGCCCAAAAGAGGTGCTGCGAAAGGTGCCGCAAAAAAGTTGGTACCGGATAAGCTCAGGAGGGACAACAACAACTTCTATCACTTCTACCGAAAAGGTGAACTCAAGGAGAATGCACGGAGGAAGGTTAAACTGGCAAGCCAACGCGAGAATTTGCTTCTAAACCACGGAGTGGTCCCGGATGAAGTATTTCCCTACAAAACGAACGAGGGGCTGCAAGGTTATGATGAGTATTACGCTGAACTAGACGAGGAGAGCGAGAAAGAGGACGAGGAGCGCGACAAAAAGGATGAAAAAGCGGAGAAACCGAAATGGGAAACGTCCAAGGGGCTGACCAAGGACATGTACGAAAAGGGAGCTGGCCTGCACTTTTGCAAGATCCTTGGGGCTGGCGGCATGGGGATAATCTGTGTTTTTGTCAGCTACGAGAACCAAACCCCAACGTTCTGGACGGTAAAGAGGGATATAAAGCCCTATCAAGCAGTGGCCAGCGAAAAGGAAACCACACTGGTTAGTGCTCATATTACCGGTTCATGTTTATGAGGCTTTTACCTTTCGGACGTTTACTAACCGATGGGTCGACAATCAGAGATTCCTCCGCGCGCCCCACATCGTTCAGGTCTTCCATCGTTACGAGGAGGAAGACAGAGATGACGACAATCCGCGGCGGTCCAAGCGAGCAAGAACGGAAACGATCAAAGCGCGAAGCCAAGCTGAAGTACGAAAGGAGAGTCGTGCCACCCGGGCAGGGCAAAGGGTCGCGTCCATTGCGAGGAAGGCGGGTACAGCGGTGCGTCAGCCTCAGGTCGGACCTACCGACCAAGTAGATCAGGTTCCCAACAGCATGGTCCTGGAATACGTAATAAGGGGTACCCTTGACAATTGGTTTGAAGGACTGGGGAAGTTGAAAGCCGCGAGGGAACCAGACTTGCGCATTCCAAACCGAGTTCTGTGGGCTATGATGGCTTGCTGTCAGTTGCCCCCTACAACCACTCATATACTATGCTAACAGCTGCTATACAGTCATGAAAATGTGCATGGCCATGGAGTATCACCCTCTGCAAGAAAATGTTAGTGATGACGGGAAAATGATACCGGAGAACACTCCAGCAACCAGTGCGCAACCCGGAACAGGTTTGGTTCACTTTGACATTGATCCACAGAACGGTAGGCTTCACCAAATCTTGCGGTTCATAAATTGCAAATGCTGACGGCGCTGACACTCAGTTCTCATTGGACATTTCGATTCGGAAACGAGGAAAGGCAAGGTCGCCCCAACACATCCGCAGTTCGAAGCGATGACCGACGCTCATGATAGGACGCCTATCTTCAAGCTTATTGACTTTGGGCTCGCCCGAGAGATGAAGTTTGGTGATCCATACCGCAGTAATCCGTTAGTATACATGAAGTGTTTGAGAATTTTGATGCTTATCGAGGTCCGTCTGAAGCTTACTCCTCTCATTTATGCAGGGAGTTACTCTGGGGCCATCGCCAATGTGGAAAGCCGGGTTACTATCTCCCAGTATGTATTTCTGTTTGTTTTGTTCAAAACTTCAAGTGGATGAACACACTGTAGTGACACTGACACCCTTTGCCCTTCTCGTTCAGGAACAATTCACCAGGGAATGGGAAGCGGTTGTGGATTCACCCGATGATCAACACGCGAGGGTAGCCGGACAGTATAGCTGGAAGTCCAATCTCTGGCAATTTGGATTGGTGAGTCCCGTTCTCTGCCTCTACCCCATCTTCCTTTACGCGATAACCTCGTCACTAACCCTTATAACCCCCATTGGCCATAGATCATACACATAGCCATAACTCTCCGATGGAATCCATCTTTAACCATCCACGCCCTGAGAGACGAGGACTTGATATACGGCCCGCCAAACGACTTGCCGCTGAGGCGGCAAACAAAGAGGTCGTACCCGACTTATGGCGCCCACTTGCTCGACCCGCAATACGACCATGTGCCCTTCCGGCTCCGCCACCTGGTCGCCCGCTGTCTGTGCGAGATTCCCGACGATAGGCCGAGTTTCGAGGAGATTCGCGCCGAAATCCAGTGGGCATGGGATGGTGAGAGTCCAGAGGAAATGGAGGCGGCTAAACAGTGGAGTCAAACGCGCTTTGAGCGCCCGCCGCCGCCGGTGACTCCGCCGTGGATGAAAGTAGAAGAGGTAAGTTTTTATTGTGTTAGACATATACCCGTACTACCCTGAGTACGTGGAAGCGGACTGGAAGATTCACTGACCAACCTTTTGTTGCATAGTGGGCGAAGCAAACGGCGATCTTATCGTTTGACGAGTACTTGGAGAAGTACCCTGTGAAATAGAAACTGAAGAGGGTCGACAGAAGGCTTAGTCTTTGCCTTTGGCCTCTTCATCTAACAGCATCAATGGAGTTGGATCTTGTATTATACTGCTTTCCTTTTGCTCTTTCATCTTTCTTCCATTTGTTTTTGCAACTATAGCGTAGATAAACCACTGCCTGCCACTTTCAAGTCCGCTGTCCATAACACATTATTTGAACAAAAGCTGCTTGCATGATGCGATGCACGTCATCCAGGGCAGTATACCACTCTGTTGTGTACCTCAGTGTCACAACAAAGCCAAAGCAAAAGCATTGATTCATCGTGGAGATGGAACAATCGCATTCATAGGCGGTGATGTTTACCACCTGCGTAGAGGTAGGAGCTACACCAAGTTCACCAACATCATCACAAAACCCTTGATGCACCAAGACAAGTAAAACTGCGTTTACCAAGCAAACAATACTAACAAAACCCAGTTTGCACACTTTTAACAAGAAGCATCGCGAAGTCCAAAAAAGAGACTAAAAAAAAAAAAAAAGCTCAGCGGCCCATGAGCAGGGTCGAACCCGTCCACTCAAGCTGCCGCCTACGAAAACCCACGAATTTCTGGCTCCACGCGCCTACCACGTCTGCTACTGGGAGTTATGGAGGGGTACCCAATTGGGGGCTTATATACCTACCTCTCCTAGGTCTAAGTGGTCTAAGTGGAAGGTAACCCTCAGGCGGGTAGGTAGTCGTCGTCATCCGATGTCTGGGAAAGGCGCGTGCCGGCCGGGCGGCAGGAGCGGTGACTCTTGCGTTTAAGACGATGGCCCGCAAGGAAGGGTTGTAGAGGAATGCATTCTAGAATCAGAAGGGCAGATAGATGGCTTTGGAAGCGGCGCACTGAACGTAGAAGTGGTCGGTGTGATGTGTATGGGAGCTTTTCTGATGTCGGTTGACACTCGACAGCTGTCTTGATTGGAAACGACATGGGAAGACTACAGTATCCGGAATGCTTCACTGAATGAATGATACCTCGGTGTCGACTGGCAAAAAGGGGGTTTATTTACTACACGCCAGCTGTGTTTCTAGGGGGCATGATTGCGGCAGAAGGTTCCCGTCTTGGTCCCAGGGGAATCCGAATCTGGCAGCTGGCAGCGTAGACCTGAACTGCCCGACATCATCCGAACATGCACATCTATACGTACATGGGCACGTGAAGCATCAACCGCTGAACCGGTGAGCCCGAGGACTGTTTGATGGACATCATGCATTTGCTCATTCCGATGGACCTGGCAGAATGGCAGAGTGGCAGCACTGTTCGTGTCGCTCCAGTTTACATGATGTCATCGTTCCAGACGTTCCTGTCCCAGCTTTGTAGCTGCAGTGTCCCTTGAAATCCAGCCAATCGAATAACAAGGATAAGTGGGTCAAAGTCTAACGCGGAGGTGCACAATCGTCACCAGCGGGAATCAATGAACATCATTGACCCCATCGCAATTGAAAACAATCGGTTATAAAGTAAACGGATGGGAACGGCTTGTATTGGTGAAAGAGTTCCAGACCAATTCATCATCATATACAACCTGCATCTGAAATACCATCAAAAGACGACTTCATACCACGAGTCAACCGATAAACATCAAACCTACAACAACCAAACACACACACACAAACAATCCAAAATGTCCGTCATCAGACTCTCCGCTTCCGCTCTCCGCCCCGTCGCCGCGCGCCGCATCGCCCCCGTGTCCCGCACCGCCTTCAACCAGACCCGCTCCGTCTCTTCCAACGGCGACGAACTCGGCGGCGTTCAAGGGTCGGAGCCCGCTACTAAGCCTAACCGCTACAACGTGTACGTATTCCCGGTCCGGTACCAACCCTGCCCGTGGGGAGAAAAAATGGTCGAAAGGACAGACAGGTTGGCTGACATCAAAAAACAGGAGAGCCGGCACAATCACCGCCATCGGTGTCCTAGCCGCGGGCGGGTATATGCTTTATAAGAAGGGGGAGGAGAAGAATACCTCGCCTTTGGGGGCTAGTCAGTAAAGGAGGGGTTTGAAGGACTGGGTCGTGGAAGGGAAAGAGTGCGCTGGGTCAATCAGCAATTCCTTTGAAGGATGGCAATGGGCCGATGGGCGTGTTAGGGAGGGATGAGCGATGAAGCTGGCTTGAGGACGCTGCGCGTTGAAAGGGGTTAAAATGGCTGTAATGATACCTAATGAATCATGAATAAATTGCATCGAGAACATTTGCGGCGCACCTGTGATGAGGTTTGATGTTTTTAGGGGCGTGTGTTTTCTTGGTGATGATGGTTCGGGTGATGCTGAATCACCGGGAGTCCCGTCTCCACATTCCAACTGCCGGCCTCCGAAACAAGACCCCACTTCCCGTCTTGGTGCGCCGGATCCGAGCGGACTTCGGCAATCCGTTTTCCCCTGGGTACTCACGGCGCCCGCAACGGCCCCGAGTCAACAGGCGCCACAGAACCAAGCTTCGGACCCCCCACTTGATGAGTTAAGCATCACATTCGCAGCTATCTAATCCCATGTGACACGACATCATGCTCTCCGTCCTACAGGTTAAGCCATCTGCCCTTGTCCTTGTCAGCCATTTGATGCACGGTTCCTGACCCCACACTGCCACTTCATAGTGTACAGGTACATAGTAGATCCGGCCCATCTTGCCGAGCTCCAGTCGTGGGTCCTTGATGTTAGTTGCTTATAAACCACCAGACGGGCACTGAGCTTCGAGGTATAAGAAGGTCCGAGCCTCAGTAGACCGCCCGTGCCTCCTCCTCCGCTCCGACGTCAACTCCAACCTCAACTTCCATCATCATCCCTTGGTTCCGAGTTCCGACCTCTCTTCCAAGTCTCATCTTCTCAATCAACAAACATCATCACCTCCAAGGCCCAGAGAAACTCAAACCAAACACCACCAGACCCCCCAAATCCACCAACATGTCCGCCGCCGCCGCCCCCAAAAAAGGCTACCTAGTAGTCTTCGCCCTCCCCACCCACCCCTCCTTCTCCTCCTCGCACGAAATCTTCAACAAATGGTACAACGAGATTCACATCCCCGACATGCTCTCGTACGGCCGTTCCTCCGGCTTCGTGACCGCCATCCGCTACGCCCGCGCCGGTTTCTCTCCCTCCAACCCGCAAGTCTCGTCAACGGCGAATGACGTCACCTACCCTAAGGACGTCAAATGGCAGTATTTGGCTCTGTATCCGGTGGAAGATGTGGAGAAGGCGAGGGCGCCGGAGAGTGGCTTGTATAAAGTCCCGTTGGAGCATGAGATGTTGCCGGGGAGGAACCTGATGGAGGTGGCGAAGTGGGAGCTGGATTTTTGGGAGGTTGTGGGGGAGACTGGTGGAGGTAAGTCTGATGTCATTTTGAGCTGGTTGTTGGGCTGGGTAGCTGGGTATGTAGCTGGGGACCTAAGGAGGGAAGGTATGGGATGAACTGGTGGGGTGAGAGGATGGGATTGGATGACATTGGAGGGGTTGAAGGGTTTGGAAGCAATCAAAGGGAACGTGAAGAGGTGGACCGTCACTGGAGACCAAGCGGAATGGGAGGTGTTGACTGTTGGGTGGTGGTGGCTGGTGCAACAAGTGGACAATGGATGAATGACGGCAGATATTCGACCGATGGGAAACGAACAACACAACGATCACCAACTAACAACCTCCACAGACTCCTCCAAACAAACAGACGTCATCCTTGTCCCCGTGGACTCCTCCGACGTTCCCGGCGCCGATCCCTCCGCCATCCTCGACTACACCCGCAAGGGCTGGGAAGGCCCGGACCCCGTCCGGTCGACACTGCTCAAGTTCATTGCCCCTGCGTTCGGTGGAGATGCTACGGGTATTAAGCAGTATCTGGCTGTGGTATGTATTCTTTCTCTCTCTTTCAACTTCTCGCTCTGCTGTTATTACCATGCCTGCTTTGTGGGTCTTGGATGGTAGGATGGAAGCTAATAAAAGCGGAAAACAGCACGAAGTGGAACCGAACACGGAAGAGACCCTCAAGCCCGAGTTGAAGACGGTGAAGTACAAGTTTTTCAAGAAGTTTGGGGTTTGAGAGGAATGGTTTTGGTGTTAGGGGAGGGAGATGAAGATGTTCATGCATAGACAAGGTAGACTAGACTCTGGAGTCCTGACTATCGGTCTGTATCGGAGTGGTACACTACCCTAGATTGCGTGAGTAGGATCATTCAAGCAGCTCTTGTGTCAGACGATGTTATTCACAAGCCCAATGCAGGCTGCGTACCGTGCCTGCCGCCGGTTCCTTCAACTGCGCCTGCCACCGAGTTCCTACCACCGCTCCTTGCCGCTGTTTATGCCGCCGCCGCGCCGCCCGGCCGGCACGCCCCTCCCCCAGACATCGGACGAAATGACCCCCTTGACCCTTCCCGCGCGCCTTCCCAGGCTGGCCCAGGCAGCAGGCACCAGTGGCAGGCACCATATAAGGTCCGTTACCTAACCCCTCTACCACAACGGGGAGCCCTGTGGTCTCATGGCGCAGTGGTTACTGTTGATGAATAACTTAGCGTGGCGGTTTTCGTAGGTCTGCAGCTGGGGTATTGTCGTTCGTTCTACAAACCTACCTGGGCGACTGAGCTTTTTGCTTTTGGTATTTGATCGGGGAGTTGCTGAGGATATCCAAAATGAGGTTCTTGGGTTTTTCTTGTTTGATTTGAGTTTGCAATGCGAGGCGGAAGGTGGATGGATGGAGTGATGTGATGTGGCTTGGCCCAAACACAAGCTCGTGATCCGTGCCTGTCTGACGCGATGCCAAAAGGCAGCTTGAATGACGGCGGTATGACATGAATGAGGGAATAAAACCTTGTTAAGGGTATCTGTCTCGTACGCCAGACGTACCGACTCTACTTCGAATACAAATACCAATCAGGTTGTTGTTATGAAGACGTTGTCATGAAGACGTTGTCATGAAGACGATAAGAACAGCCATATATCTGCAATTCCGCACCAGTTAGTTAACAATTCCACATACTCCAAACTGAGAACACAACCGGGAAACTTGACAAGAAAACATTCAAACACTTACGCAGCACAACTCCCAAAGATCTCATGCTTCTTCGCTCTCGTACACACACTCAACACCACACCAAATGCAAACGCGCACGCCACGATCGAGCCCATGATCTTGGCCAGCGTCTGTCCAGTTACCGCGGCGCCTCCCTGCGTCCAGGAATAAAGCGGAACCAAAGGGAGGCATAGCAGGCAGAGCATGAGCAAGATTAGAATGACCATCTTGAGGAAGTGGACGCGGGCAATGGAAAAGAGGTTTAATGGTGTGTGCTTGCTATCGGCATGGCTCTTGGTGTGGGCGTTGGCGAAGATGTACTGGATGGAGAGTTAGCTTTGATCTCATGAGGCTTCACGATGTGAAAAATCATGATAGCTGGGAAAAAAGGGAGGGAAAGAAGCTACCCGTAGTGGTGCACAGTTGTACTTGACGAGTAACTGCATGATTACCCGATCAAGCCAGGCGTCATCTCTCCCTGCTTTGAGGGTTATCATGTCGGACTGGCACCCGAGGTATCGCTCGTGTCTAACCAGCGGCTCTTTGTCTCGGAAGAAGTTATCGAGACTTTGCAGGTCGAAGCGGGATGGTCGGTCGAAGTTGGCAAGATCGTTGGACATGGTGAGGAGTTCGCCTGCATTCTTGAAGGTCAGCTAAGTCGCCGAAGTGTTCCGTCCCCGGCCGTCTTTGTCTTACTGCTCCGTCTCCACGACCTGGTCGAACGGAAGAACGCTGCTGAAACACTGGAAAATGAAAAAGACAAACAGAATTAAGCAGCCATACCATACTTCTTCAGTTTCTCCGCAATCTCTTCCATCAACCGTCCCCTTGCCCCCAGTCGATCATCATCCACCTCCCTCGTCATTAGAAATGTGGCCCTGTGTTTAGCATCAAACTGGTCCATCCTGTGCAGCTGCACTTCGAGGGCTCGAAGCTCATCTTGCATGTGCAAGAGCGTCCGGGACTGTAGGTAGCGGAACTCCCGGAAGATGTAGCCGTCTTCGTGAGAAGAGATGAAGCGGGCGAGCATAGGATAGCCATGTGGTGCATCCGTTACTGTGATGGTGTGAGTTTTGGGGATCAGCTCATAGGAGGTTCAAAGGAGGTGGAATAGTACCTTGCATGTTAACATAACTTGCTGGTTCTTCCTCGGAATCAATGTAGTCGAGGTTGGGATACGGGTCGAGATTGAGGCTGTTCGGTGTGTTAGAGAGTGACTCCTGACCATTGAGTGCGGGGGCTCAACCTGACAGTACCTACCCATCAATATCTTTCTCTACCTGCCCTTCTGTTTGAGTCTCTCCCTTTTCCAAGTCAACAGACCATGCTTTGTGACTGCCCACCGACCTCACAGACCGTTGGTACTGCTCTGAAGGCATCCCGTCTGTCATCTGCGCACTCTCCAAACACTGGACCAAAAATGAGGCCGCCGACACTCGACTTGGCTCTTGGGCACCAACAGACAAATTCTGGAACTAACTGGGCGGCTAACTATAGCGTAGGGGATGTCAACTGACTTATCGACGCTTCAGGCTCAGTGAGGAAGTCAAGAACCATGCAGAACAACGAAACTGAGATCTTTGCATCCTACATCAACTCGACTCGATTCGATCGAGAACCGGACAGGACGGGACGGGTTCTTCTTCATATCTCTCTCTTCTCTTGCCAGCGACCCTTCATGTTTGCCAACTGGCAGACGGGCTTTGGCAGCAAAATGAGGGGCTGAGTGTAACCATATTGGGGCGCTTTTGGGGGAACTTGGACGGATTTGGAGGGGTTGACTGCAGCGAGTGCTACCAAGCACCCGCTCCGTCCACTGGACTGTTCAGGGGTATGGAACTATGTATGGAGGCGATCCTCGACGCGGGATTCGACGGGTTTTGACAGGTGGGCCTCAAGGACCTTGCAGCAGTTAGCCTGATGAGTGTTGGGAGAACGCCTTGTTGTTTTCGTGGGTGGTTCGACTGGAGGGTTCGAGGTGGTTAGCATTTGTACTGCAATTGAGAAGATATCTTGAATAGGGATCAGTAAACATGTAAAGGGTAGAGCATCAACATCTCTCTCATTCCCTAGGTCGTTTTTCTTGTCGAACTCTTGACGATGGGCATTGAAGTGCGAGTTCAACCAGCAAGTGTCGTGGGTTTCGAGGATTGAGAAAGTCGGATGGCCGCTGGCAAAGTTATGGGCAGCTGCAGCGAGCGCAGGTACTGAGCCACAATTGTTGGTTGCAATTGAGATGGGCTGGCGACAGACGGATGGAATTGATTGGATGTGGTGGTCGAGCCAAGTTGGACTCGTGATGGTCGAGAACACTGAGCAATTTGCGCTGCGAAAGTGGGAGCATGTTCACCAGTTGAGAGGAAAAAGTCGATTGGCTTCGAGATCTTGTGGGAAAGGAAGAGAAAATTTCCATTGAGGATGAGGATTGCTCCTTTTATCTTTTTGTGTACTTGTAATTCTAACAAGTCTAAAATGTCAATCGTGCCTGCCGTGCCATGTCCCAAATGCTACTGCCAAATCCCACTGAAGGGCTCCTCCACAGGGGGTATCAATGTCTAGTGTCTAGTGTGTCCTCTAGCCCAAAAAATGCAATCGTGAAGGTCGTGTCTGTCATCTCCCGTTCTATCCCCGTCTTTGATGCAAAAGCCCCGCCGCCAACCCGGAAAGAAGTGTAGAGGTATCGTAAAAGTCCAGCAAAAAACCACCAAATGCAATGCTCAACACAAAAGAAATAAAAGTCGTGAAGTGATATCCAGACCGTGATGTCGTCAAATCCAGCGTCCCTGGAAGAAGTGAAGAGTCGAAGAGTTGAAGAAGAGGGGAAAGTGGAAATGTCCCAATCCCCAGTGTCGATCGTGGCTTGCATGGCCCCCTGGTAAGCGCCCAGACGATGGAGCCGGTGTTTGACTGGCTGGCGAGCGATGGCTTGCGGAGGATGCGTCGACCCGATGGGGTGTGTCTTGGAAAACTCAGAGAACGAGCTTGTAGCGTTTCGTTGTTGCGCTGGGGTATAATGGCACCCCCCTCATGCTCACGCACTTTGAGTTCTTGCTGGCCTCCGAACGGGATGGGGATTTGGATCTCTCCTTGGGTTTGGGAGAGGATGGCTTCTGTGGTTCATTGCGAGAGTAACGCTCGGCTTCCTTATACGACGGGCGTGTTCCTTGGTCTACTTCGTCATGGTGTCTGGTGTTGGGGCCTATTACGGTTTTGGCATTGGGGTCATCACGTAGTTGTTCTTTTTGATGCTGGTGGTTAGTGTGTGTTCTGCGGAAGTGATGAAGATATCTGGTGGGTGTGCTCACTGGTGATTTCAAAGGCGGTTGTAATGTGAGTCTCGGATTCTGGGCTGGTCTGATTGGCTGAGTCAGTGTTCTGCAGAGACATGGGTGGGAGCGATATGCAGAGTAATGCAAAGTTCTGCAGGTGCTACAAGAAATTCTCACATTTGTGTCGTCCCAATACCCAGAGACCCCTTTGGGGCGAGGTTGCTTCTCACTTTTTTTGTCTGATGAACCCTGAGAAAGTGGGGGGACACGGTCAGCACCATTCGTTCTGTCTGTGGATGTGCGACAGGGGAAATCTGCGAGCAAGTGGGCAATGCGACGTTGGAGGACACTCCGCCAGGTACGTACCATGGCTTCAGAATAGCTGCAAAAACACCAGAACTCAAGGTAGAATCACGATGGATGAAGCAAAGAAATGGCGAGTTTTGGAAGCAATGAGAGCGTTGAATTCGTTCGAGCTTGAGTGTTCTAGCTATCATAGCGACCGTTCTCTCTTATAGTCCTCTCTTTTCCCATACAAAAACAGTTTCTTTGTCCTGCAAAGAGCATCCTCAACACCATGGCCGGGCTATGAAATGGTGTTTCTTTGTTCTCAAAGTCTGCCATATGTACGTTGGTTTTAGGAACCCACTTAGTGCTACCCTGAGCCAGGGTCTTCTGTTCAGCCAGAGGAAGGGTCGCTCACAAGACTGGACCAAGCCAATCAGTCTCCTTTCTGGCACGGGATGTTGGTGTGTCCTGGGTCTTCAAACGGGCTGAGATGTCCAAATGATGGTCCCGTGTTGAAGACAGGAGCTTCTACAGTTATTGAGCTTCGTTGAAGGGAAGAATATCAGAGTGTCTTGGAGAATAGTGTAGTCCATGGACTGCTGCCTTTGACACTCAGCGACCAACAGGCGACCCTTCCTTTTCCGGCTTCATTTGCCCCTTTGCCTTGCTCTTTGGTCACTTATGGTTCGCATTCAATGAGGCAATCCCCTTCACCTGCCAGATTTCATGGTTCCTCAGCTCTTTTTCTGTGAGTGACCTTTGGCGATGCTGTTTGGTGCTCCTGGTCCAGCGCCTTCATGTCCTTCAAGGGTATGTCTCCCCAGTGATACCTTTTTAACATGATTGAATGGAGTGTCCGTTTGTTTACTTTGTCTGCTTACCCCTTTTTCCTGCACCACCAATCCAATCGGTATGTATCATGATAAGGTGGTGGTGAGACGACATGACAGACCATATGAGACGAAACACAGGCGGGTTAGGGTACCAATGCCATCAGATCGGTGTTCCAGCTGCCAGGAACAGGGAATATTGAAAGCAGGAACAGCGATTGATGACGGGAGTGGACAACGAGTGGACCCCCAGTTCGTTATCGGACGAACTCAAGCCTTATCAGCCACTCCCCCACCACCAAATGTACTACGTCATCGATGCCAGTTAGTGATAATTGTTAGTGCAGTGTACCTTGATGTCCTCGCCTTTATCGCAAGCAACCACTTCCACTTTGTCGACATTTTGCATCTCCAGACACTGCACATCCTCCCGTCCTTTCGCATTTTCAGCAAACGTCGATTTTGAGTTTGGAAAGACGCTAAACAAAGGTTCGGCCCGCACCTACAAAGCCCATTGTACTTTTTGGATCCCGCATTTCTTGCATTGTCCCATCGCTGGGTCAAACAACGCCGGTCGACTGGATTGTTCTGCAAGCAAACAGCAACACCATTGAATCCACATTCCAACCACAAGCGCCACAAACGATTGACGTCTGCAAGGGAGACCGCAACGACCACCGAAACTCACATTGCGGCTCTTTCATCGCGACACACCCTTTAACGTCGGACCATCAAAAGACGAAAACACCGACAACATGGGCGGCACACAGATCACAATTCCCAATCCTCCTCCTCTACCATCCCACCTCCCCGACAATGTCCTCGACCTCGCAGTCCAGATTGAGCGCAAGAAGCTCCCAGACCATGTTCGCGAGTCGCTGCGCGCATTCCAGCGTGCAGGATGCTACATTGCCGCCTCCATGATCTTCCTGCGCGACAACGTCCTCCTCCAAGATGAACTCCAACTTTCGCACATCAAACCCCGACTTCTCGGTCATTGGGGAACATGTCCCGGCCTGATCTTGGTCTGGTCGCATCTGAACGTTTTGATCCGCAACCACAACCTCGATATGATCTACGTTATCGGCCCCGGCCACGGTGCCCCTGCCGCTCTCGCCTCTCTATGGCTCGAAGGCTCCCTTGAGCGCTTCTACCCCGGCGAATACGACCGCAACGCCACGGGTTTGCGCAACCTCATCACCCGTTTCTCCGTGCCCGGCGGCTTCCCCAGTCACATCAATGCCGAGACACCAGGTTCGATTCATGAGGGTGGTGAGCTTGGATATGCCCTTGCTGTCTCGTTCGGCGCCGTCATGGATAACCCCGACTTGATCGTCACTTGCGTGGTGGGTGATGGTGAGGCGGAGACTGGTCCAACAGCAACGGCCTGGCATGCCATCAAGTACCTCGACCCAAAGGAGTCAGGTGCTGTCATCCCCATTCTGCATGTCAACGGCTTCAAGATCAGTGAACGGACCATTTTTGGGTGCATGGACGACAAGGAGATTGCGTGCTTGTTCAGTGGCTACGGATACCAAGTGCGCATTGTGGAGGATCTCGAGAACATTGATGACGATTTGCAAAGCTCTCTTGAATGGGCTGTGGCCGAGATCAAGAAGATTCAGAAGGCTGCGAGGGAGGACAAGCCGATTGTCAAGCCGAGATGGCCCATGATTGTCCTCAGAACTCCCAAGGGGTGGACTGGTCCTAAGAAGGTCGAGGGTCAGATCATTGAAGGATCCTTCCACTCTCATCAAGTCCCCCTGCCCAAGGCCGGTAGTGATGAGAAGCAACTCCAGGCTCTAGACCGGTGGCTTTCCAGCTACAAGATCAGCGAGCTCCTTGATGGTGAGGGCAAGCCTACTGAGGCCATCTCTCGTGGCCTGCCCGAGCCGGAGAAGAGGCTCGGTCAACTCAAGACCACGTACGACCCATACACTCCTCTGAAGATGATTGACTGGAAGCAGTTTGGCGTTGAGAAGGGCATCGACGAAAGCTGCATGAAGACGGCCGGCAAGTTCCTCGACAAGTTGTTCCAAGAAAACCCCAAGACTCTCCGACTCTTCTCCCCTGACGAGCTCGAGTCGAACAAGCTGAACGCCATCCTTGATCACACACAGCGCGATTTCCAGTGGGACGAGTACTCAAGGGCACATGGCGGCCGCGTCATCGAGGTTCTCTCCGAGCACAACTGCCAGGGCTTCATGCAAGGGTACACCCTCACAGGCCGCACCGCCCTCTTCCCCTCGTACGAGTCCTTCCTGGGTATCGTCCACACCATGATGGTGCAGTACTCCAAATTCGTCAAGATTGCCCGCGAAGTTCCCTGGCGCGGCGACCTAGCCTCCATCAACTACATCGAGACCTCCACCTGGGCTCGCCAGGAACACAACGGGTTCTCCCACCAGAACCCCTCCTTCATCGGCGCCGTGCTCAACCTCAAAGCCGAAGCCGCTCGCGTCTACCTTCCTCCCGACGCCAACTGCTTCCTCAGCACCGTGCACCACGTCATGAAAAGCAAGAACAAGACCAACCTCATCATCGGCTCCAAGCAGCCCACGGCCGTCTACCTCTCTCCCGCCGAAGCAGCCGAGCACTGTCGCCAGGGCGCCTCCATCTGGCACTTTGCCTCCTCCCCCGATCCCAACTCCGCGGGAGAGTCCGTCCAAGACCCGGACGTGGTCCTAGTCGGCATCGGCGTCGAAGTCACCTTCGAAGTCATCAAAGCCGCCGAACTCCTGCGCTCTATCGCGCCCGCCCTCAAGATTCGCGTCGTCAACGTCACGGATTTGATGATTCTCATTGAAGAGTCCAAGCACCCGCATGCTCTGGCAAAGGCCAAGTTCATTGAGATGTTCACTGCTGACAGGCCAGTGCTGTTTAACTACCATGGCTACCCGACGGAGTTGCAGGGTCTCTTGTTTGGAAGGGAGAAGGCGGAGCGTATGGATGTCGAGGGTTACCAAGAAGAGGGAAGCACAACGACGCCGTTTGATATGATGTTGAGGAATAGGGTGAGTCGGTTTGATGTGGCGAGGTGGGCGTTGAAGAGGGGTGCGGAGAGGAATGGGGAGGTGAAGAAGGATTTGGAGGGGTTGTTGGGTGAGGTGGATAGGAGGGTGAAGGAGGTTAGGGAGTTTATTGGGAATGAAGGGAAGGGTAAGTCTTCGTGATGCCCCAGGTGGTGGTTTGTGAGAGAGAGGTGCTGACAAGATGTGAACACAGATCCCGATGATATCTATCAGCTGCCCAAGTTTGAGTAGAGCTCTAACTCGCAGGAGTTGTTGAGGACGTTGGACCTGATTATGGGGATTATGGCTTTGGGGAGTCGTGGGGTTCCTCTAATGCCCTTCATGGGGAGAGATCCCACCTGGTAGAGGGTGGTCTGGTTGGGAGGCGCTGGTCGGGTTGGGAGGGTAGTGATCCTAAGGCGAGATTTGAAGTTTTGGTACAAAAGACCGGGATGTCGATCGTGCGCGATCATTTTATAAAGTATCCTTTTTGTATAGAAGTTATAGATCATGTTTACTCCCCTCTATCCTCGTCCAAAGCAACTGATTTTGACCTACCGGATGGATTGAAATGTCGAGTCTTGCTGTCAGATATGTCCTTGACGTGGTAGCACTGTAAATCTGCGCTTTCAGAAATAGTGCTTTATCAGTTGTAAGCATCATTGACGTTAAGAGAGTTCCCAGCTGATGCACGCAATGCCCACCTACAGGAGTATGCTGTTTATTTCAAGTGTTGATGGGAAAGTACAGCAAAGATTCCATAGGTAAGCTATCATTGATTCAAGATAGGCGTAGCGATACCTACTCCTGAACGCTCGCATCGTCAATTATGAGACATGAGTGTGATCCTTCATTTCCCAACCCCCAATCCTCATAAGGTACCCGTTCCTTCCGTATTCATAACCAAGCCGAAACCTGAACAACTGTCAACCTTGACACCGCACCTCATAGTAAGTTATGCGCATTCATTTATTTGTTTACTTCCATTTGCTTATATTTGAGATCATATTTGACTTGTTTCCAGCGCTGGAGACCTGGAGAGAGGTCGAATAATGGAGTGGTGTAAGATTTGTGGAAGCTGGTCTTCCTCTCTAGTGACAAGTTCCCCGGCATGGCGGAAGCTTCCCTCCTATCAGTTAGTTTCAGTTTCATGAAGATAAAACCCACGAGATCAAGAAACCGATCCTTTATTGCCTCGACCCCCATATGGTGATACCCTGAGATACGTGCGTCGCCGGCGACAGATGGGCATGTCGGGACACTTACCCGAAAAAGGAATGTCGACACTGAATGTATAATACCTGATTGGTCACTGAGTGTTCTGTGGATGGGAGCTCGGTCCACCCTCGATCCACCCGCTGAAACGCCCACTAAAAGCTCCGCTGGCTCATGCAGCCACAGCGCCTATAAAAAGCTTCGATGTCGGCACTTCAACATCCAGGTTGTTCCTGTCATCTTCCTGGCAAACCACCAACTCGGCGTGGTGACACACTACCACAGAGGTAATCTTGGCCCTGGGATCAAGGGCTTCAACGGTCATTCCCGTGTGGCAAAAACGACGGCATATTCATCTGCACCCTTCCACTCACACGATTATTAGTTCCAGTCTTTTCGCAACTGAGCTTGAGGGACTGGTCGAGGGCATGGCTGACGTCGATCTCGAAGCCGAAGTTGAACTGCGTCACGGGTGCGACTTGTGTTCCCAGGCATTTTTTCTGGATTTCTCGGAAAGGACACACAATCATGGAGCTGATTCCGGCCCCAAACCGTCCGATCGGTGGAAGTCTCTTGCCAGGCGCTTCGGAGATCAGGTAGAAGAATTCGTTAGTTTCTGTGAGCCACTCAGCTTTCGACCAAATTGGCTTGTTCACCCCTCGAGAAAGCGCTACTACACGTACTTCGATGTTGGCTTCTCTGACCTCAATGAGTGGGCACGTCAGGGTTGCCTCTTTTCTCGCCATCTTCTCCGATGTCTGGAGGATTCCGGAGCAGTCATCGATGAGACGCACGTACTTGGTGCCAAAAGCATTGTTATGAGTCCCAATCTATTCCCGCTTTCTGACATCCACTTTGTGGTGTTTGACTTGGCAACATGGAAGGAGTTGCATGGCTTTGGCCTGTTCAAAAACATAACACTCTTCAAATACACAGTTGCAGAAACAGCCAACACTCAAGGAACCGCTTTTGATGGCAATGATTGCCGGGGGGTGCGTCGCAGGAATCGGACACCGTCATCAAGGGCCTCGCTGAAGAAAGCTAGACACTGGATGGAGACTTGCATCAATACACACACAACTTTGCCCAAAGCCAGGCGGCTTTATACCCACTAGGGTGCTCGAACTATACTCAACGCCCACGGGACCACGTGCCCATGTGAAGGAGACAATGCTTGAAGACAAAAACATGCATTATGCGGCACTGTCTTATTGCTGGGGAGGGAATCAAGCACTACTGCTTACGTCGGACACGATTGAAGAGTTGTCCTTCAAAGGCATATCCCAAGAGGATCTCCCACGAACAATTGCCGATGCAATCACCGTCGCCATCTCACTTGGGATTCAATACTTGTGGGTTGACGCCCTTTGCATTTTGCAGGACTCTGAAGAGGACAAGGCACGAGAGATCGCCAAAGTGGCCATGGTTTACAGCAACGCAACGGTTACCATGGCTGTCTCGAGGGCATCATCCGTCGACGAGGGCTTCCTCTCGGATCGGTTCCCAGTTGAGCATACCGCTGTCATTGAACTCATTGTCTCCGAGTACCAGCCAGGTAGTACCAAGACTGCGATGTTGGTTCCCCAGGAACCAGATGCAACAGACCTGGTGTCGGTGATGGACCACAACCCGCTGGGGAAGAGAGCATGGACCTTTCAGGAGAGGTTGTTGTCTCCCCGAGTGCTTGACTATGGCGAGGTTCAGACAAGATGGTGGTGTCCAGAAATGATGAAGTTGAAAGATGCACCAGAAAGGACAGTATGGACGGATGGATGGGTATACCCGGAGGCAGGGGATACTGGTCAGTTAGATGCCATTGCACAGATTATGGAAGGCTGGAGAATTTGCGATGCTGTCCCACTTGGGCGCGTTTCATCTGGCCAGAGACAAAATAACAGTGTCAATGAGGCAGAATTGTGTAAGCGGTGGAAAACCATTGTTGATCATTATTCCGGGAGGCAACTCACATTATCCTCTGATCGGTTGCCAAAAAATCTCGGCCACTGCTCGATCATTCCAAAGTTCGTCAGGTTATCGGTATGTCGCGGGACTCTGGGCCGAGATGATGCCTTCGGCGCTTCTTTGGATAACCAAGAGCTCTGCTACCCAGCGCAGAGCCAGTTGCGGGAAGTACTGGGGTCCAACATGGTCTTGGGCGTCCGTGGACGGAGCGGTGCAGCTTTTGGAAGATTCTTCACCCGATACATGGTGGACCGAGGTGGCTCGAAAGTTCCAATGCGACGTGGTAGGCTGGGAAGTAGAGCCCCTTCACAAACCGTCAGGTGGTGACGAGTTTGGTGCCTTGAAGTCGGCCGTGTTGATACTGAGCGGCCACCCCAGACCAGCTTATTGGCGACGTTCGAAACAGTGTAGCGGTGAAAATATGCACGCACACCTTGATCCCTGCTTTTGCATCACCGGCAGGACCGGAGCCGAGGAGAGTCTCTTGAGCAGAGTCAGATTTGATACGTGGATATCTGGATTCGGAGGTGTCGAACACACAAGTATGGCCGAGCAACAACAGTCAGCCAGGGATTTGGACCTCTTCTTCTTGGTCATTGCCAGCATGTGCGAGAAGAACAAGCTTGGATACACTTTACCGTCGTCTGTTCCTGGTGAGAAGAGGTGGCAGGAGGGCCTAGTCCTCCGGAAACTAGTATCCGGCGAATATTGCAGGATTGGGACATTCCAGTCCGAGGCCGAGGCAATCTTCTTTGGGCCGGGGCCTGGGACGGATTCGATACACCGAGTTCAACAACAGTGGATGGTTGAGGGACCCCGACAGATTATTAGGTTGGTGTAGGGAGTGAGGGCTTCGGGGAGAGTTGTTGCGCGGGGTGATGGAGAGAAGGAATGCGGTCGGTGTTTGTGTGGCCGGGGAGAAGAGTCCATGCCCCAGGCATTTGTGAGGCAAGGGCAAACGCAGCATCGCAGAAGAAAGGCGGTGAATGCCAGTGTCATCGTCTAATCGAACGTCCCTTCCTTCTGTTATCTGAGAAAATTTTGTAGTCCTCAACAGTGACTGTGCTTTCCGGGTTGCGCCTTCCGTCTGCACTCTGCAACCGAACCTGCAACCTGCGGTCGGAGGCACTGTAGCAAACGGCCCGGATTAATCCGTTGCATGAGCAGATACCTTAGCAGGCAAGGGAACTGGCTGCCAGCTGACAGAAGTTGGTTCAGATGGAAGTTGCCTGTGTTTCCCGTCATCACAAACTTTGTGTTTTCCATCTATCCCACCGAATATCCGACTCCCAATATCATACCCGCGCCCACAACCTCCGCAGTACACAGAGATCACAATCCTTCTCCGGTCCTGAGCCAATTGAACAGACCGGCGACAAGGCCGTGACGGAGTCAAATTGCAATTAACGAGGTTGCCAACTTTGGACCCTAAGCGAGACAAGCCTCGACAAGCGACACCACAAGCGCGGACGACGATACTGCTACAGGTATTTGCGTCTTTGCCGCCGCTTGCTCAGTTAACCCTGACATTCTTGGCCTTTTGTGCAGACTCGCGGTGAAGGACTTGGACAGTTTGACGCCAAGAAGCGTGCGTCGTAATTCGTACTTCACTTGTCGCCTGATAATAGAGAATACCGCTGACAGAGGACGCATCGGAAACAGTGTAAAGACTTGCGGCTTCATCGTTGCCGGTAGATCTCGGCGGATCGAAAGGTCTCATCGGCTTCCCGCCCTCCCCACTTTAGCGCCTGCTATTCACTATTCAGTGCCGCCTACAGCACGCCCCCGCTGAAGCGCCCCCGCTGAAGCACCGCCGCCAACGTACGGAAGCATCAATACGCACTACAATCGAAGGGACACACCACACGGGTTCATATGCACACGGACTGCATCCGCGGTCCCGGCATCCGAGAATCAATACCAAGATGATGCCAACCATGCAAATGGCTGTCGTCCAGCCGGTTGCTCAGGTCTTGGCCTGCATCTACTGCGGCTCCCAACTCTGCTCAACGGCCTGTTACCCAACTCACAAGGACCAATATACGTGCCACGTCTGGCGCTGTCCTGGACGGAACCCTGTAGCGGTTGTTCAAGTTCCGAGCGCTCTCAGCCACGCGGTCCAAGCCCAGGGAAGCGGGAGCAGCCGTCCGACACCAACCTACACGAACGTGCCGACGGCCACTTCGACCTACAACTACCTACCCACGAACCCTCAATTCCAAGTCACCCCACCCGCAAGGCATAGTGTCTGTGTCGCCGACACGTTTCGGAGTGGACAACAGGAGCATTCACCTCATCAAGGCATGTGTTAAGTGGCAGGGATTTCAGAATGAAATTGTTTCCGAAAAAAGAAATACCGTTCCTTCGCTAACCGTCAAAAATTCGTCATAGGCTCCAAAACTACAAGCAATCCGAGGCCGCCTAGCGCCGTAGTTGACCACCCAAGCGACTCTCCGAACCCATCGGATCAACACACACAGGAACAACGTAATCAGACCACGCCGACCCCTCAACCTCCCCAGACAGAAAGTGCAGCTGGTCCTGAAACTAGCACTAGCGGCGATCCGTCTGTCACCAATTGGACTCCAGACTTTCGCCGTGGTTTTGAAACGGGGATCGCCATGGGCACTGGCATGGGTTTAATGTTTGCTATGGGTCTCCCGCTAGCGCACCCACAGGAGACTCGCCAAGGTCTCCGAGGCGAGCGTGACAGCGGTGCCGGGAGCCACGAGAGCCACCCGTTGCGCAACAATGCGAACGCCATAATCGATACCCGTTCCGATGACGCCAGCGACGACGGTCGGAAGTTGGATGGAAATTGATGAAACCAGACGCGGTGATTACCAATTACCAATTACCAATTGTGTCAGCGTACCGTGGCTACGGATTTGGGTGCGGGATCGAACGGAATCACGGTATACACGGCACGGAGCACAGCGAAAGGGATGCTTATGTCGCTGATGATTAAGGGCCCGTTTGGTTCAGCCAGCTGTTTTCTCTTTTGTATGGGAAATCGACCCCTGCAAAACAGCATACTATTATATGCAGGCAATTGGGGGTCATTAACTCGCCCGAGAGTAAGACACGACGACGGTCGAGTGGGGGTTCAGGTACAGCGTGGTAGTCGCCGAGCATCTAGGAATGGCTAGGGAGCCACACCTGGAGGACCACCTAGAGAAACTCCTCCGGCCCAATACGGATATCGTACAACATCCTGGCTTACCGGAACAGACGGATGACCCGACCGGATGGAGCCTTCCACGCCTGTGGCCCGTGGGGAGGCTCTGGGGGACCACTAGCTATACTGAGTAACACCCTCATCATGCATCATGAAAATTCTAACGAACGAAATCTCCTGACTAGCTACTATAGCGGAATGGGACCAGACCCTTTTTTCTTCACACAACCGCACACCTTGGCAAAAATGGAAAGGATGCGCCCGTCGATTCTGTCTTGTTCTCCCGACACCGAACAGTCTGATCTTGATGACGCAGCGCATGCTGCCCGCACTCGTTTGCCCTTTTCTGTCTCACCTGTCCGTCCGTCTCTTTGGGTGAAATGCGAGCTGACGCCGCTCGCCGAGTGGCATGGCGTACTGTAACCCCGGGGCCGTGAATGCTCCGCAGGGTCGGTGTCTCATGTCCGCGGCGCTGGGGTCTCGGGTCCAGACGCTGCGTTGGGCGGTTGAGGGACTTTTGATGCACGATCCATCATTTCTCAGCTCCGGAGTTGTCCCTTCGGGAACATAGGCAGCCATATATGGCATGCGTCGTCGTGCATGGAACGGTACGGCATGGACGGGGGTGGTCCCCGAACCCCTGAAAATGCGCTAATGTCTGCTAATGCCAGGGGGGAAATGGTGGACATGGATCCGCTGCCATGCACTTTCTGCACGTCTGCACGCGACAAACTGCAGCAGCTCGCCAACCCGCTGGTCCCGGAAGGGCGGAAGTGGCCCGGGGGCGACAACAAGGTTGAACCTTTTCGCGGAGGTCACACGGCGGCAAGATGCCTCCTTTTTTGTCCAATTCCAATCTCTAGCGGCCTTCCAGAAGCATCCGAACATGTACGAACGCAGTCGGCGATATGCGATTTTTCACCATTGCTCCATGCCGATTTCCACCCTTTTCACAAACGGCCACATGGGAGCAAAAAGGATGGACATGACACGCAGGACAGGCAGTACCGTCAACACTGTATGCGCGCAACAAAAGCTGGTGGCCGGTAATACAAAGCGGCAGCTACAGAGCGCTAGACCAGGGGCAACAGGGCCGGGCCCCATGTGGAATCCCCCGAAAGGGGTTCGTCCAAGGGCGAATTTCCTGATCTCAATACACGTACAGTACACCCGCCTCCTCCATTTTCAACAATGACAGCGTCAGCGACATAAACCTCAGCATTAATACCAACAATATGCCATCCTGACTCAGCGAAGAGGCTATTTGCAGGCTATGCCCCGAGCTTATCGTATCATCACGTCTACCCCGTTGTTTGGAGCCTCGTATTGTACGGTCGTTGCTGCACTCGCGGCTTCGCTTCGTGTAAGACGTTCATGGGTTTGCCGTGTTGGTGGTTAATGCCATGGATGGAGAAACGAACAGCGGTCCAGCTTATATACCACTACGAGCTCCCCCATCAATTGCTCGTGTGCTTTCCAGGTTCTAGCATCACCCCCGTATTAAGCCCCTGTGCAAGCCATCGTCGACTCCGAATTCCTGACGACACACTGCTACGAAAAAAGTTGATTCCGAGTTCCGAGGCTTGGCTAAAAACAACCACACTGAAATTTTTCGCCTTTGTCACCCCCCCTGGAATTTTTCAGTCCCGTCATCTTGGACCCGTCTACCCCTGTCCGGGGAAGTGATCGAATCCATCCGTGGGGTCAGCCTAGCCATCCAGGGCCGTCCAGGGACTTGTCGACAGAACAGATCAGGAAGAGGCCCGTCCCAACTGTACCAAATCTCGCCAAACCCTTCGTGGCATGGGCAAGTTTGGAATTGCACCAGGAGTGGCAAGGCGCCAATCCTCATTACCAGTCGGTCGATTCACTCCAGGCACAAACGAACTCGACTTTTTGGCATAATTTTGCAGCCGCAGAATCGCACTTTAACATCTGTTTACCTAACCCCGACCAATTTTCCCTCGGCATACAAGGTCGGCACATCGGGCACATAAACTACATAACACAACCAAGCCGCACCTGCCCTCGACTACATCCTTCAGCCGCCAAACGAATACACACCACTCTACTGCTTCACTTCACACACAATGGACAATATCGAAAAGCAGCCTTCAGGGGTATCCTTCCCTGCTGGCCTTGACGACTTCCGCGCTGCCAGGGATCGGTGCGCTCATGCCTGTAGACGCTTCAACAGCATGCCTGAAGATGCTACACCAGATGTTCGAACAAGCCTCTTTCTCGAGTGAGTCTACAAAGATGCAATAACACCTTGATCATCACAGCGAACTAACTCGTTCGATAGCATCATCCGACCGGCTCGGAACAGGAAAGAAGATGGCGCTATTACACATGACATGACTTTCCGCGACCCAACCCTCAAGGCTCTCACTCCCTTTGTCAAGCCCCCCTTTTTCGTCGATTATGGATTGCGTCTTCGGGTAGGAGGCTCGACCTTTATCAATCGAGGGTGCTTCATTATGGACACACCCGTAGCCGACGTAACCATTGGCGAGAACTGCAACATTGGTCCTCACTGTACACTCGTGAGCGTCGGCCATCCAATTCACCCTGAGGCTCGTGAGTCTCAAAGAAGCAGCATTGGAAAGCCCATCACCATTGGTGACGGTGTGTGGATCGGGGCCAACGTCACTATCCTGTAAGTTTCCTCATTCTCACTTTCTTCTTCCCCCTTTTTCTGTGGAGACAGTTCTCATCTCCCTTTGTTTACTTTCCCCTGCATCGGACCCACCCCCTTTTCCATCCTTCCAAGGTTTCCCCTACTAACATCAGCCCCTTTCCACAGAGGCGGCGTAACAATCGGCGACGGAGCCGTCATCGGCGCCGGCAGCGTAGTAACAAAATCGGTACCGCCTCTTAACCTCGCCATCGGCGTTCCCGCCCGCTTCCGCCCCCTCGCCGAAGTCCCCCGAAAAGTCGACGTCGGCTCAACCGTCGACTCTCTCAAAGAAGCTCTTGCCTGTGGTCGCTCCTTCTCATCACCAACCTCGCAACCTTCATTCGCTGCCGGCAGCACAACAACACAATTAACCCAATCCCAAGCCGAAGAACTCGACCGCCTCGCCAAACTCTGCGTCAACCCAGCCCTCATGCGCGCCGCCACCAACGAATCGCATTACCACTTTTCCAGTCATCAATCGATGCTCACCGAGCTCCGCTACACCGCCGGCGCGCAGCAACTGAAGCTCCGAAAGACGGAAACTATTAGCCCAAGCCATATGCCCCGCGTGGACACGACGCAGTTGGCGTGGCAGCAGTCACAGTGCACCGGTCCCTCAAAGGAAACTGGTTCAGTGGGAGTGGGAGCTGGATCAGGAACGGGAAGGAGGAGGGTGTCGAGGATCGTGAGGGCGGAGTTGACGGCTATTGCGACGGTCACGCTTGTTGCACTGCTCTTGATTGTGGGGATCTTCTTTGCCGGCGTGTTGTTGGGGGCGAAGAGGATCACGATTGTGGTGGATGCGGGGCCGGAGGAGTTGAGGAAGTTTGGGGGTGGGGGTGTGAATTTGGTGAGGGGGCTCTAAGGATGACATCGTCGACGTCATGCCCAGAGACTGGAGTCAGCAGCTGTCTGATGATCTGACTCTCGTGGGAGAGCCGGAAGTGGTGGCTGTGGTCGCATTTCGAGGCGTTTGACTGGGTTTGGTTTTCTTCGGGTTGTTTTCAGCGTGGGTTGTTGGTTGCATATACCCATTGGTTCAGGTTTCTTTTTCCAGGAAGTGCCAGGAAGAATCAGAGTACGCGACATGGCATTGCTTCCTTGGGGTGGGAGTGGTTGCATTTCCGGTGTTGGTTTCTTTTGGTTCTCTTGTCTATCTGCCCTTCTGTCACTCCTTCTTTTGTCTTACTACACTGTTCTAATACTTGGGTCATTTGTTTCCTTACTATCATCTGTAATATCATCGGCGACATCGGGGAAGGAGAGGCAACGGAAGGGGTCAAGAGGACGGCAAAGGGGAGAAAAGTGGGAGCCACAGGTTTGGGTACGGCGACGGACGGACGGACGGAGTTTATGGCATCGGCGGGCCTCAAATTTCTGCTGAGCGGCAAATACAACGAAACATGGAAGGGAACAACATGGAGGCGTCGATCATCGTTTTGGAAAAGAATATACCCCCTCATGGCAAATGGCAACTGGGTTGCTGTTTTGCTTGGACGTGTGCTATTACTTGCTTTGTTTTTTGTTATTTTTTCATAGGATATGTACTTTTAGTCTTAATCACATTCGTTTCTGGTTGGTGGTACCTTTTTGCTCTTACACACCGTTGATCCTGTCCTGGTGTCTGATAGATTTGTTTCTTTGCTACTGCTCTTGCAGTAACGGTCGAGCGAATTTGTCTTTTGTGGAAGATGACGGGAAAGGGCCACCTTAGGGTCGTGTCTCAGTACGCCATCATGTGCAGAACAAAGGATTACAGGATATGGGTTCCGCCGCTTTATGACGAGATACACGGGTGGTTTCTGATCTTTTGGAAAAGAAAAAAAAAAAAAAACATGACAAGCCAGCGGATGATACAGGACAAACTCTCCTTGGGTTGTCCACCGCCTTGTACTTGGTATGGTAGAGTTCGAGGGGAAAGACCCATGGGGGTAGAGTTGAGAGATTCCGAGGGTGGTTGGTAGTGGAGATCAACTGGGTGGTATTCATGGCAGCGATCCATTCTGTTTTTTTTTTTTTTCCCTCGGCTCCCATGTTCCCCTTTTTTTTATACGGACTCACTGAATTCAGTCGGTGTTTGGGGAGGGAGAGGATTTGGCTTTAAGGAACAGATTTAGGCTGGAGCGATCTTGCTGTGTTATTGAGCTATCTATGTATAGCCAATTTTAGCAATCAGCCAGTTAGCAGAACATCTCAAGCAATAGTTTCGGCCAATGGCGCACGAGCCACATTCGGGCAATGGTTCCTGGCTTTTCCCTCCCCGTTTCCCTTGCCCTTTCTCTCTTCCAATAGATCGTCTCAATTTCTGCTTCGCCCTTAAACCATGCAAGAACCCTCTACGGCGGGTAGGAAGCCCTTGAAGCCTTCCATTATCCGCATTGATGTTTTGGTAGTCTATGTGGGTTCTCTGCAAGTTGAGCAATTTGCAACAACTCCAGACATGCAACTGCAATCGAACCTGGAAATACGTGCTGTTACCCCGCTATCGCACAGCGGGCGAGCTACGCCGCATGGCCGATAACGCAGCATCTCAGTCGACGACCCCACTTTTGACCTCAACCACACCATTCGCATCTGGACCTGATTTTTCGCTGAGCCAACAACAGCAACCTTTTTACATTTGCCAGCGACTTCCAGACCTTTCAGTTCCTTGTCCCGTCTTACTCCCCGAAATCACTTCAGCCGCTCTGCAAGTTGCAACCCCTTGACGGGTCGTTGGTTCAGTGATCCGCGAGTGTTGGCGACGGATTATCCATGGACAAAGAAGGTTTTCGACTTTCACCACATCCATCAGGGTTCAGGGAATCTTCACCACACGGGTGGTTGGAGGTGTCACCATGTTGGCATATATCATGGGTCGCAGACGGGACAGCCCCAGCATACCTTGGTGGATAACCCCGGGCGGATAAGGGCAAAGGCTCTGAGCAAAGGCTCTGAGCAAAGGCTCAAAAGGTATCCATGTCTAGGGCCGCGCGGTTCACTCTTTTACCAGCACATCTAGGACTGGACATCACGACATCTAGGGTCATTTACCTGTGAGACACTCACACGATACATCTCCCCTGCTCCCCATCATACCATATCGATCTCAGCTCCCAGTCGGCATTGAGCGTCATCAGATTCCAGCCATGGCAGACCACACCATCGCCACGAAAGCCGCCGAACCGAAGCCGGCCGAATCTGTTGAAGTCAGCAATGACCGATCTCAAGTCAATGTTCAATCATCAACAGAATCTGCCCCAGCGACCCATGTGCATTATTCCAACATGATGTCTCTTCTGGGGGGCCTCAACCAGTGCGTCAACAACATCGACGATCCAACCCGAAGGAATTTGATCAAGGAACACATGCAAAAAGTACTGGAAAAGAGAGGGTTACGACACAAGACGCCGAAGTGGGTCGACTTTTTGGGGTTTGTTAGGAGGATTAGCAAAGAGCAGGCCGAAAGATGGATGGAATACGACGAGGCGAGTTTGCGGTACTTCAGAGGGAAGGATTGGGAGGCCGATGCAGACCACGAGGCCGTGATTCAGAAGTTGATAGCAGAGAGGAAAGCTGAGGAGATGTCGGGAGTTGAGGGAAAGTCTAGAGTTGAGAAGTAAGCCATGGGAAGAGGGGTGAGGACGGGGTGAAGCCTGCAAGTCTCTTTTGGATGCAAGCTGTGTTTGAGTAGAGTAACAACTGGGAGCGAATTTCACGGTGTGATTCGGGCGAGAGGTCGTTTTCGTGTTGGGAATACGTCTGCTCTTTGTATGCAGCGTAGGAAGGGTCCAAGGACAGGAAGTGATCACATGGGGAGCCAAGCAAAATGGGACGACCAATCTGATTCTTGTTACTTCCTACTTTCCCTCCACGTTCCTGACAATTTGAACATGACTACCTAATCACCTCCATCTCCCTCCCCATTTAGTGCCTCGTATTCCCCCCTTTGCCCAACCGAGTCCTAATGTCCTCAGCACTCTTCATCATAATCAATGTCCAAGCTCGATGGGCGATACACAACAGGAACATCCTTCTTTTCAAACTTTTCGTTGAACAGTTCCAGCAATCTTTCTTCCATTTCTGACTGATTCTCAGCCTTCCCGCCGTCCCAAGTCTCAAGGAACTGTTTCTTGGCCCGAGCCTGAACAGCCCTGTAGTCTCTTAGTCTTGGATGCTCGCGTGGAGGAGTTTCATCCCATTCTTCCAACGAGGTCTGGGAAAATGGTTCCTTGAGCTCTTGCAGTCGTTTGTTCCCTTGTTGGCGAGCCTCTATTGCCCGTGCCTGCGAATTCGAGTCCTTTTCTCTCTCATAGTGTATAGCCTGCGTGAGATATTGGCGGATGCACTTTACAATTCTGTCATACTGGAATTCGGTGGCTTTGTCTTTCGGCATGGCGCTGCTGAGCTGCTTGTCGCGTGCTTCTCGAGACTTCAGTGAAGGGTTGTCGGTGTTGGTGGGTTGTTGTGGATTTGCACTTTGTTTCTCAGCAATGGGATTCGGCCTTGGTCGTGAAACCGAGATTGGCTTGAAGTTGATACCGATGATGCTGGGGCAAGATGCGATAGCTTTTTCTCCTTTCCTATGAAAAAGTGAAGAACCCAAGATGAGAACAACCTGTCCTCATGTCTAGACCTTATACGCTAGGCATTATCTTGATTTAGTCGCATGTTGCTTGCCATCTGGGCTTGTGACCGACCATGTTAGAACTATTTCTGGACCAAGTTGTGTTGGGCCCATGGCGCTAAGAGCAGTAAAGGGAAGCCGGTTGCAAAATGATGTGTAAAAAAGGAGGTTCACTTTCATACTTCCAACAGCGACACTCAATAACTGGAATGTCAGTGTTGGGACGGGAAGTTGACAGGAGCGGACAAAGACCAAACAGTTGGTGGTGGGCTTTTAAGCGCTGGTTGGTGATATGTAGAACGTCATTGTTGACCATACCTCGGTTGAATCCAGTCACCAACACGAAGGGGCGGCATATAGTAGGCGCCCTGTTACTAACCTACCTTACTACTTAGCATGCTGTTGTCTGGTGATCAAACGTGGGAGTCCACGATGAAGATATACCCCCGCCTGGGACCTCCCTCCTTGACTCTCCCTCCCCCATCAGCTCGCAACAATCTCGTTCTTTACCGATCTCCATCCTGGCATTTCATCGACGTGCTTCCAGAGTCCAGACCCAAGTCTACCCACCCATCTAGTTATTGACTTGCCTTAACACTGCCTAGCTCCTTGTCCTTAGCCTCACAAAGCATCAAGATGTCAACCCTAAATGACTCCTCGACCCATGCCGCTGAGCCCAAGAAGGCCACCGAGACACAGTTCATCAACATCCGGAAACTTCTCTCCAATGACTATGCCGAGATTATCGAACAGATCAGAAGGTGCCCACTTGAAGTCCTGAATAAAGATGAAGGATATTTTCTTCGCACGATGGTAAGGGACAAGAATCGTCAGAGACTTGAGAAGCTCGGAAGCTCCTTCAGATTTGGCGTCCCTGAAGCGGACGCACGCCGCATTTTCATCGATGAACACACCTACGACAAAGCCCAGGGTATTCTTGAACGGGAAATGGTGATACTCGACGAGTTAAGAAAAGAACTGGGCATCTACGTGCCGAGAAGGGCCAATAATAATCAGTACTTCCGTCTTGCGAACGTATTCGCGTACATGAATGGCCTTGCAGAGGAAGTGATGGAGCTGAAGGGCGAAGTTAATACATCTACCAAGACAACACTGGCCAGAATCAAGTTCTATGTCACCATGAGAAAGAAGCAGGTTGAGATCTCCGTCAATGCCCCTGTCCTCTGCCAGGATGTCCAGAAGTGGTATGGGGTGGAAGGGAGGTTTCGTGAAAGATTCACGGATGAGGAAGCAGAAAGGCTTTTTGAAGCAGAGAAGGACAAATATTTTGAGCTCAGGAGGGAGCTCGAGTTGCCTGACCTTGTTGGGGAAGAAATTAGGAAGCTGACAAAGCGTCATTGGGACTTTTATGATGTATTCCCTTGTTCTCCGAGGGGTCCTCATGCAACAGGATGCTTGGCTTGTGAAGGGAATGTTGTGTTGGATCTGCACGCTTGGGATGAACGCTGAAAGCGGAAGGGTTGCTTGGTTAGGAGAAGAAGGGTAAGTACGACTGTTGTGCGTCAAGCGCACGAGGTATGTACTATGTACCTACTGTTGTAGAGGGTGCTGTCATGATTGAGAAGCAAAAAGGCGAAGTTGGCGGAGTTTGAGAAGGAGCTTGGACTGCCTATTACAACCCAGGGGAAACACGGGAATAATGGAATTAGGACTTGACATTCAACTGAGGATGGGCTATTCCTACCTGTACGTGAAGGACATCATGTTGTACCCCAGGAAGTACACAGGACTACAGGACTCTTGCGGTTTTTGTCACATTCGGATTTTTAACGGCTTATAGGAAGGAACTTTCAGTGCAAAGTTACTTGTGGAGGTGCCATAGAGTTGACATGATGCGCTTTCCGCAATCATTCCATGTATGTGACTTTCTCCCTCGAACTTGCTGCCTCGTCTACACAGAAGAAGTGTTGGAAGCAGTTTCCACGAATAAGGTGCTGAAAGACCGGGCAGGTATCATGATAGTATGATCAAACGTGGAAGTTCCGTGGTGAACTCTAGATAAAAGCCCTGGTTTTCTTCCCTCCCCTCTGAAACCACGTAACCATTTCTTCTACCATATTTCATCATTCCAGCCCATCCTAGCATTTTAGCAACGTGCTTCCAAACACAAGTCTACAAAGCAACATTCTCACAGATCAGCCCCAATAACGCCCAGCTCGTTGTCTTTATCCTCACAAAACATCAAGATTTCAACCCCAAATGACTCCTCAACCCACACCGCTGAGCCAAAGAAGGCCACCAAAGACCAGTTCCACCGCATCTGGAAGATCTACGCCAAATTCTACCCCGACGTTGTACAAAAAATCGAAGACAGCCCAGCATTGGATACCACCGAGAAGCATCTTCTTTGCACCAGGCTACGCGAAAGAATTGAGAAGAGATACAAATCCCTGGGAGAGATCTTCAGCTTCGATGGCCCTGCAAAGGAGGCGAGCCCCGAATTTATCGAGAGACACACATTTGACGAAGCCGAGGATCTTTTCGAAGAAGAAATGGCCTGGCACAACGGCCTGAAAGAAGTCCTGGGTATGGATGAGGCCCCGGGTATCGTTGACGCAAATCCTGTATGGAGAAGGGCAGCCCCAGAGCAATACATGGTCATCAACCAGTTGTTTGAAGCCATCGATACACTTGAGGAGCAAATGAGGAAGCCTAAGGGTGGACTGGACGAAGGGACAAGAATCAAGCTGGCGACCAACAAGTTCTATGCAGCCATGAGACGGGAGAAGCTGGGGATTACCGAAATCGAATGGTACTCTGATCTTGGGCAAGAGGCAATGGAAAGATTCGGAGAAAGTTCACGTACAAGGAGGCAGACGAATTCTTTTGGGCAGTGAAGGATAAACATGATGAGCTCGCCGAGGAACTTGGGCTGTTTGAGGTTGAGAGGGGGAGAGAACGGAGGCGACGGGGAGGATCATGAAGAGACTGAGTGAGGTGACCAATCCGAGGACAGTGTTTGATGTCCTCCCTTGACTCGTTGATGGAAGGGTGGCGGGATAGCGGAAGGAAGACGTTGGTACATGCTTTTGTTTTGCATAAATCAGAAGTTAGCTTAGAACGGAGCGAAGATTGACTATTAACACAACAACAGTGTGTAATCTGTGATCTGCGAAGAATTGATAGAAACATGAAGGTGATGCTGAGATACAAATGCTCAAGCTTGCCAACATCCTCACCACTCGGACGACACCGCTCGACAAGCGGAAGCAATCCGGCGGGCTAGTCGACCGAAACAACAAAGAAAGAAGGCAGCCTGAGCTGGATACGTAATGAGCGGTTGCCAAATGGCGAAATAGCCGCCAGTTGGGCCCTGTCAGTTTTTACACTTGTTGATGCTCAAAGCTTTACACCCAGCGGCTAACGAAGGAGTCAAGGAGATATAACCCCAGAGACTACTCATTTCTCCTTCCTTCTCAAAGAGAAAACCTACCCGCACCCACCCCTAAAACTACACGCACCCTCCCTTCCCCACCTGGCAACTGTCGTATAATACCAACGTTTTCGTATGGTAATTGTTTGTCTCCAACGGCATTCAATATTCCCCAAAGCCCGAACGGCCGCACCGAAGGGAATAGAATGCAAAGGTCTAAAAGAATTAAAGAGAAAGAAGGAATGGAGACGATGGAAGAAAGAAAGGAAGAAAGATAAGGGGGGGAAAAAGGAGAAGAATGGTAAAATTCGTTATTGGGGCAGTTTCGGTTGCTTTTCCTTGGCCGTCAGTGCACTACCTTCAAATACCCGTGGTTGTATTCAATCGCCGAACTTTGGCGCTGCGACCGTCCCGCCCCCGGGCGGTTGCCGGGGCCCCGAAAATTTGCGCTCCGAAGTGGAAATTTTGGATGGGAATATTTCGTTTTCCAAATCTGGAAATTTTACAGAAAAACCGAAGTTTCGAAACCAGCTGTCATTGCGAGCCCCGGGCTGTCAGGGTAAGGGTTTACTATGGGGGGTGGGTGCGTATAGTTTTAGGGGTGGGTGCGGGTAGGTTTTCTCTTCTCAAATGATGTCCAGAGTAATCGCACTGCACCTCACCAATATCCTCGTCCAGTACTCTTGCCTCGTCCAGCACTCCCGCCCACGGCCCATTATCCTCCCACAATGACGCCACCCACAAATTCCACCTCCCGGGAGGACACTCCTTCCGAAACAGCTCCTTGTCCTCTCGCTCCTTCTATCTGTCACCTTAAATAAACGCAGACTCCATTCAATGTCCCCATAGGTAGTTTTCCCGGACGACCTGCAAACCGTTCCTTCCTCGACATATCCTGAATCCGCCAGTACCACCCTCACCCAAATAGGCTAAGACCCGAAGCCTCTTTTTTTCCTCTTCTGGTCCTCCTGCCCCTTCTCTCACTTCTCAGGCACTGCCAGGCAGCGCCAGATTCCAGCGACTCTCATCATCCAAATCTTTCTGGAGGGGTGGGACGAGGACCGGGCTGATGCGTTTATTCATAGGGAGTGGCCGGTGGATGGTGGTGGGCGCGGCATGATTATGGCGTGGAGGGTGCGAATAGATATCCTACACCGTTTTCGCGATAGCAGCACTCGATGTAATTGAACGGTTATTATTATCTCAACTACTTCTACTGTTCTACACCCCGCGTTTGAAATATCGCTGGTTCATGGAGGGCACATCATATTGGTGATCATAGGTGTACTCGGACAAGGAAAGCAGAACCTGTCGGTTGGCGACCTGGCAGCCTGAGGCGGTTAATCAGTCCGTTGGTCGAAACCATTGTAGGCAATCGTGGCCCGTGGACTCATATCTTGTATCAGTCTCCTTTTTAATAGTCAAGACCTGTTGGCGCGCCTGGCGCCCTGGCCCAACGGCCGGCCGGCACGCCCCTTCTCCAAACATCAGACGACAAGACCCCTCTCCCCTCCCCCCTCCCGCTGCCGCAGGCACCATATAACCCCCCTCATCCGACCCTCTAACCACAACGGGGCCCTGTGGTCTTATAGCGCAGTAGTTCCCGCCCGTTGATGAAAACATTGCCGGGTGCGTCGGTACTCGAGGTACAGTTTTCGTAGGTCGCAGCTGGGGCGTTGTGCGTTCGTTCCACAAGCTTACCTGGGCGACTGAGCTTTTTGCTTTTTTTCATTCAATTGAGGAAGTGCTGAGGATATTGGAAATGCTGTTTTTGCAATTTTGTTTTTGCGTTTTGGTCTTGCAAAAGGGGGTTGTTTGTAAGGGGAGAAAAGCCACATGGAAGGACGTTGGTTCGACTGGTGAGTCGGAGGGATGCCACAGCAAGGAGGCGAAATCTAACTGAGGACTTGATATGAACATGAAGGATGAAGCGGAAGTTGGTAAAGTTGCTGGTAGTAATCCAATGTATTGAGCTCTTGTTACGATTCATCAACGACAACACTGTCTAAAAGCCGCAGCAAAGGACACAAACACATCGCTGTTGCGCTAAAGATAAAAACGTATTCATGTTCTCTAACACTAACAAAAACAAAGAACCCTCTCAACCCCGAATAATTGGTAATTGTGTAGGTATAAAACTCCCAACTCCCTACTCCAACTTCTTATTCTATCGCCTAGTATTCGCGTTATCCTTCCCTTTCCCCTTATCCTTAACCCTCCGGAGGCTCCGGCTAGGCCTCACCTTCCCGTCCAACTAAGACCAACTCTTCCCCAACCTCGAACTATGCACCCTCGCCCTCTGTCCTCTCAACCCGGTATGCACTCTGCCCGGGGGCGGGGGAGGCCTCTCCAATTGCTGCTTCTCCGGATCTTCATTCTCCTTCTTGCGTTTGAAGATCTTAGGTATCGGAATATGCACATGCGGCACGATGGCCTCGGCCCAGCGGTCGGGAAACTTGCGGATCAACGCGCCCCAGGGGATGGAGATGGCACCGAGCCCGATAGACATGCCCCATTCCTTGCCGTTCAGACGAGTAATCTTGAAGGCTTCCCCGCCGACGAAGATGATGAGGACTTGGCCGCCGATCATGATGGCGTTGATGACCCAGAAGAAGTAGTTGTGCGTGATGCCCTCGAAGATGTTGAGTTTGTTGTCGAGGCGGCGGTTGTTCAGCTCGTTGAAGATCTGGAGCCAGACAAAGGTGTTGAAGACGAAGGTGCTGTGGCGTTTGGATTCCGTGGGGTCTGACATGTTGTAGCCGAGGAGGGAGCGGCCGCCAAAGTAGAGGCAGAGAGTGATGGCGAGCTGGGCGATGGCCTGTCCGATAATTGTCTTCCACATTCTGGTCGTGATTAGCGGCGCTGATTTGCGATCTGGCTTACGGTCGAGAACGGTGTGTGAAGGAGGGTCGGTTGCCAAGGCAAGGGCCGCGAAGGTGTCCATGATCAGATTAACCCAGAGAAGCTGGACTGCATTCAAGACGGACTGTTCTTCGTCGCTTGAAACGGCTGAGATAAAGGTCAAGGCTACGGCCGTGATATTGACAGTAAGTTGGAACTGTTTGCATCTCGTTAGCTGATGCATCACTCAAGAGAAAAAGCACCGTACGTACCTGCAGGAACTTCTTGACAGCATCATTGACCGCACGACCCCAGCTGATACCCTTGACAATAGACGCAAAGTTATCGTCCATCAAGATGATAGACGCAGCCTCCTTCGCCACTTCCGTGCCCGCAATACCCATGGCAAAGCCGATATCCGCCATCTTGAGAGCTGGCGCGTCATTTGTTCCATCGCCCGTGACCGCCACCGTCTCTCCTAGCTCTTTGAGGGTACGAACGAGGATTCTCTTGTCATCAGGGCTCGAGCGAGCGAGGACCTGTAGGTGCGGTACGACTTCCTTGAGCTTATCTGGGGACAGCTTCCGGAAAGCAGGACCCTCCATGGCGATTCCACCCTCTTCGGGCTTGTAGATACCGCATTCCTTCGCAATTGCCTTGCCAGTCAAGAGGTTATCGCCAGTTACCATACGAACGTACACACCGGCACGGTTACAGTCCTTGATGGCATCGATAACCTGCGGGCGGAGGGGGTCCTTGATGCCAAAGATGGCTACGAGCGTCATGTCATGGTGAACCTTTGCGAACTCGTCTGCGGTGAGTTCTTCGTGGCCCTCAAGCTCCGGAGGCGGCCAGTTATCAAAGTCGCGGTAAGAGGAACCAATCGTACGAAGGGTCTGGCCGGCATATGAGGAGATCGTGTGCAAGAACATCTTGCGATCCTCATCGGTAAGCTCGACAGTACGTATCTCATCCTCGTTCGGGTTGGCAATAACCGTGTTGCATTGCTCGAGGAGAATTTCGGAAGCACCCTTGACGTATGCGCGAAACTTTCCGTTGGTAAGTCTAACGACGGTAGCCATCAGCTTGTACTTCGAATCGAAAGGAACGACCTGGACTATATCAGCATTCTTGCGCTCCTCCTCCACCGGTGCAGCCCCGAGATGGTCACGGCAGAACGTAAGCAAAGCGACTTCCGTCTTGGACCCGATGAATGTCTTCTCGCCGTCCTCATCCCCCTCAAACGCGGTCGAGTTGACGGCATTAGCTTGGTTGAGAATCTCCTTGGTAGTCTTGCTGAGTTCCCTGGTAAAATCTGCCACAGGCATGTTGGGCACAGTATTTGGCGCCTCCGATCCATCGGCCTTCTCCTTCTCTGAGTCGGGTTCCTCCAGCGGCTTATCCGTGCCACCAAAGCTGAGACTCTTGCCAAGAGTAGTAGCAACCACCGTCATCTTGTTCTGAGTCAGGGTTCCAGTTTTGTCGGAACATACCGTTGTCGCGTTACCCATGGTCTCACAAGCCTTGAGTACGCGGACAAGATTGTTGTCCTTCATCATTCGAGTGGTCGCAAACGCGAGGGCCAGCGTAACAGCCAGGGGAAGGCCTTCTGGGACAGCGACAACAACGACCGTCACAGAGGTGATGAAGAGGCGCAGAAAGGTCTGTCCTTTTTGGTCTGCCGATTCGTGGTTGTGCGGCAATTGGACACAGAACTTGATGAATAGCACGATGAAGAGGATAAGCGCTGCGCCACCACCAAACTTGGCGATCCAATCGGCGAGTGTGTTTAGCTTCTTCTGCAGCGGGGTGTCTTCCTGCTCAGTTTGCATGGCCATGGAAATTTGACCATAGCTCGAGTAAACGCCTACGGCTGTCACGAGGAAGGTACCGGTTCCCTCGTTTACTTTGCTGCCAGAAATGATAAACGGGTCGAGCTTGTGGATGTCCTCTCTGGGAGGCTTTCCATCGGCGATGTCTTTCAGCGCAGCAAACACTTCATCGGCGCTCGTCTTCTTGAGCAAGTCGGACTCGCCCGTGGCGGAGGATTCGTCGCATTTGACTCCATGGCCGCCAATGAAGATGCCGTCAACGGGAATAAGATCGCCTGCAAACAAATGCATTACGTCTCCCACCATCACGTCGAAGACGGAAATCTCGACAGACTTTCCGGAGCGGATAACCTTGACGGTGCGGTCGTTGTGTTTCTTGTTGAGCTGGTTGAACTGCCTTTCCATCTGCCAATCATTGAGCGTGCCTACTAGCACCACAATGATAATAGCCACCATGATAGCCACGCCCTCGACCCATTCCACCTTTGCTTCTCCTGGTTCATGCTTGCCGCCGAATGTCTGGTACAGACCGAGCGCCAGGGAGACGACAGCAGCAATGGTAAGCAGGATCAGCACCTTGTCGTTGTACGTGGTCCAGGCTAGCTGTAGGAGTGTCTTGCTCTTCTTCTCGGGTAATCGGTTTTCTCTGAAGACGCGTCGGCGGTCGGCGTAATTGCTCCCGGCCTTATGATCCAGAGGAAGCGGCTCGGGGATGGATGCATCGTGCTTGCCTGAAGCAAAGGGCTCGTTGTCGCCATGCTGGCCGTACTGCGGGGTCCCTTGGGGAGCGACATCCTTGAAGGCGACGGTACCATCGACGTTCTTCTCGTCAGCGCTGAGACCGGAATCTCGATTTGTGTGTAGCCCTTTCTCCAGTCCCTCCAGGCCGCCGAGGGCGTAGAAAGCATCGAGGCTTTTGGGGTTGAGTAGCTTTGTGAGGTGGCCTGGTGTGTAGGCAAAGGGGTTATTCTCGACCTTGAACAGCCCTTCCTTGCCGGGATCCGGAGTTAGAGCGTCATTGACGTTTAGCTGAAAGCCTTTGGGCTGTGGCAAAAGGCAACGATGGTTAGCCCCCAATGTGACGCGAATGTGATGTTGCGTCAGGAGGTCTGCAAAGGGAGACGCGTTTGGGGTAAACACTGATACGTACCTGGTTGCCCTGCGGCTCATGGTCCGCCATGAGGGCTGTTGAGTAGATGTCTTCTTTCTAGTCGATGCTCGATAAATCGATACCTCAGCTGAGTGTGGGTTGAAGGAAAGGCAAAGGGGAAGTGAGAAAAGAGAAGAGTAAAAGGGGAGAGTTGACGAAAGCAGTGCGGAACCGGATGGTTGCCCGGTTGTACCACGTATTTCCTTGGAATGACGTGGTGCCGTGTTTGACTTGAGGAAGCACAAACCACACCACAAGTTGGGGTACCGGTAGGCACTCTCCACCCACTATATGGGATGGGATGAACAAAGGGGGCTCTGAAGCTCAAGGGACAAGGCGCACAGCAGGGCATAGCCAAGAGGAATGCCTAACAATGGAATAATGTGAAGATAAGGTACCTCTCCCTAGCAAAATGGGGCGGTTCAATCATTCAGTCATTGCACATCGCGGACAGATGCAAACGCCACATGGGTGCATGGGGGGTTCGTGCTTTCCCTCGATGCATGTTAGAAAAGGCGGTTTATTACCAAATTTCCACCGGTCTTGTCGAATGGAAGGTGCATTGAAAAGCAAAGCCCGACCACCCACGGCAGTTCCCGAGTTGGGAAAGAGAGCTCGGGCAGTGAAATATCAAATTGCATGTCATGGCTCGGAGCTTGGCATGTTTCCAGAACCCAATAACAACCGTCAAACTCAAGGCGGGAGAAAAAAGGGCAGGCTAGATGCAATTGAATGAGCTTGGCATTCGACTTGTTTGACTTCGGTTGGTGCTGGGAATTGGGATTTCTCCGGATGGCTACTGCGAGTTTAATGCATGAGTGCATCAACGTCAGGTGTGCTGAGCATGCTGAAGCTTCAGATCGCTGAGCTTGCTGAGGTGAGGGAGAGCTGTACCTGTCAGTGAGGTTACGTACGATTTGCGAGGAAATTGCTTCACTTCTGAGATAACATCAGCTGCTTTCGTCCTGACTTTTGGTAAAGAAGCAATCCGAGTTCGGGTTGGCATTGGTCAAGTCAACCCATCCCTCCCCTTGCAATCATATGCCGACGGAGAAGTTGGTCCTGCTTTTGTTCTGTTTCTCGTTTCAATTTCAAAAGGCCAAGAGGCCAAGAGTGACTGAGCGCAACAAAACAAAGAGCCAAGTCAAAATAAGCTCAGCTGTTTCGAGCAGGGGTGCGCCAGTTTGGCAGCTTTGACCAATGAGAGGCCGCCCCTTCTTCCCCCAGATCGACATGGTGAAATGCGGAGGAAAGACAGCTTCGAGTCCGGACCTGGGAGGCCTCCTCTGCGGTCATTGACTGCGTCGCTTTTTGGCTCTTCGAATTGGCATTGTCCAGACAGTTTCGGGGGAATTGGAGAAGGCCAACAACATTGACGTTGGACGCTCCAACAATTGACATCTGCCAGGGGCCGTGCTCACAATTGCCCGTTGGGTTGAGGCATGGGGGGGAATGGAATGGCACTTTCGAGCGAGCAAAGAGAAAAGAACGGAAACGGAGATTCAGAATTCCTGGTGACGGTGAGCATCTGCAAGTTGTCGGACTTGGAACAAAACTTGAAACTTCACTTTTGTGAGTTTGGGTTTGGAGGTTGGGGTGCCGTCCGTGATCTCCCACCTTCCCAGTCGCAGTGCTGTACGTAGCCTACCGATAAGCACTGATCGCTCCCTATCGATAGCGATAAGGCTTTCAACGGCGTCGGGTTGCACCGCGCGTTCTTCCACTTCAATCTCCAGACTCGCGTTACACGACGAGTGTCGGAACTCTTCCACGAGAATTCCACTGCTTGTAGAAGAAGAAAACGCGTCATACCTAGGGTAAGGTATTGATTGGTCAAGATGTTATTGTAGGACGTCGGTGTGAGCTTGACTGATTAACTGATTGTCACCGACCGGGCAGCTACCGTCAACTGCCGCCGGGAACGGACGTACACGTGCGCGCGGAGCCGATGGAAGGACTCTTCCGGTTTGACTGCCTGCGACTGACCGCTTTGTGTCATTCGTGCGTCACAAACCTATTTTTGTGAAGCTGATGCCAGCGGCGATGAGCCATCGAAAGAAAGCTGTCCATCTGGCAATCTGGCTTGCGCGGGATACAGTACCCGTCGACAATGTTTGCATCGCCCTACACCGCGAGGTTCAAGGGAGGTTGTTGGGCATCTGGCTGGCATTGGGTAACTCGTCACTCGCCAACAACGGTTTGTTGGTGATGATGTGGTGGCTGCCTAAGCGGAAACCTGAAGGGAGGAAGGTGAACGGTATGCATGGCTTCTTCACCTGGTTTTCGTCGGAAGCGGATTTCGTAATGAGGAATGCGGGACGCCAACGGTTGGATGTCGAAATTTGTTGTTGAGGGTTGGGTGGTTGAGGGCGTGCAAAAGTGCACTTTGCGATGCGCAATGCGGGGGAGAAACGGAAAGTGCACTTTTGGGAATTGTCGCGGTGATGCCCAAAGCCCAATTCGACAGATTCATCATTTTCGATCGTCTCTGTGCAAGGTACCAATGCATCTGAAACAGTCAGTCAGCTGGCTCATCACTTGAGACCGCGGAAAATCGAAAATGGGAATCGAAGCAGATCGGTGTCGCTGTGTCAGAGGTCGATGAAAAAGTGACAATCGAATCACGAATGAAGCGCAATTGAGGTGTCGTCGGGTGAATGGGTGGTGGGTGCGGGACCACATTGTGCCACTTGCGCTACACAGTACGTTGGAAGCTGGAACGGGTGCCAAGTCCAAACTGCAGGGTTTGCCCTTCTTAGGTGCGGCTAACAGCCTACCATAACAAGTTCCATGGGTGCATGGTCTAGTGGTATGATTTCTGTTTTGCATTGAAATTTCCATCTTGCTCTACAGACGGTCCCGCGTTCGATCCGCGGTGCATCCATCTTTTTCTCCCCTTTTCTCCCCTTTTTCCCATCCTGCCCCTGTGCTGCTTCCTTTCCTTTTTCCATCTTTGATGTTTGGACTTTTTGTTTTGGTTTTTGCAATTGTTTCCCCCCATTCCTCATCATCTTTCCCACTGTGCGTGAGACGTGTCGATGCCCTTGCGCGCTTCCCCTAGTTGAACCTAGTAAACAATCGGCTTGAAAGCATAACACTCGTCGATGAGCTTCTCAATGTCCTTGTATTTGGGAAGTACCATCTCCGTGAAAGCCGCGTCACTCATTCTAGGCTATAAGAAGAATGTCAGCTATCCGCTTGCCAAAGGGGTTTGGTCATGGATAGGTTACCCTACCTCTTGTGTCCTGGTTCCCCCAGGGCCAAAAGCCACATAGTAGTCTTGATTCCATCGCGGTTCTGTAGTGTGCTTCGTAATTCTGGCTTTAACTACAAAGACATTTCTTTGGTTAGTTAAGGGTCATCGGTTTCGCTGTTACGTATGTGGTCCTCTTACCATCTTTACTCAGGTAGTACAGTCGTTTGAGTAGGTCATTGATCCTCTGGTACTCAACGCGATGTTCAAGGTTGTTGAGATATCCCTCGTGATCGTAGCTGTCAGCGCCGGAGATGGTGACCCAGTTCTTGAATCGTTCTTCTTCGTACTCGGCTTTTGCCTGAAGGTCGGGGAACCTCGAAAGCGAGCTTGCCGCGTACTTGAGATTCCCACCCCACCGGTAGCCGATGCCTCTGATCTTGTCTTTGACTGTTGGGGGCGCCTGTCGCAACATGTTGTCTGGTTGGTTTTGGTATCTTTCTTGGGAATTGGTTTGTTAGTGATAAAGTCTCTGGTAGAGACGGGGTTGCTTCTGGTAGCTCTCACATCTGGAACACCGCTGGGTATTTAACTGTCCAGGAAGCTGAATGTATGATTTTGGTTCCTATTGTCATTTGTGCAGAATAGGTGCAAGAGTCTTATTCACGGTAAGTTTGACGACAATAAGAAGCAGTCATGAATATCAGCAAGCTGGTGAATAGATTTGGTGATTCCACAACAACGGCCTGGTCCACTCACCCGCGTAGTGAAGGCACATAGAGTATAGACCAGGCGAGGCAGCGGTACTTCTCTTCCGTCTGAACATCTTGTAAGTATGACTGTTATTCGCAGGAGGCAAAACTTCTCCATTGAACTACATTGACTCAGTACGTCAGTGAAGGGGAAGACTCAAATGATTCGACGTTGAGGAAAAGCTCCTGATGACAGGAAAGTATGAGCCATTTGGAACATCACGGGTTAGGGTCCATAGCCAGCACAGTCTCCACTTTACCCCCTTTCCGGTCTCGGCGTAAACATTGGCAGGAGCGTCCCACACGGATCTTGCCATTCCTTCTGCATTTGTGAGATTTGGAAAGAGTAACAGGAAAGAAACCGACTTAACTCTGTAACAAAGTCGTTCGCAAGCTCTCACACCAGAGAGGCTCGATGTTTCAAGAGCCTCGGATCACGTAGTTTGTCCCCAGAGCTCCTATCCATTTGTCAGTGTCCATTTTGCTGCAGCGTTTGTCGGAGATGGGATGAACGTCGAGGTGACGAACGGCGGATCCAGATGCCGCTTGATAGATAAGCCCCCTCACCTGTTGCTGCCGGAAGTCCGTGCTCGCCCATTCACTGGCACTCTCTTCCGGTATTTTAGGCTGCCCTGACTTCAGTTTCCCCTCCTTCACGTCTCAACCTCCGAAACTCGTCGACAAACGAGAGCTCAAGGTTTTGTTTTGCGAGCACTTCATCGGCCGAGTCCCAGAATCTTCCAATTTCGAGTATAAGGTCAGGCCTTCCAACCTCGCCAGGTTTACCTCTGACTGATCGCCCCACGACATCGACCACTCTTCACTCCCGCACTCCGGCAACCACAACATGCGCACCTTCCCAGCCCTAACCTTTACCAGGAAGGCGCTCCTCCTGAGCGCTCTAGCGCACCTAGCCTCCATCGCTCTTACCCTCCCCCAGAACCAGGGCACATCGTACACCCTCTCGTCCAGAACCGTGACCTCCACGACCTCAAGCTCAACGCACTTATCTCCCTCTCTCATCCACAGCAGTCTCCCCACCCCTACAGCCGACAACGACCAAGCCGAGAGGAACGACCAAGGAGCCGATGTCACAACCGAAACCATCTTCTCAACCATCATCATCCCGACCGCCACAGAGCTGACCACCATCCTCACCGTCGTCACCAACGCACCCCACGATACTACTCCTTCGGCTTCCTTGATCACCTCTTCTACATCCAAACCTGCCGCCCCTAACCCTCACTGCATCGTTGAGGGAGGAGAAGATGGAATCTGCGTCACTGTCGTCCCCATCTGGCCCACCGACACCCTCGCGCAAGCCGTGAAGAGACAGGTCAACTCCAACTCGATCTCCTACTACTCCACAGCCCTAGTTACCTCTACCGTGGTCGTCCACCCCACTATCACAAAGGTGTTGACGGCGATTCATGCTCCTAACACAACCTACACGCTGATCGGGCCCTAACCACCTCTTCGGCTCTCAGCCCTACTACTACTACCGCCCCAGTTGCTAGTTCTAGTACGTCCACCACCACCGTCTCCTGCGCCAGTCCCAGCTGGTTGATCGACGGTCGGTGTGTCTACAACACGCCCGGCTGGAACCCAGCCCCCCATGTCCCGACTGATCCTCCCCGGGTGGCGAGGGCGGTACAAACCCATCTGCCAAAGATCATAGAGAAGGAGCGGGGACTGCGGGGTGAATGATTTCCGGGAGAAGGAACAGGTAAAGAGGGGCGAGGAGGAGAAAGAGGAGGAGCAGGAGTGAAGACCATGAGATGAGTTGAGCAGGTAGAGGGCGGAAGGAAACGTGGATGGAACGAAGGCAAGACACTGGAAGGGACATGAAGGTGGCAAAGATCAGGGTGGAATGAAGTCATCTGTCAAATGCGTTGGAACAAAGGGGTTGGTTGAAGGAGGCTTCTACCCTTGAGCATCATGCGTTGTCTTTATTTGCATTACCAAGAGAAACAGTGACTAGACCACTGCAGGGCCCATCCCGTCCACAACTTAGAAAGGCCACCAAGAAGCCGGCGTCCTCTTAACCACAAACGCTCCACGGTCCATCGTGTTAATGACAATATACCCACTCGGGAAGAAGGGATAGTGAGACCATGTACCGATGAAAGTAACATTCCCGCCACCGGGAGCATTATCATCCTCCGGATGGACATCAAAGTACGCCACCTCCTTGATCTTCTTCCCCGTGGGATCAAACGGCACGCTTCTCAAATCCAGGATGCTGAGACCCAAGCCGTAGTTGCTCTGGTACGAGAACCCGTTGTGGACGAACTGGTTGTGGTCGATGCCCCTCCGGAGACCCTTATAGTAGCCCGTCTGCTTCGGCTTCTCGAGCGAGGAAATGTCCCAGATGTAGGTGATGGGGTACCCGTCGGCGCCCAGGCCGGCGGCGTCGTACTCGTCGTACTCGTCGTCGAGGATTAGGTATTGTTGCCAGTTGGGGTCGAGGACCCAGCCTTGGTGGGTGTAGGAGGCGCCTTCGTACGAGGTGTTGGAGATGATGCGGATGTTTTGCTTGTCGGTTACGTCGAAGCTGTTGCTGTGTTAGCTGGGCACAAAAAAGAGGAGAAGGGGGAAGGGGAAGGGAAGACCAACATCGTCAAAGAATCCTCGTCATATCCATAACAAATATCCTTCCCATAATACTTCCTATCCGGCCCACGATACACAATGCACTGCGCATCATGGACATACCCATCCTCACCACTGCCTCCCAGCGTCTTGGGGTTCTTCGGATCCGTCAAGTCAAAGAACACCAACCCGGCCCTCAACGGTCCCGTCCGCGGCTGGAACCCAACAGCCACACCGTACTTCTTCTCCTCGTTCGTCACCACATTATGCGACCTTCCCACCGGCAATCCCTCGTTCCACCACCCGTCCAAGTCGTTTTCGTTCGTGAACACGTTCGGACTGGCGGGGTCAACATCCTGCAACTTCGCCAAATCAAAGATCTGCACGCCGTGGTTGACCGCCTCACTCCCAATCAAAATATAACTCTTATACCCCTTAATCTCCCTCCACAAGCTAGGTTGAGCAGTGGTATACTGCGGCAGCCGTCCCAAATAAACCAGCTTGCCCTTCTTGGTGACCTCCGCGAACGCAGTGCCGTCCTCCTGCGCAATGGCCACGAACTCGCGCCCCTTGGGCGAAGTCCAGCCCCAGGAGCCGGCGCCGCGGCCGGAGCCAGAGCCGAGCTCGGCGTGCGTCTTGAAGTCGTACAGGTCGAGGTTGTTGCACCGGAAGGTGTACTTGGCGTCGCCGGGGATGTAGGAGGCGTAGCCCTTGGTGCAGGGGACGTAGTCGAGCTTGGAGGAGGGGAATTTCTTGTATTGGGTGGAGTCGTAGACGCCGGCGGCGTCGAGTTCTGCCCAGGTTTGCTGTTGTGGCAGGGTGTTAGTCATGTGAGTGAGAGTGACTGTAAGGGATGGAGGAGGGATGGAGGAGGGATGGAGGAGAGAGTATGGAAGGGAGGGACGGAATGGACGGAATGCTTACGTGCTTGAGCGCCATGATGTGTTCATGTCTGGCACCGCTGTCGTAGAGCTCGGCCTTGAGCGTCATGTCGACGGCCTTCTCCTTGGCCGAGGCCAGGGTGGCTAGGGACGCCGCGAGGGCGAAGACAGAGGTTCTCATGTTGGGTTAATGCTTGCCTCTGGGATTGAGTCCAACAAGATGAGATGGGGGGTCGAGATATCTCCAAGATGAAGCAAGGGAGGTGATCTGATCTTATACTTGTGTACCTTGCAGCCCTTCACGACGGATCTCGTCGATCGTGATAAGCCCTATAAATCCCGACACTGCAACCTTGTCCACTGACGTTCTCTTCCTACTGTAGCACTGGCAAGATGTCAACGGTCTGGATCTTGCGAATGCTTACCAAGAGCGGGGAAAATCTGGACTATTTGTGAGATATGCCGGCCATATAGCCTTAACTGGGAAGGTCAAGCTCGAGGTAACAGTTGCGACATGCAAACACTCGCTGTCGTTATGTACCCAATTTGGCAGGTGTGAAGTCTGATACGACGGATTGCCTTGGAAGCCCTCGCTGTCTCACTGCTCAGTCTTACCGGCTTCAAGCGGGGATGGCGATACAGTAGGAACCCCTGTTAATGCAACTAATCCGGGCACTATGGGGGATGGCTCGGATCCTTTTCAAAAGAGGGGGTTTTGCATTAACGGGGGCCTCACTTACATACAAAACTGGGAATCCGGGCCGCGGAAATCTTTTGCATCTAATGGGTCAGTTTGTATGTGTTTGCAAAAGGGGGTGTTTGCATTAACAGGGGTTCCTACTGTATCTGGCCAAGAGATGGAGGCTCTACCGGCTCGGCTCTCGTGTACCGAGCAAGGGGGGCGGGATCGTGGGTACGGACTCCATGTTTCCTCCTGTCTCCCCTGGCAACGTCTGCCTTATAAGTTCGTGGGCCCATACATTCTCCATCACTGGACGATAACTGGAGAAGGTTTTCAGTGCCACGGCATTCCGACAAAGCGGTACAAGTTTGCGTGATGCTCTTGTTGATGAATACGGAAGGTGGAAGAGATCCGTATATTGCATGCAGCCAAGGCCGGCAGATACCACCATTTGTTGGCCCGATGGGCAATCCAGTGCTACCAGCCAAGCCTTGCACCGGTATTAGTTGCACCACGGTGCTCAACCCGTCCCGCTCGGCATCTCTTATCGTGGATGCCCGATGTAATCTGTTTATAGTGTTGGTGGGATGGCAGTGCCACCGAGAAGTGGATGTGAGGAAAGGTTCCAGATAACCTGCCGAGAAGCTGGATTTTGGGGTGATCGGAATGTTGACTTTCCGTGACTATCCTGTTCCATATGCCTAAGCCCCGCACCCCAAAGCGATGTTGACCTTGAGAACCTGCCATGTTGGGCTCAACCGACCGTTATCACTACAGGTCTGGACCATGGAAACGATAAAAGCTGTGTTACTTGATTGATGTAGGATACCCCCAGACACAACCGTCCAACATGGACACTTTCATTGCGGTAGCAACCTCGGTTCGGCGGAAGTAATCTGCGGCAATGAGCTCTTGACGACATACCGCGATCCAGCCCATAGGCCATAGCGTACCGATCAATGACATTGGTTATGTCCCGTGGGGCCCAAGGAGGAATAGTCCACCGTGACAAAAGCTCTGTCCACCTCCTGAAGACTCTCGTAGCAATACTGCAGCGTCTCGGCAATATCATGTGCCAAAGGGAGCGAGGTGCTCTCGTCCAACAGTACGTCCAGCTCAACCCAAACACCATCACCTGCATGGTACGCCGTCAACGATTTGAAGCCTTCGACGACAGGGGAAAAGCGGAAGGCGAGATACATCAGCTTCTTCTGCAAGGCATCGTCTACACTGCTTCCTGTCAATCGGCTGATGTTCTCGATACATGTCTCAGCCCAGTCACAGATGACATAGATGGCTAAAAAAGTTGCACCGAGGGGGTCCAACCACCAGATCTGGGCAGTAACACCAACCAGGGGGAAGAGGAGAGAGGCGGTGTTGAAGTACACATCGGTCTTGCAGTCCTGCACCAAAGCCTGTACCTGCGTCGTCTTGATGGGTCTGCATATGAGCCCGATAATCCCCTTGATGACGGCATTGGCAGCCATGGCCCCAATAGCAATAGGAGGCAGAGGCGCAGCATCTCTATCGCCGCCGGGTAACAACTTTGTAACTGACTCTTGAAGGATCTGTATAAAGGAAACAACCATGATGACACTGAAGACAAGGATACCGATGGGTTCAAGGCGTCGTCTTCCAACGGGGTACTTGAGCTGTAGAGCGCGCAGACGCCACGAGACAATGCGGTTTGTACCGTAGATGATCAGGGTACAGAACAGGTCCAAAGCAGAGTCCGCCGTGCTGGCAGCCAACGAAAGCGATGGACTAAAGCGCAGACTGACCAGCTTGCCAACGAGCATGAAGACATTGGCAATGACATTTGTGTTTATAGCCCATCTCGCGTTTCGATCGTTACGGCGGCGCTTCTCGATGTGCTCGGGGGGCAGAAAGGCTTCAACGGCGCCCTTGGAGTCGGCGAGGGGAACACGGCGTTCGGCGATACCGTCTCTATCGGCATCAGGGTTCATGCTGTCGATTACATCGTCGGCAACGGCCATGACCAAGGCATCGACCTCAACCCAGCTATCGAGCGTCTCGTTTTGGGACTCGTAGTATCTCCTGATCTTCTTGTTCTTGATGGCCTTGAGCTCGGCATAAGATTTGCGATGTTGTTCCTCCCAGGAGGAGAAGCCCTTCATGCCATCGAACACCCTTTGCTTCAAATCATTTCGACGTTGTTCGGCGATGGCCAGGTGTCGAGCATCCTTGAAGCCGCTGAGGGAGGTGACCTTGGCGCGGTCGTCGTGGATCTGGACTTCGTGTTCGTGTGGGGAGGGGATCCGCGTGGGGGCGGCGGGGGTGGAAGTGGGCTCGGTGGAGCGAGGGTCGCGGTGATCGCCAGGGGAGACCCTGGAAAGAAGTCCAGATTCTTGGTCGTCGTCACGATATCGTTGGCGGATGGAAGAGGGCCGACGAGAGGGCGTGGTCCCGTGCCAATCGGTGGCCGAATTGACGATTCTGGGTCTTCTTCCCACCATGTTGCTCGGTCGTCGTGTCAAGGCTCAAATTGGATGTTTGCCGCCAACAGATGGGGTGGGAGGGACAGGTTCACGAAAGAAACGAGGGAGCCATTGAGCATGGAACAAAACGAAACGAACAGGAACAGATCCCACGCTCGTTCTTGTCCTTTTTACTTTTCGCTCAATGGCTTTTGATACGGAAACAACAACCAAAGTCTCTGTTTGCTCTTTCCTCAGCTTCTGCATCCGCGCGGAGGTAAGGGACAAGACAGCAGCCAGAATGACGTCATGCGAGGCGGTTGTCCCGATGTCTGACCTGTGTCTTCTGTGGCTGCATCGTTGACTGCGACCACCGAATCGCCGAATACATCTCAGTCACAAGCGAACCTTCTCACTCATTGATTCATTATATCAACCACTCAAAAATATTGGATTGAAGCCGTGGAGGGCAACAGAGACCACCAAACCTCTGCCCATAAGCTGGATATCCATGGCCAAGTGTGACCATCACTCTTTCCACAAAACTCCTGGATTTTCCGTACTGCCGTAGTCCTTACCACTACCAATTTTCGACTTTTTTTCAGGGCCGGAGAGCTGCCCATGGCGATGGGAACAATCTATCCTAGTGTACAATCGGCGACGGGACCGCGAGCCTAATCCTGCGCGCAATGTCACACATGAGGGTCGTCAAAATATCAACGGAATGTCATTGGCTAAGGCAAGACCCCGGCTCCCCTTGACCCCTCCTCAGCTTCAACGCATGTCAGCTTTGTTCGATGGTTGCTACCTACATAGCAACAGCCTCAAGACTTCTTCCGGGCAGCTGGCCTCTGTGTATCAGTGTACAGAGATTCCCCCTCGTATCAAGCCTCCGCTTCGGATTTTGTTAGCCTACCACATGCTCTTATCGCAGCAAACAACTTGACAATAAAGACTTAACCGGCATTCGAGGAATCAAGGTAACACAGAATGAGACTTCTCCATACAATATCCCTTAACCTGGTCGAATTCATCGAAGACATCCCGCGAGCTCGATACGCCATTCTCTCACATACTTGGGGAGAGGATGAGGTATCGTTCAGAGATCTTACTTACGACATCGAACGAAGTAAGAAAGGCTGGAGAAAGATCACTAACGCTTGTGAATATGCTGCCTCCCGAGGGTGGGAGTATATATGGATTGACACATGTTGCATAGACAAGAGCGACCCTACGGAACTCAGCCTGGCAATCAACTCAATGTTCCGATGGTACGAAGCATCTGGAGTCTGTTATGCGTACCTTTCGGACGTAATGTCCCCCGCAACGGTCTCAAACCGATCCCGCGTTTCATGGTTCAGAGCGGACGAGTTCGATGCTTTCTCCCGAAGCCGGTGGTTCAGACGCGGCTGGACATTGCAGGAGCTCCTAGCACCAGATGTACTTGAGTTTCTCTATGAAGATTGGACCCCTATAGCCTCACGAGAAGACATGGCTTCTGAGATGCAAAAGGGTACAGGCATAACGAGCGACCACCTGGCAAATTTTCGCATGTGCTCCTTGGCCACCAAGCTCTCTTGGGCTGCAAACCGAGAGACCACCCGTGTTGAGGACCGCTCGTATAGCCTTCTTGGCCTGCTAGGAGTACACATGCCGTTGATATATGGCGAAGGGGAAAATGCTTTTGTGAGGCTCCAGCACGAGCTGATACGGAAATATAACGACGAGTCCATTTTCGTCTGGGATGGCGAGATTGGGACTGAGAGAGGCGTACCCGTTGGGGAGTTGAGGTCAGGTTCCTGTCTGTTTCCCGTACTGACCTCCAATCCCCAACGGGTAGCTGATGAATCACTTTCTCCAACTACTCTAAGGATACGGTCCAAAATCCTGCAAGGTAGGTAACCAGTCTTTAACGAGTCAAGTTGTTTGCTTGTTTAGGCTGTCAGTAAGCTAACCATATTTCCAGTAGACAACGAAAATGCAAGCTTTCCAACGTCACTCACGCGGTCAGTCGTTGAACTTGAGGTAGACCCGTCTACGCATACCTCTATCCTCGCGCCTTCGCCGAGGAGCTTTATGTCTGCAACACAGTTCGGCCTCCAAACCTACCGTCATGACAAGACCCGATTTCGCTTCGAGATGACGAACTCAGGTCTCAGCATTAACGCCGAATTATATCGCAACGTACAGTTCTTCGCGTTTCCGGCTTACATGATCCCTCTGAACTGTTCTTACGTCCACCAAAAGGTCAAACCCGGCTTCCCAAGACGCGTCAGCAGTCCCATGGTTCTCCTGCTCAGCGAAGCGTACCCCGATGAATCCGAGATGTACGACTATGTGGACGGGCTAACCATCAGTCACGGACCGAGAACACCCACAATGTTCAGAAAGATTCCGCACGGCCCCATGGACTGGAAAGAACTTGATCCTGGGCGAACTCAATGGGTCAGCCTTGGTCGACAAAACATCATTATCCTGAACGAAGTGGACGATTCCGGTGGTCTCACAAGCCTTGACTATTTCGGGGATGTGAAGTTTGTCTTCGACCCGCCATCTATTAAGTAACCGGTGGATTATTCTATAATTGGTTACCGGAGAGTTTTGTGGAATCTAGATAGCCTAAAATGGCGCGTGCTAAAACTTGGGACGGAGGGATAGGAGGAGAAGTACTTGACAGTTACTACAAGCCTTGCGTGTGTCTTTGAACTAATGTTGGACTCAAATAACTCAAATCAACGACACTCATATATTGTCCTAGCGCAATGTGCCATGCGGCGCACTCTGACCTGCGGCATCTGGTAAGGTGCATTCGGCACCGATGGCGACGTCGAGATGATGCTCAACAACCACCACGACCCATCTCGGGGGTATCCTACCAGAGCTCCCTTCCCAGCATCGAAGGAGCGAAGCGATATCCAAGTTGTTGCTTTGGCAGAATATCGGCCAGACGCACCTCATCGTCTCTTCCGAATCTTCATAAGATGATAGCAGGCAGAAGAGTAGGGTTCGGCTTCGGGATGTGCATCGGGCAGAGACAGCGGGCTACGTGTGGTAGAACTAGGGATCAATGCATCTAAGATTGCAGTGCCAAACACTCCGTCGGCAGTAGTAGCAATATGAGTAGGGCGGATGACCAGAAGCGAGGTAGCTGTTGCCGTGGAGTAGTAGGAGATGGAGTAGGTAGGCAACCGTGTTAGTACTGTTTCGCCTGTCTCTTTACGAGTTGCCCTGCTTGGAAATGAGCAATACTACCGGCAGGAGCGTCACCAGGGGATTCCGACTTGGGCCAGATAAGGCACGACAGCAACGCATTTCCCCTAGGGGTCCTCCTTCAAGAGTACAACTGGCCGTAGCAAGACACAAGATGCTTTCATTGATTATTGTATTGACTCCTCTGTCTTCCCATTCTAGTAGCACGTTTCTGAACCATAATTCCTCGACTTTCCACCACAACTGCGCTAGAAAACTCTGTGCTGCGTTCTCCCCTATTGGAGATGTGCGCCTGACCTCATCCTTCTTCATCTCCGCCTCCCTACCTCTACTCCTCCTTACAGACCTTCCCATCATCCCCCCCTGCCGCCGTACTGCTTGTAGCCGTAGGACTAGCCCTCGTAATAGTAGTCCTCCCATCACTCCCACTCAGAACCGTCAACCTATCCCCCACGTTCACAGTAGGATGCACCACAACACGGCTGCTCTGTCCCATCCCCTGGATATGTTCCAGCATCTGTCCCACGTTCTGGCTCTTTGTACTACTACTACTGCTGCTGCTGACGGGGATGACCACCACCGTAGTAGCAGTCGCACTCGGCAGCGTCACCGTATCGTAGTCAACCAGATCCGTAACGGTACCAGTAACGGGGATGATTTCCAATGGATCATCATCTGACGTCAAGGCTGATGTCGAAGACTGGCTGCTGCTAGCGCTAGCGCTAGCCCTGAGAGGAGTAGGAATAGGAGGCAGGGAGGCGGGGATGGTGTAAGTATCGTAGTTGATCAGATCCGTTACGGTGCCGGTGACGGGGATGATGACGAGGGGGTCTGTGTCTGTGTCTGTTGAGGTGGGTGTGGATTTGCTGCTAGTTGAAGTAATCGGGGGAGTTGTAGAAGTTGGGGAAGTGATCGTAAAGGAGACGCTGCTAGAGGTTGAAGTCGACGACTTCGTTCCCCTCGTAGTACTAGTAACCATCGTCTTAGGCACACACTTCCCATTAACTGCCACGTCTCCTTTCCCCGTACACTCCCCCTTAGGCCATGCCTGACTCGACGTCATCGACGAGGTATGCTCAGGCGCAAGTGTCTTAACGACAGTTACCACCTGAGTCTGTTTGACAACAGTTGCCCAAACCGTATGCGTCCTTGTCTCCTGTTCTGCCCCCGATGTAGTTGTGGTGGTGGCGCTGGGCGGCGGAGGAAGGGGTGGTAGGGAGGCGGGGATGGTGTAAGTGTCGTAGTTGACGAGGTCGGTTACGGTGCCGGTGACGGGGATGATGACGAGGGGGTCTGTATCTGTGGATGTGGATGTGGATGTGCTGGTTGAGATGGTGATGTTTGGGAGAATTCCGTGAAGGAGCGAAGGGGTCAGGTGTGTTGAGTGGCTGCTACTGCTTCCTTGGGCAGGGGCAAACGATGGTTGGGTGGAGATCGTCGCTGCCGCGATGCTTTGGGCAATTTCGGAGAAGTGCAAGGGCCCGTTGGCGTTGGGGTTGCCCTCGTGTGGGTGGGAAGCTGCGAGGGAGGCGAGGGGGACGAGGGCTAGTAGCACCTTCCTGTCGAGGAGGGGGGTGGTGTGGGTGGACATGTTGTCGAGAAGAATGTCACTTGGGTTGATTGAGTGTGTAAAGGGCTTGTCGGGTGCGAGTTCTTGCTTGGTAGTCGTAGTTGGATCTCGGATGTGGGCGAGGAGGAGAAATTCCAGTTTGTTTTTGAGGTCGAGGGGTTCTTAAATGCTAATCGGATGCAAAATAAATCTAGTTTTCCATGCGTAACCCGGTGCAGTAGCTCTTCACTGACGAAACCTTTGCACACCCGAGCGGCGTGAGGGTGAGCGTGAGCCAATTCACCGTCAAGTTCCATTGTAATCGTACTCCTTCTCTTCAGGTTTGACTCGGTAGCCTTCATCCCAGCAGGTGTTGACAAACCTGGTGCGAGTGACACACCTGGTGGCTCTAGAGGGGGCTCCAGATGCTTCAGTATCCTTTACCAAGGGTAGAATACGGATGATATTATTACACATGACCAACTACTGCAACAAAGAATACCCTTCACTATCCCTCCAATACCTATTCAAGTGTGGGATTTCTAGACTATGCGGGAGGTTGAGACCAAGGGGTAGGCAATGGATCATGTAGTGATTGGATGTCGGAGGCGGGAAAGGTGGGAAGACGAAGTATCATGGCTTGCTGAAACAGTGGCCGTCATAGTATGTTCATTTCAGCATCGGCATAAAGCTATTCATATACAAAGAAGTTTTCGACCCATGGAACCCTTCACACTACCCAAAGCCAGGCAGTCTTTAGATCCCTGGTCATTATCACCACCACCTATCCCCTCACCCACGCACCCTTGACCTAAAGGCACTGCGAGTACCACTGGTTAGCAGCCTGGCAAGTCGACCCAGACTGGCAGCAAGTCGCGCCCGTCCAGCCCTGTCCACCGCACTGGCCCCACTTGGCCGCGCAGTTCCCTGTGCTGGGGGTGGTAGGAGTAGAAGGGTTGGTAGGGTTGGTAGGAGTACTTCCACCGCCGCCACCGCTGCTGCTGAGCTTGGACTTGACGAAAGCGAGGGCCTGCTGGCCGTACTTGGTGCCGTAGCCCTGGTGAGTGGCTTGGTCGCTGCCCGTGCAGCAGTACGGGTCGGGCGAGTCGCAGTAGTTCTGGAGCTTGGAGGCCGAGGCGCAGGTGTAGCCGGCAGGACGGGAGGCGAACTGTGAGGAGAAAAAGGTTAGTATGGGCTGTTGGACGCAAGGATACAGGAAACAGAAGGGAAAGGAAGGACATACGCCATAAGCGGTGCAGGTTCCAACGTTGTAGGACAGGCCAGCGCGGTAACGGGGGTTGCCCATCATGATGACAGCCTTGACCTGGTTAAGGGCGCTGGCGTTGATGCCAGGGGTGCTGGAGGTGATGCCGGAACCGGTATCGGGACCACCGCAGACGGCATTGTCCATGATTTGACCACCCTGTTGATCACATGGGTTAGAGGCTTTCTTCCACAAAACATATAGGGGAGAAGGCGTTACGAAAACGTACCTGAGAATATCCAACAAGAACGATCTGGGTGTTGGGGCAGCGAGCGTTGAGGTTGTTGACAGCCGTGGCGACGGCGTTGGTGCCCTGTCTGGCCGAATCACCGTACTGGATGCCGCCGCAAGAGGACTGACCACCGCACGCTGGGTAGGTGATGGCCTCGGAGGTGGCGCCGGGATAGGCCTGGAGGATGAGGTTGACCACGACACCGGCGGTACCGAAACCCGGAGAGACCGTGGTCTCACGGGCACCGAAGACATGGATGGAAGGGCATGACTGACGCTCCTCAAGCTCGATAGGGGACGCGCCGACAAGAGCCGAGCGGGCCAACAGGAGGAGGTAGGCAGCTTTGGGAGAGGGCCACATCTTGATATTTGGTATTGGTGATGAAGTTGCAGTAGATCTATGCCTGGGCTTGTCGATCTATCAGTCTGGAAGGAGGGCGGATGGCGCGTAGTTATACTCGGCGGTCAGATTATTGAGACATCTAAGCATGGAAGATGTTGGCGATGTCACCGTTGTTGCGAAGACCATGTCGCCGCTCACTGACCAAACACCAGTTGCATTCCGCTCCTCCGCAACAAGGCCAAGGGCAGCATGACTACCCTGATCCACTGACACCCCAAGGCCAAGGTTTGGACGTAATGGGGCGGTGGCCATTGCATGAAAATAGTAACGCTTAAAGGTCCTTTGTGGTTCTGTTGTCGGGTGTCTTGGACGGTCAACCGGGTAAAGCTGGGGGCGCCAAGTATCAAGGGGCAGCATTGTTCGAAGAGCCTCCGTCGAATTCTTGTTTCTGGAATGTTTCCTTCGCTTGATCGGGTGTCTTGTTTTCGGTTGAGCTAGCCCTGTCCATAGTTCATGCAGGTTGGCATTGCTTGGGGTCCTGTCAATCTGGGGATGCTTGGTGTGCATTGGCCTTTTGAACCGGCATTGGATAAATTGGGAGGTGCGTGACCACGCGCCGATGGCCCATTTCCCCAGATCCGGCGATCGTAGCCACCTCGGCTTTTGGCTAACTTGTGCTAGCTCGGGGCATGGAGCTGAGGTGTTGGGCACTTTCTTGCGGGGAAGGGATCGAGGGCGAAGAACCAGAAGGCGAATGCGGCAGGCGAGATCCGAGCACGAGGAACAGGAGTTTAGCCTTTAGGCTCAATGTGACCTTAACCAGGAAGGGCAGACATTTCGACGTTTCAGGACGCGGACGTGTTTCCGCTTCTCGAAAAGGAATCGTCGGTGATGGAGAGGAAGTCGAGGCTTGACCATGGTTGGCGTTTCGAGGTCAGGTGGTTCGACGACGATGGTCTGGCAACCAGGGCATGGCCGAGCAGTTGTGGAATATCATTTTCAGGTCTTCTTTGAACAAACTGTATGCGCTGTCAGCAATCCTGTACCTTTTCCTGTTTGTCCTCGCAACCTGGGTATCTCTCACCTGGACTTCCGGAATGTTAAGGTCCATGTTTGTTGCTGTTTAGTCCGCTCTGCGTGTTGTTGTTTCCAACTAAGCATCAGCGGCGTACAGGCGACAACGGCATGCTTACCTAATCGCAAGTGCACTGCAAGCGGCAGCCACCAGCGGGCAAGTCCACTGCAGGGTCAGCGTCCAGCGCTGCCTGTGTCCACTGTCAACCACATCGTACCTGACTTTGAAGGACAAGGGAATCCCAGACTTTCCATCCAGACAACTGATCTCAACGTCAACATCGTCGGTCCTTCCTTACCTGGAAAATGACAACCAGAAACCAATGCAGACCTCTCCTTCTTCTCTGCCGCGAACTGTGATTACCTAGTCCCCATTGTTTCTGTCACCCCTCTGCCTCTCACACTGTCCTGGTCAGTGGTCAGTCAGGATGAAGTTGAAGCCATCAGAAAGGCGCTTTCCGCGCCAGGTTCTCCGGTCATTCTCCAGCTGTTTAAATGGTTGATCGCGTTGGTTTCGCTTTCACAAACAACGAATCGATCACGACGTTCTTGTACGCTGTCATACTTGGAATACTTTGCTACTCGGACATCACATCATCACATCATCACATATACGAAAAGCACCAAGAAAAGGTATGTACATGATGTACTGCTTGCCACTCTCCCAACTGTTGAGTCGAGTATCAAGCTAACAAGCCAAAGTTGACCCCCATTTCTTTTCGCGCCCAACATCTTCGCTCAGTATCCCGACTACTTGCCCGATGTCAACTTCTTCGGTACCTCCACCCGACATGGATCGAGGCAGCTTTGAACAATTCCCCAAACTGCCCGGTGAACTTCAAGACATGATCTGGTTGGCCTCGATGAACTCTGCCGCCAGACTTGTTCGTGTCGACCTGGTTGAGGTGTCTGACGCCGTTCCCCCACGATGTATCCCAACAAAATGGCGTCTTCCCCCGGCACCCAGCCTAATGCACGCATGCTCGCGGTCCCGAACATATTTGGGAAGACATGATGATGGCTACAAGAAGCTTCTTCTTCGCCCCAAGGCTCATCCTCCGGGCATCGGCTATACCACTGCCTACGTCTGGTTCAATGTCCACACCGACGTCCTGAGCCAGCGCTTGTTTGTCTTGACAGACATGGATGCGTTTGCGACACCCTTCGATGCGTTTGATCCAGACACCCCAGATCCCTTTACCGCGACCATTCTTGCGCAGGGGCATCCAGATTCGTGGACCTTTCGCCCTATCTTTGATGTCGAAGCCTCTTTCACTGGGGTTGCAGCTCCTTTCTTCGATCATTTTCTCGGACAAGATCTCAGCGGCCTCATCCCTAAGATTCTAAATCCCTCCTCGATCCGTCATATGCACTTCGATATCACGGTTTTCCCGGATGGCCATTTGATCAGACACGAGTACTTGCAAGGCGACATACACCCAACCGCAAGCTTCGTTTCCGATCTCTTACGTAAATGTTCACGCCCAAACGTGAGTATAACACTCAGCATCGACACCTGCGACTGGCAACGGCCCGATGACGCGCCCTTAATGAGCCTCCGCCTTATCCCACATAGAAGCGAATACCGATTACCGGCACACCGCTTTGAGGAGACAGAGCCTTTTGTCATTTTGGGACACGGCATGCCAATACCCGACCGTTTTAATCCTCTTGAGTGGCTTCTGAGAACCGACAAAGCAGTTCAGTGCTTGCCGCTCCCGTCACCTCCCTATCAATTTGACGAGAGAAATTGGCAGCTGTTCCGCGTAATGGACCCTCTCTCAAATGATGTGCATTTTGATGACTTCGGCCATCATGTGCCATCTTTAAGATTTTACTTGTTCAGGTTGTTGGACCACATACATTTCCAATGCGAGCGAGAGGCTCATGTTTTTGGATCAAACTACTCTATGGCTGAAAGGGTAACCCTCCTGCTAACAGAATCCTATCATTACACCTTTCAGGACTACCTGTACGGGGGTCTTTGTGGCCCCGGATACGGTATGGGAAGAGCGGGCGAGGTATTTAGGAACGGTGGACTTGACAGAGAAAGGCTCCTGGGTTTGGGTTCGGACAACGATTCGGACAACGATTCGGACAACGATGATGCGGGCAGTGGTTCAGTCAGCGATGCGGTCAGCAATTTGTTCAACGATCCGGTCGGCGATTCGTATTTCTTTGACGAGGCTTACGTTGAGGAATGATGTTCGTCTAATCCTTTGTCCTTACTATTTGGAAAGCTATCCGGACAACTATCAGGACAGCGAGTGACGACAGAAAGGATTGCGGAGACAGGAACAAAACAGGGGACAAAGCCAAAGGGGTGCAAGCAGTAGTTTTGTGACAAGCACGTCTTGGATCAGGGTAGCCATGAGGATAGCCAGTATTGGTTTGGGTTCGCTTTTCCACCTGCGAAATAGGCAAGATTGCCAGTCAAAGCGACATTGTTTGTAATCAGGCTTAGATGCATTCTTCTTTGCGCAGTAAAAGGGACAAAGTCCCCTTGCTGAGGATTTGGCAAACGAGAGCCTGCCATAGCGTGTCAATATTCACTTTTTAACCGAGTACCTTGCTTCCCGTCCGACACATTTGACTGCTTGCTTGATCGCCAGAATTACAGAGCTGCCCGACTCCAATCAGGTGGGCGACGACTGCGGTGGGGTATAGATGACGGATTCCTGGCTTGCAATCTTCTTTAAGAGGACCTAGATTCTTATCCAGAACCACAACTCTTGGGAACCAATCAATCATGGTGTCTTCGCCCACCCGATAACCGCTTCATTGATTGTTTTCTTTTGGACCTGCCAGCTTCAGACACCTTCCAACGACCGTGTTTCGCCCACACGTTCTCACCAATGCGATACAATAATGCGATACAACTCTTCTGCGCCACCACTTTTGGAGGCAGCAAAGTTGAGGCTGTAACGTCCAATGACAGTTGAAAGGGGTGGAGGCAGTACTTAGCTGCCGCCTGCAATGCTGCATCATGCATGTACATGCCTCCAATACGTATGCCTGCAGTCAGTGGCAAGACATTCAGGTGCCCAACTCCTTGTCAGCAGCCCAGGGCAGACACACCCTCGACAATCGAAAGGCTACATAAAGTAGGGTAGGCCTCATCATCACCATTGCACAGAAGGCCCTCCATCAAACTACACAAGGGTTCCGGCCTATTCAATCACCAGGCCGTGGCACAGTTTGTGGAGTACTTGCTCCCCAGCAAGCAAGTGTAAGGTCCCCGACTTCGCATGTCTCCATCCCACACATTGCAATGTTCACCGACATCAGCTAACAACACCCTCGTCTTTCACCAGAAACGTCGACTCAAACAGAGTCACACTAACCTCAGGCGCACCGGCGCCGGCGGGGGCGTTCCAACCCCGTCAACCCGCGCATCATCTCCCAGGACTACAACAACTTCCAACAACAGCATACCTTTGTTACTGCTCCAGATACCTACCCACCCCCTTATACCTACATCCCACAACCCCCCAGTATCAAACAAAATGGTTATCCACCTTGCAACCCTTCGCACAACCCCAGGACGTGCATTCCCGCGCACTCAACCGCGGGAGCACAACTCAATCTTGGGGATGGAGTGAGTGGTAGCTATGACGTGGATTATTATGGCGGACTCCCCCACGAAGCCACTCTCCCATCCCCTGATGTACTCGACCCCGGTTGCAATGTTGAGTTTGCAACGGGGGTCGAGAACATCAGGGGATGGGACGGGGCTTCGTGGGGGAACTCGGCTTTGGTATTGAGAATGGGAGAGGGAGAGGAAGGTGGAGGAGGGTTCAGTATTGCCAATGGGAATGTTGGATTCCAGCCTCAGGAGGATATACCACTTTCCAACACTTATCAGCAACCGGTACCTCTACCGGGCTTACTGGCTCCGGACGGTTACGCGTCGACTGCCCGTGTCTTCCAACATCACGGACAGTTTCCGCTAGACACAAGCGGCTTGTTCACAGAGGAACCGCCCACGACTCAAACACTCCCGGGCGGACTCCCGCCGGAAGAGATCTTCGATCATAACGTTCTTACCGATGAAAAATATGCAGACTTGGCCCTCCTTGAGGCAATACTTGATCTGCCAAACTATGCATACACTTACCTGTCTCTACCCACACTCCCTTTTGACCCGGCAGGCACCCTTCAGTCGGCTTCTTACCCTCCATTCGTAGCTTCGCAAAACACCTTGTTTGGCTCCACTCCCAGTTCTACTGCTGTCACCTCATACCCGACTTCAGCGGGAACTCCTGACATAGCTTCACCGTCAAGCAGTTGGGCCTCGACAGCAAGCTTGCCTACAAGCTCGACGACCTCACCAACGAGCTTCGAAATCTCGCCGACGGGCTCAGCGCGCTCCAAGGCGGGTCGATATAAGTGCGATCAGCTGGGCTGCAAATCCAAACACACCTGGGCCACCTTTGGAGACCTCAAGTACGTGCTTTCGTCCACTTGCCCTATAACCTCCACTTCCTCAGTAGCTACTGTGTTACATTATACCTAGCCACCTACTGACCCACTGGCCACTGCAGACGACATCAAAGGTACCACGACAAGAAACCACATCAGTGCACCACCTCAGGCTGCACATGGGCTTTCACCAACAAAAGTGACGTGGTCCGGCACATGAAGACACATTCCGAAGATGTAACGATGTTCCCTTGTCAATCTCTCCGGGGTGTGGAAAAGAGTACAATCGTTTGGACAACTTGCAGAAACATATGAGGAAGTGTCACGATGGGGTCAGGGACTCAGCGAGGAAGTAGGATGCTACGATGCTACATCCAAGAGGCCGTAGCAGACAAAGTTTGTGTCTTGTGATTACTTGAAGACATTTAAGTGAGGCTCTACTCAGAGTCTTGTGTTCGAAACAGTGTAACAGACGCCTGGTGTCCAGATGAAGGGCTTTTATCGCTGATATGATGGGTGGTTAACCAGAGATGCAGTGTACGATGCCGTAGACATGGGGTTCGGACTAGTCCCCGAAATGACGGGTGGTGAGGTTGTGAACTTCGACCAATAACGATGAAGTAGTGTTCGACGCAGCTTGAGTGTCTCAGGACTTGGGCGATCTACCCAAACAGTGAGCAGTCTGGAATGCCGCCGGGTTTGCTCGATCTATCATATGTTCTGGCAGATTTCCAAACCGAATTTCCTGAGATCATATGAGTATTCCCAAAAGGAAAACCTGCCTGCACCCCACGCTTTCCTACACGTACCCTACAAATTTCGCAATCTTTTATAATTCTTTACCACCACGACTATATTATCGTCCGAAACCTCATTTCCCAAAGTCGATAGCGTATATCCCACATACCAAAGAGGTTTTCCTTTTGACAATACTTCTTCCTATCCTCTTATTAGCGGGTTCTTTCCCAATTATATTCATAGTACCGTCCTTTGCAGTTGGTTCTTAAAGACCACCTATATTTATAGGCTCTTCAAAGAAAATTGAGCCTCAAGATAGGATAGTATAGCCTGAATGCTCTCCTGAATACCTCTATCTGAAAGGTGTTGCCCGAATTGGGTGGAAAATTCCGGGGGCCTGTGGGAGACAGGGTACGTGTAGGAAAGCGTAGGGTGCGGGCAGGTGTTCCCTATGGGTATTCTCAGAGGTATCACACTGGGGCATTGAAATAGAGTTATTCTCGACATGCAACGAATGTGATCACGTCACGTTCGATGAGAAAGCATGGCCTGTGATTATTTCAAGCCCCAAACCTAGACGGTCCGCTTACTGGGTACCTCTAGGACTCGATCACCAACTACCTAGTACAGGAATAGTCTGTCTAACTGAGCGAATCCATCGACCCTTTTATGCTTGCATTTGACCTCCGTAAGGGACCCCGATTGTAAACATCCCAAGCAAACACTTGTTTGGCGTTCAGTCCACCCTGTAAGCTTGTGAAAAATGGTTTCCGAGACAGGTAGACGTTCGCTGTGCTTTGTTGGCGTCTGATTATAGAGTTGATAACAGTAACCCTCTTGGAATGCCCTTTCGAGATTTGCGATTGGCATCATTGCGTTGATAATCTCCAAGATTGAGCGTTGATTCCCAGAAGGACAGTCAAATTTCTCGACAAAAGCCTTTGATTTTTGGTTAAGGGAGTTGTAGGCAGTACATTGTGTACCTCTAACACATTCGTACTTTCCTATGGCTATGTTTCGTACAGCGGCGAGCAGGCTTGTGCGAAGATGGAGGGATCGCTCCGCGAGAACAGCTAAGCATTTCAAAGTCAGTTAGGAGAGGCATACCATGATTTCCCCCGGCTTATATGAGGGGGGCTCGGAGAACTATACGTACTCAACAGCTTGGGAGGTAGCGTGTCCATAAGCAGCTTGTCCTCGTGGAAACTCAGATAACTGCCTACATGGATGATCATGACCAGCCAAGTAAGCTTTGGGAAGATATCGAACTTCTTCAGCATTTCCGCTGCCGCAACAAGGTACATCAAGTCCGTTGAGCTTCTGTAAGGTGTTACCTGTCGAAACCACCTGTCGGTAACCATCTGCATTGTTGTAAACAAGTCGTACTTGTCAATTGTACGGACAGCCTGGAGGATATGCTTTCCATCCATTTCTGCGAAGGGTATCATGTCGGGACGGTGGTGTATGGCGTAACAGATTGCTTTCATTGCCTCGGGGTCGTCATCGGGAAGGTCAATGTCCTTGGGTGCTTCCAGCGAAAGCGTGCAGGAGCTTTCGATCCAAGGGGGCGAGAACATCGCGTCGAAGACTTTGGAGGCCGATCGAAGGATTGTGGACGAAACCCTGAGACGCAGTTGCTTCTCCTCAGGAGGGCCGACGACGAGGATGATGTCACCCGTTGGTGAGACTTCTAGGATGTCCGAGTCGCCGTCCATGTTGCCGGTTGCCTAACGGGCTCTTGACAAGAACGAAGCTTGATCGGATACTGATGGAGGACAAAATTCTGGACGGTCGATGGAGTGGGGAAGAAAGAGTCAGAGAAGATGTCGAGGAAAGAACTTGGGCACCACTGCCTCCTCCATGGAACTACCGTAAGGACGCCCGTGGCCCGAGGTACAAACGCACCTTCCCCGGTGAGCTGCCAACCCCACCTTCCTTGGGCTGCATCCCGCAAGCCACACACCTTTGACGTAAGGCCTGCCATCGCTTGCAGGTCTGCATGTGAGTGGTTGACACGATGACTTCTGCGGGACCAGGGACACTAAAGTCTGACTTCTGGCACAAGAAACCTTCTCTGTTTGGTTCAATCATCTTCCTCACACAACCATTTCCAGCCGTCCTATTCACCACAATTGGCTGCGCCTAACATCCATCTTTCCACTCCTACGGTGGCCCAAGTGTTGGCTATGATCAATTGAAAAAGTTTAGTCAGAAAATGGCCCGTGCCAACTGCAGGCACTAGATTCACACTGAAGGGTAGCTTCTACAATCCAATGCAACACCCTCTATCGAAGCAATGAAGCAATGAAGCAATGAAGCAATGAAGCAATGAAGCAATGAGAGTTGATGAGAGTCGATGGTCCATCGCTAACTTTGAAGTTTACCAAGACTTTAGGTAGCAGTACAAATGGGCCCCTGGTTCTTCTCCAAAATGAGCGAGCGACAGCCTCGAGGTTTGCTAAGATTTTTTAAGGTAGTAGTGCAAATGGATCCTTCGCTTCTTTTCCAAATTTTGGACTTTGGGGTAGAGTATCAATGCAAATAGATTTCCCTGTCCCTCTTGCTCTCTCCGGGCAATAGGAATGAATGAGAGTTGATGAGAGGTAAGTTGATAGGAGTTAATGGGAGTTGATAGGAGTTGATGGGAGTTGTGAATGTAATGGATAATGTGATGCCTTTGGATGGGGATGAGTAGTGATATGGAGGCGTTGATATAAAAGGGCTGGCAATTGGCTGCAGCTGAGAGCTCGAACCAACTTTCAATTGATCATAGCCAACACTTGGGCCACCGTACACTCCATCCATCCGCGGATCTGAGAATCCCACGTTGGAGCCACTGCGTCCAATGACAGCAAACACATGTTGAGGCAGGCTCCGGATACGACCCGGGATGCTGCATCATGCATGCATCATGTCGTCCGAACATGCCTCTCAGCATGCCTCCACGCCAAGAGGCGGGAATGCCTAACAAGGGTCTCCTCTTCAGGACCGGTAGCCCTGGTCGTCTGACAGCCCTCGAAAGGGTATATGAGGGGCTGTAGGCCTCGTTGAATTGACGTTGCTCTTTTTCACCACAGGATTCAGTCGAGGGAGACCTCCGTCCTTTCACCAGCTATCCTGGGAGCACCAATCCCCCCCTCCGGTAGGCATCACACCCCCCATTCTGCCTGGCCCTTGATTGGGGAAACCACCAAGACTGACCAATCTCCCAACCGCACAGGATCACAACCCCAATCAACAAGAAGCGCACCGGTGGGGGCGCTTTAACCCCCCACCAGGCACCAAAGCATTTGGCAATGTTACAGTGATCAAGCTAGCGATTACTTGCCAAATCAACACTCGCGAACAAGATGTAGCGACGAGCTCTTGTTCACAGGGCCCTTGAGCTTTAGCTACACCTTGTCCTCGAGTGTTGATTTGGCAAATAATCCTACTTTTGGTCAGCTGGGGGGAAGCGGGGGAGAAGGAGATGGGATCACATGGTGGGATCTGGGACAGGGGACGTCCCAGGTTGACGACAACAGCAACAACTACGACAACAGCAGCTACGACAACAGCAGCTACGACAAGAGTTTCGAGTGTCTCGGCTTCGAATGGGTACCACAATACTTGCCATATGAAGGCTCAGGGTTTTACCTTGACGGACAATTTCCGGACCTTTCGGCGAATACTCAAAACACATGCGATGCAGCTTATCAGACAAGCCAAGCCTACAATGGCCTTGATTGGCAGCATCTCGACTCTCATCTACCCCTTCAGCAGATAACCACACTGATTGGGAACGATTCCGACGTTTCCAGATGGGTTTCGAGTCCTATCCCAAGGTCGATGATCCAAGGTCTTCCACTGATGCAGCTGGACATGACTTCATCACCGCTTGTGGACATGCCGATGCAGTCATGGGACCTTCAGTACATCCACAGCTCCGGTCCCCCCATGAATGAGGAGCAACTGACTGCAATACTCCAACTCGGGCAAGACACCTGTGCCTGTATGAGCCCCTTTGGACGGCAAACCACCGGTAGCACGAGCATGGCACACACTCCGGACATGGCATGGCAAACAGGTACCGGAAGCAACTCGTCGACAAGCCCAATCAGCTCGAACGATGATCAGTTCATATGCGATTATCCCAGCTGCAAGGCTACAAGACCCAGTCAAAAAGAGCTCAAGTAGGTCTCCTTTCGTGCTCCTTCATCCATCATTGGGGCACAGCTTCTAACATTGTTGTGCCATGACAGGCGACACCAGAAGTGCCACAAGAAAACCTACAAGTGCGAAGAAGATGGATGCCAGAAAGCATTTTATGTTCCAGCACACCTAGAACGGCACCGGAAGACACACCGTCGTCGAGACTCGGAAGAGAATGAAACATATCGTTGTCCAGCTTGTCCGAAGACCTACCCTCGTAACGACAACTTGAGACGGCATATTCGAAGCAAGCATACGGCTTTGATAAACAAATCCACGCGTTAGAACATATGACTAGGGGGTTTGCTTGAAGTTGCTGGACGCGCGCTGAATCGTGGCACATCCGGGATCTGAACCGGATTGTCCATCTCCACGTCCTCGCAACAGAGGAGGAGTCTCCGTGATTGTGTGATGATATCTGGGCAGTGAGCTACTGTGGAGATATCTTCCCCAACCACGGAGACTCCTCCTCTCTTGTCAGGGGCTGGGGTTTCACTGGGCTCCAGGGTACAACAACTTTCAGCTAACCGGCGCTAGGCATACTTGCTGGGGGTAACCGTTGCGCTTTGCGGGGGCTTTTATCTCTTCCGGGCTCTGTAGGCTGTATCCAGGTTACCCCCCGGCTCGTCCGGTTTTCACTGATATGGTTGAAGAATAATTGGGAATGTTTCGGCCCTGGACATGTACCCGAATTACGATGAAACAGATCACAGGATCGGACGAAGGAGGAACTGGATGCAGACTACGGAGTCAATGATACATATGAAGGGATAAAAGCCTATAGCCGACAAACGCAACGGATTTTTCATATTCTTTGTTGGGGAAAGATGGAGGTGGCGGAGGGAGATTGAAGGAAGATTTGTATTTGGGAGGTTCGGGTCGTGAAGGCTTGGTCTTGCCAGCCTCTCAGAGTTTGGGGGCAAGCCTTGACGCTTTGAATCCTTCAAGTGGATATCTTTCCTGTGGTAGACAGCGTGCAATAGAGGAGGAGCTTTTCACTCACGTATCAATCCCGCTCTCGCCGTGGCTTCCTAGGTTGCTCTAGCGCCCGTTCTCTATCAGCTGTCTTTGGAGTCTCACCTGAGCATAATCTTGATTAGAATAACTGTTTACATCCCGCTGGAGTTTCACCACCCAGCGAATGCTATTCAGTCAAGTGTTGAGAGTAGACTGTCGAACCCACCAACCTTCTACTACTCGTCACATACCAACTCCTCTGCTTGGCCACAACCTGTTGCATCGAGGCTTGCATGTTGTTGCTTCCTCCTCCTAAAATTCACCATCAAATCTGACGTGCTCAAACGCGTGACCGTCCATGAAACTCCGCCACTCTGTCGGGACCGAAGGATGCCCCGCCATCACATGTCGACACAGGGCGGGCAGGAGCCATCAGCTGGGAGAAAGGCGCCTGCCAAAGCGAGAGGTAAGGCATCGTCACTTCAGGGAAGCTACAGCGCATGAACACAACCAGGAATGCAGGAAGGTATCCAGGAGGGGGACGGATGGGCTTGTATTTATCGGGCCTCGTCGTCGTCCTTTGCCTCGTTGTTGTCTTTCTCCCCAATCAACTCCCATGCTTTTGACACGTTGTGGCATTGTTCCCTAACACATTTGATCTCAGTCTCCCAATCTTACAGCACCCAGCAAAGGCACCTTTACCAGTTTTCTACGGAGCATCGCAAGGATTGCATTCATCATACTAAGTTCGCTTTCACATATTCAGCTATGAACTACGAACGGAATAAGTGGCAGTGCCTCTCATTCTCTAATCCTGGCAGAAGGCACCTTAACTGGCGTTGACATTGAGTCCAGATGACTGCACACCATTTCGGCCCGATTTTCCACACAATCCGAGGAGATTCTGACCTCCTTCTTTATTCTTTCCAATTCCTGCTGGACAGCTTGAGGATCCAATTCCCGGCTCGCGAGCGAAGGTCCTCTATTCGTCGAATCATGGACTGACTGTCTTGGTTCAATGTCGCCTTGTCCTTAGCCATAATTGACAAATTTAGACGCAGCTTCTGCAGCTGTCTCCTTGTCATTGACTATAGTTGACAAATCTGCGCGTACTCGTTCTGATTCATATTATAGAGTCTCCTTAGCTTCAGTGACGGTCGAAAGAGCTTCCTCTAGCGCTTGTTGTTTGTTGACGAGCGCTTGGAGTTCGTTGTTTCTGGTTTTATATTCCGCGCGCACCCGTTCAACCTCTTGCTCCAACGCTGTCTTTTCGTCAGAGATGGCTGATATGTCTTTCCTTAGCTATGTCTGGCTTTGTCGTACTCGTTCCAATTCAGTATTTGCATTTGTCAATTGTTGGTGGAGTGTCGCCAGATCCCGTTGGCAGGTCTGAAGGTCTGTGTCTTTCTCTGCTAGATCATCTTGCTTTTCTCTTAGCTTTATGTTGAAGCCATCACCATGTCTTGGCATTCTTGGCACAGGGTGGATACGATCCACATATGTTTACCCTATATATAAATTAGACTTCGTCTCCTTTTTTTAAATTCTTCTTTCTCTCTCTTCAATTAATTAAAATATTCATTACTATATCGTCGTCTCACGTGATTACCTCCTCTGTATGGTTCAACAGGTTATGAGCCTAGATACGCTATGCGTTTTATAAATAATAGTTAAGTTTATAATTTTTACTTACCCCCTCCTTTCTTTTCCCTTTTCCCCCTTATTACCTTTTTCTCTTTGAAAAAAAGATGCTATTCGTATTCTAAAAGGATTGCACTTCTTACTAAGCGTAAATGCCGCTATTGATTGTAGCCGTTATGTATGTGGTCTGTGCTTGTATAGATTATGCGTACGGATTATTGTGTATATTATATGTATAGGAAAAACCTTGGTAATTTAATACGCGGAGATGTTTTATTACGTTATAAATGTATTAGATTTTTCCTAATAATTTCGCTATTACGGAATTTATTACGTTTTATTAAATCTATTATTTTTATTAAAATTGTTCGATTTTTAACTTATTACGAAATTTTATTTACTTTCGTATTAATGGAAGTGCGATTTATTACGTAAAGACCGCTCTCGCCTATTCTATTATTTAATTAGTATTTATATTATTATTTATTAGTATTTTATTATATTGCTCGCTACTACCTTACGTTACAATATTTATAAATCCTTTATAGGTTAGATATTTATATTTATATTTACGGTGCGGCGTAATTACCCTATACGGTACTTTTAATAAAATTATAAAGTATATTAGTATAACCTTTAGCCGCGCCCTATAAAATTACTATCTACCCATCGCTATTTTAATCACTACAATTTTATTTATTTTTTAAAAGATATTTTTATTATACCTTAAGTTTTCTATAAATCTTTTCAAAATTCAATTTTTATTGCACTATTATTATAATTTTTTACTACTACTCTTTTTAGCCTTATTTAAAATCTAATATCATTTTTACCCCTTAATTCTGTAGAATTTTAGGGCTTTATTACTATAATTCTTCTTTTAATTCCCATTCCTTCTCCTGCTCTTCTTCTAATTCCCTTACTACCGCGTTTTAGTGCCCGGCCCCGCTGAATATTTAAATTGTAATTATATTTAATAAAAACCTTAATAAAATTATCGCCTTCTTAGTTTTTATTGGTAAAAACGATAATTATACCGTTTAGTGCTATATTTTTACTATTTATATTTTGGCGTACTTTAAATACGACGTTATTAATAATTTTAATCCCTTTATTTATTACTTGAGTATTCCCGAATAGAAATATTATAAGAAAGTCGCAAATGGGAAGACTAAATAACGTTAATAGTTTAATTTCTTTATTATTAAAATTGTTACAACAATTTTTAACGAATTTAAGAATTATAATACGAAGACGATTATAGAAGCTTTCTAATAAACTTTCGATAATTATCGCCTAAAGGATTTTAAAGGCTTTACTAATATTCTAATTCGGTTTTACGCTATTATCCTTATTACTTGCAATAGTATCACCGATTACGTTAACCGACTATAAATTATTTAATATAAATTCATTAAAATAGATTTTAATTATTACCTTTTGCCCGACTTTATAATAATCGATTATTTTATCCGGTACCTAGGTCCTATATATATTACCTTTATTTCTAAATTTGGTTAGGAATATATTATTTTGCTAGAGCGGGACGAGTTTAGTAAAATTACCCGGTCCCCGGTTACGTTTAGTAAGGTTAAATGTATTATTAAGGTTAAAGAGGCTCTAATTAAACGTTAATAGGCCGGATGGAAAAATAGTATTAATAAATTAGTATTCGATACGCTGGCTTAGTTAAAGGTTTTTGGAGTTCGATACGTAATTAAGATTATTAAAACCGTTACTAATATTAATAATAAAAACTTTTATGGTATTAGTAAAGAATGCCCTTAGGTACTTTACTTAGTATATAAAATATTAAATTACAGTAATTCCCGTTATAGTATTTAGTACTTTAAGCATTATAAAAATGTAAATTAATTTTTAAATTAAAAGGACGGCACCGATTTTCCAATAATTAGACTATTGCGCTATTACTAGCTGCTTTTAATAATAAGGAATTTGAAGCCGATATTTTTAAAAGATTTATATTCTAATAAGTACCCCTATTATAACTAGGGAGTTAGTAGCTTATAGTCTATTATTAACCTTTTAAAATTTATAGGCTATACAGTATCTAGTTCTATTATAACCAATCCGCCGCTTATTTCTCTATTTTTACATCCGTTCCTATATCCGTCCTTATATCCGTCCTTATATCCGTCCTTACTAATTATATATTCTTTGCCTACTTCGCCGTCGGCGGCCTTACTATTATTGGTACTTACCGCTTTAAGTATTATACTTTTAATAGCTTTATTATTACTAGTATTTACCATTTCGAATTATTTAATTACTATATAATTAATTATTTACTTTAATTATATTAATACCCTATTAATTTATTTATCTTTTTCTATTGTAGCCCCGCTATTTAATTTTAAGTTTGTAGAACATATTATTACGTTGTCCGCTATAAAATTTCGTTGCGAGTTTTTAGATAATTTTAAATATATTATTATTATCGATTCCAGTGTTGCAAAATTTTTTTTTGATAATAAAGCAGGTTTTAAGAGCCTTCGCCCCTATACCAGCCCTTCTGTTATAGGAATAAATAATATAGAAATTACTTTAAAGGCAATAAATATTTATTTATTACATATTTTATTAGAAAGCGCGTATTATTTACCCCGGATTGTTTATAATTTCCTATTTATATTATAGTTCGATTGTAAAGGTTTTATTGTAATATTCGGAAACGGCCTGGCAATAGGATTCTATAATTAGAAAATCCGCTTTAAAGGTTTTAATATTAATAGAGTATATATAGTATATTAATTAATTAATGATTAAGCGCTACGCTTTATTTTCGCCGTTTATATTATTGAACGATAGAAATTTAAAATATAGTATAACCGATTTATTTATTTTAGTAAAGGAAATATTATTTCCCTTTAAATAATATCTATTAATATTTACCCCGTCCCCGATACTTACTTTTACGATAAATGTATATTAAGCCGTTTAAAAAAGAAATTCCCTATAAGGGATTGGTATGTAAGGGGAATCGACCCTTTAAATATATTTATATAAATATTTATAACCCTTTTCGCTTTGAGCGTTTATAAGGATAATACTATTAGGTTATTATTATGAATAATTTTATATAATGCGTTTGGCCCTACATTATTAAGATTAAAGACGAATTCTGTTACTTAGTAGAAAAGTAGTATAATGAATTCAATAGGTTAGAATATAGAATTTACTATATTTATTTCAATTGGGCTAGTAAGAATATTAGTAAACGATTTTAATTATAGTGTACGAACCGTTTTATATAATTAATATACTCGGTAGTTAATTAGTACGAATAAAACAGTATATTAGAGCGCTTTAATAGGATTTCATAAGAGCGCTTCATTACTATTTTAGAGGATAGTGGCTTTAGTTCTTATTTATAGCTGATCTTTCTCTAAATAATTATCTACCTAAAGAATAGGCATCCAAATAAGGTTATTAATAAAACGCTATTTAAAATATAGAATAACTAAAAATTTTATTTATTATATTTAAAAATTATTAACGCCCCCTATTATTGTAAATTATTTAATGCAGACTTCCTAGGGAAGTTAATATTTATAGCCGGCCGAGGTAAGCTATTAGGCTACGAAGGCTCGTCGAACTACGTTATCCTTATGAATAGAAATAAAATTATTTTAATTAATAATATAATTATTAACGAAATTTATATTTATATTTCGCTGAACCCTCGCTCGGAATTAATAATTAACTTACCCTCTTTTATTTACACACTGGATTTTAATTTTAATACTTCATCTTCTATAGATTTAAATAACTTTTTTCTTAATTTATTTAACCCCGCTTTATTTAACCTAATATAAAATTACCTAGGAGCGGATTTAGATAAGCCCCTTATAAATTTCTCCTTAATATTTTTGTAGCTTTTTACATAGATATTTATATTTACTTTACTACTATTTTTGCCGGCGTTCTTATTATTGGTTTATTTATTCTTTATTTTTAATTTAGAGGGAGTTTTAGATTTAGGGAGAATTCCGTTAATATAGTTAGGGGGAGATTCCGACGCACTTACATTATTCTTACCCTTATTCTAATTATTTAATTTTTCGTTTTCTCTATTATTCTTAGACGGGTTATTCTAATTTTTATTTTAACTATTTTAATTATCCTTATTAGAACCGTCCTTATTAGAACTATTTACGCCGATATTTAATATTATTTATATTAGTAGCGACTTGGGCTTTTTCGATCCTAATTATTAGCGTATTATTATTAATCGTTACCCCAAGCTACGCCCCCCGGTTCTTATTATTTTTGAAAAATAATCATTGCTATTGAAAGTTATTAATAAATATATTAATATCAACTTACTAACTTTTATTACTTTTTACTATTCCATTTACCTCTAAATTTAAAAATTATTAAGAGGTTATAAAACGATTAAATTAGTAATGTTAATAAACTACTATATAGGTAGAATATTAATTGTTTATCGAAAATTAAATTTAGACTTTCGTTTTTAGTAATATTGGCCGTTAGTTATTAATTAGAAAGTAAGTTTATAAATTTAAGACCGGTTTTAATAGTAAAACTTTTCATTATAAAGTTCGTTAGGTAATCCGAGGCTTTAAATAATAGGAAGGGATTTATTATAATAAAATATTAATTTTAATTATAAAGTTTATAAATTATAAGTTTATTTTCGCCTTCGTTATTATTTTCAATTTAAAATTAGAATAAATAGATATCTAAACTACTTTTTGTATAGTTTGGTTA